GCTCCTAGAACTAGGGCCAGGCGTGGTGGCTCACGCCTATAATCCAAGCACTTTGGAGCCCAAGGCAGGTGAATCACCTGAGATCGGGAGTTCAAGAAAGCTCCTAGAACTGACAGAAGAATTCAGCAAAGTTTCTGGATACAAAATTAATGTTCACAAATCAGTAGCTCTTCTATACACCAACAATGACCAAACAGAGGATCAAATCAGGAACTCAGTAGCTCCTGATTTTACAATAGCTGCAAAAAAATAAATAAGTAAAATAAAATGCTTAGGAATATACCTAACCAAGGAGGTGAAAGCCCTCTAAAACGAAAACTACAAAACACTGCTAAAAGAAATCATAAATGATACCAACAAATGGTAACACATCTCATGCTCATGGATGGGTAGAATCAATATTGTGAAAATGACCATTCTGCCAGAAGCAATCTACAAATTCAATGCAATTCCCATCAGAATACCACCATCATGCTTCACAGAATTAGGAAAAACAATTCTAAAATTCATATGGAACCAAAAAAGAGCCCATATAGCATGTAGCAAAAGCAAGACTAAGCAAAAGGAACAAATCTGGATGCATCACACTACCTAATTTCAAACTATTCTCTAAGGCCATAGTCACCAAAACAGCATGGTACTGATATAAAAATAGGCACATAGACCAATGGAACAGAATAGAGAACCCAGAAATAAATCCAAATACTTACAGCCAACTGGTCTTCAACAAAGGACACAAAATCATAAACTGGGGAAAGGACATCCTTTTCAACAAATAGTGCTAAGATGATTGGCTAGCCACATGTAAGAGAATGAAACTGGATCCTCATCTCTCACCTTATACAAAAATCAACTCAAGATGGATTAAGGATTTAATAAAACCTGAAACTATAAAAATTCTAGAGGATAACATTGTAAAAACCCTTCTAAACATTGGCTTAGGCAAGGATTTCATGACCAAGAACCCAAAAGCAAATGCAATGAAAACAAAGATAAGTAGCTGGGGCTTAATTAAACTAAAGAGCTTTTACACAGCAAAAGGAACAGTCAGCAGAGTCAACAGACAACCGACAGAGTGGGAGAAAATTTTCACAATCTGTACTCCTGAACATGGACTAATATCCAGAATCTACAACAAAGTCAAACAAGAAAAAAGCAAACAATCCCACCAAAAAGTGGGCTAAGGACATGAACAGACAATTCACAAAAGAAGATATACAAAATGAAAACATGCTCAACATCACTAATGATCAGGGAAATGCAAATCAAAACCACAATGCAATACCATCTTACTCCTGCAAGAACGACCATAATCAAAAAATAAAAATAAAAACCCGCAGATGTTGGCATGGATGTAGTGATCAGGAACACTCTTCTACACTGCTGATAGGAATGTAAACTAGTACAAGCACTATGGAAAACGGTGTGAAGATTCCTTAAAGAACTGAAAGTAGAACTACCATTTGATCTAGCAATCTGACTACTGGGTATGTACCCAGAGGAAGAGAATCATAAGGATACTTGCACACGCATGTTTATAGCGACACAATTCACAATTGCAAAATCATGGAACCAACCCAAATGCCCATCATCAACAAGTGGATAAAGAAACTGTGATAACTCAAGAATGGCAAACATTTTATGTTCTCACTGATAGGTGAGAACTAAGTTATGAGGATACAAAGGCATAAGAAAGATACAATGAACTTTGGGGACTTGGTGGGAAGGGTGAGAGGAGGGCAAAGGATAAAAGACTACAAATAGGGTACAGTATATACTGGTCGGGTGATGGGTGCATCAAAATCATAAATTGCCGCTAAAAAGCTTACTCATATAATCAAACACTACCTGTACCCCCAGCAACCTATGGAAAAATCATTAAAAAACTTAAAAAAGAAACATAACAAAGAAACACAATATAGGAACTTTGACTAGGTATTTATTGGGGGGAAATGTCTGTAAAAGACATGCCTGAGACAAATAGGAAAATGTTAATATAGACTGTGTGCCAGAACAAAAGTGTGGAATTAGTGTTCATTTTCTTAGGTGTGATGATAGTAGATACAGGATTGCAGAGACAGTACCTGCTTGAGGAGGTGTAAGTATTTAGAGGCAAAGAGTCATCATGTCTGCAGCATATCTTCAAATGACTCAGGAGAAAAAGTGACAACTGCTAAAACTAGTTATTACTGTACCAGGCCTTCAACTCTTAAAGTTTTATTTTTAAAAAAAATGGTGGTGAAAAAATCACAAGCATTCCTATACACCAATTACAGACTGAAAGAGAGCCAAATCAAGAATGAACTGCCATTCATAATTGCTACAAAGAGAATAAAATATCTAGGAATATAACTTACAAGGAACATAAGGGACCTCTTCAAAGAAAACTACAAACCACTGCTCAACAAAATAAGAGAGGACACAAACAGATGGAGAAACATTCCATGTTCATGGTTAGGAAGAATCAATATCGTGAAAATGGCTATACTGCCCAAAGTAATTTACAGACTCAATGCTATCCCCATCAAGCTACCATTGACTTTCTTCACAGAACTGGAAAAAACCACCTTGAACTTCATATGGAACCAAAAGAGAGCCCGCATACCCAAGTCAATTCCAAGCAAAAAGAACACAGCAGGAGGCGTCACACTACCAGACTTCAAACTATACTACAAGGCTACAGTAATCAAAACAGCATGGTACTGGTACCAAAACAGAGATATAGACCAATGGAACAGAACAGAGGCATCAGAGGCAACACAACATATCTACTACCATACAATCTTTGATAAACCTGACAAAAACAAGCAATGGGGAAAGGACTCCCTGTTTAATAAGTGGTGTTGGGAAAACTGGCTAGCCATGTGCAGAAAGCAGAAACTGGACCCCTTCCTGACACCTTACACTAAAATTAACTCCAGATGGATTAAAGACTTAAACATAAGACCTGGCACCATAAAAACCCTAGAAGAAAATCTAGGCAAAACCATTCAGGACATAGGAGTAGGCAAGGACTTCATGACCAAAACACCAAAAGCATTGGCAACAAAAGCCAAAATAGACAAATGGGACCTAAACAAACTCCACAGCTTCTGCATGGCAAAAGAAACAGTCATTAGAGTGAATCGGCAACCAACAGAATGGGAAAAAATTTTTGCAGTTTACCCATCTGACAAAGGGCTGATATCCAGAATTTACAAAGAACTCAAACAGATTTACAAGAAAAAAAACAAACAAGCCCATTCAAAAATGGGCAAAGGATATGAACAGACACTTTACAAAAGAAGACATACATGAGGCCAACAAACATATGAAAAAATGCTCATCATCACTGGTCATTAGAGAAATGCAAATCAAAACTATACTGAGATACCATCTCACGCCAGTTAGAATGGCGATCATTAAAAAATCTGGAGACAACAGATGCTGGAGAGGATGTGGAGAAATAGGAACACTTTTACACTGCTGGTGGGAGTGTAAATTAGTTCAACCATTGTGGAAGATAGTGTGGCGATTCCTCAAGGACCTAGAAATAGAAATTCCATTTGACCCAGCAATCCTATTACTGGGTATATATCCAAAGGACTATAAATCGTTCTACTATAAGGACACATGCACACAAATGTTCATTGCAGCACTGTTTACAATAGCAAAGACCTGGAACCAACCCAAATGCCCAACAATGATAGACTGGACTGGGAAAATGTGGCACATATACACCATGGAATATTATGCAGCAATCAAAAACGATGAGTTCATGTCCTTTGTAGGGACATGGATGAATCTGGAGAACATCATTCTCAGCAAACCGACACAAGAACAGAAAATGAAATACCACATATTCTCACTCATAGGCGGGTGATGAACAATGAGAACACATGGACACAGGGAAGGGAGTACTACACACTGGGGTCTATTGGGGGGAATAGGGGAGGGACAGCGGCGGGGGCCTGGGAGCTGGGGAGGGATAGCATGGGGAGAAATGCCAGATGTGGGTGAAGGGGAGGAAGGCAGCAAATCACACTGCCATGTGTGTACCTATGCAACTATCTTGCATGTTCTGCACATGTACCCCAAAACCTAAAATGCAATTTAAAAAAATGGTGGAAATGGGGCCAAGCACAGTGGCTCACGCCTATAATCCCAGCAGTTTGGGAGGCCGAGGTGGGCGGATCACCTGAAGTCGGGAGTTTGAGACCAGCCTGACCAACATGGAGAAACCCTGTCTCTATCAAAAATACAAAATTAGCCAGTCGTAGACGACTGCCTGTAATCCCAGGTACTCGGGAGGCTGAGGCAGGAGAATTGCTTGAACTAAGCAATTGGAGGTTGCGGTGAGCCAAGATCACACCATTGCACTCCAGCCTGAACAAAGAGCAAAACTCCATCTCAAAAAATAATAATAATAAAAAGTAAAAAAAAAAAATTTAAAGGTGGAAATGGTAAATTAAAAGGCAAAAAAATTTTTTGATCAGGAAACATGAAAATACCACTAGAAAAATGGGAGCTTCTTATTAAATGTAGCAGATTAATCACATGTTTATCTCTCCCTCTGTAGAAACTGTAAGATTTTCTATTCATGTATAATTCTTAAGAACAAAGAGAATGGGAGAGAGCTAGTGGTGAGGGCTATATGTCAACAAAGTATTAGGAAGTAGACAGCAAGCAGATGGGGGTAACTGGCTTAGCGGTGCCAAGAGAGCTACAAGCCCTGCTGGCCATGTTGGGGACTGCCAGGAACTAAGACTTGAGTTCCATACACACACTCCAGCTTCAAGTTTTCTCTAGGGTTTTATTCTCCTCCTAAGAGACTAGGGTGCCAAGGAATGCACTGGTCTTGTTACTACCCAAGACTAGACCCTGCCCTGCTCTAGGCCTCCTGACCCTGCAGAACCATCTCCCCAGATGACAGACATGTAGACATGTTGTAGTCATCTCTCTCTTCTATTTGTGTGTACAAAAAGTGAATATTTAAGACCTCACGCTTATTTTTAATTAAGGTTCAAGAGGAGCAGACCAGCTCATCTAAAACAGGCAGACAGAAAATGAAAGAAAAGATAGACCAAGTCTATGAGACTCAGAAGGACAAGCGTCGCATAGCCTTAACCAAGAAGGCCCTTTCGGGGGAACCTGCTGGAACCATTTCCCTGCTGTCAGATACAGACCTGAACAATTTCAACGGGCAGCACTCCCAGGAGAAACTCGTCAGGTGGGCCTCCCAGCAACCCAGGGAGTGGAATGCCAAAGCCCACGTTGAGGGTGTGGCTGTCACAGCACTGGAGGGGAACAGAGCTGTCCTGCTTGTGGGGCTCCAGGGGCCACGATGCCACTAGCCCAACAGGACAGGACTTCCAGGCAGCTCTCCTGTCTTCTCTTGGCCAGAGGGGAGCACTCTCACTTTACAAACCTGTGTCGTCATTTGCAGACTGAATCACTTCCGGTGGATTGTCCCAGCCAACGGAGAGGTAACGTTGCAGGTGTACTTCTCTTCTGACGAGTTGGGGAACTTTGACCAAACCTTTAACTTTGAGATCCTAGGGACTTGCCGCCAGTACCAGCTCCACTGCCGAGGCATCTGCACTTACCCATACATTTCCCAAGACCCAAAGTAAGTGTGCTTCATTTTAAAAGATGAGGTTGACTGCTATGTTTTTATTTTCCTCCGTGGCACTTTGAACAGGTGGCTCTCATCATAACATGGAGCTCGGGCAGCATCCCAGCCCCTCTTGTTGTATCAGCTTCCCTATCTTGGACATTGACTAAGAGCCACAGGGGGGACGTGATATTACCAGGGATTCCCAGACTGCAATAAAGACGATCATAGGTGCAAAGTGGGAGGAAAAAAGTCTTCCCTTGGCAAATGAGTTTGCTTATTTAACTATTAAGCAAGTTTAAAGCAGTTCTATCCTATAATTTAGAAACCATGTGTAACCAAGATCAGGAGTTCAAGACAAGCCTGGCCAACATGGTGAAACCCTGTCTCTACTAAAAATACAAAAATTAGTTGGGTGTACTGGCAGGCACCTGTAATCCCAGCTACTCGGGAGGCTAAGGCAGGAGAATGGCTTGAACAAGGGAGGCGGAGGTTGCAGTGAGCTGAGATCATGCCACAGCCCTCCAGCCTGGATGACAGAGTGAGACTCTGTCTCCAAAAAAAAAAAAAAAGAAAAGAAAAGAAAAAGAAACCTTGTGTGACTCTGCATGGGTGAACTTTTTCCAAGCTACTGAACAGCACTGTGCAGCTCATGCACTGCAGAAAAGCACCTGGCTCAGCAACTGGCCACATTCAACCAAGGGACTCAGAAGCTAATTTCTGTCTCCTGGAACTGGTTTTCCATAGGGGTTCGCAGGAATGTTTTTAGCTGGGTGCACTAGAACGAAACATCTGACTCAGCTCTGTCACCACTCTCATTATGGAAGACACCACTGGGAGTCTTTTTTTCAAGTTCAGATCATAATGTCTTCTCCAGTGGTGGGAAGGAGCTGGGACAAAGAGTTGGATTTATATAAACATCACATGGCAGCATTGAACTTCTGTTCAGGCAGCCTCCCCTCACCTCTTCCTCTTCTGTGTTCAGAGTGATATTTCCTCAGAGGAAGATGGACATGAAGATAAATGAGGTCGTCTTTAAGAAGTATGTTATGAGTGTGGAGACATACTACTTCGGGCCACTGCTTTGTGGTAAATCAAGAGATAAGTAAGTGTTCCATTATTTTAAAGCAGATTTCAGACTCCCGGGTTGGGCTTATAAACAGTACAGGTAGGATTCCTATGTACACAGATGTAGCTTTTACTAATGCTGCCTCTCTTAGCCCCTAACCACAAATCAGGAGAACTGGGTTCTTGTGTCCCAACTTCCTGCTGGACACCCAGAGGAATGAGGGTGCCATTTCCCATATGGGAAAGCCTAAGAGAGGCTTCAGGCTTGATCAGAGTAGGATCAAGAGTTTACTTTGGCGTATGTTCAGTTTAAATTGCCAGGAAGATATTTCTGGTAGTCACATGAAGCAGAGAATAGGTTGTACAGCTTTGGTTCTCAAAGGAGAGGTCACTCTTCAAGGCAACAAAAGCCACAGATATAGATGAGATCACCTGAGAGAAGACTGTATATGTAAGAAGAGAAAGAGCCCTGAATAACTCCAATACACACCAAAGGAGGAGCCAGGAGATGAGAAAGAGGCCAACAGTATTGGGGAAACCAAAAAGACCAGTGTCGTGGAGAAGAGGTCATGGTTGCTACATTGAATGCTGCAGAAAGTACAGAAAGATGAGGGCATAGATGTCCACAGAGTTCAACAACATGGAGGTCACTAGGGGCGTTAGCAAGAGTCCTTTGCCCAAGCAAAGCGAAGTGAGAAGTCAGATGTGAGGATAATTCTTTGGAGAAGCTTGGCTGTGAAGGGAGATGGGAGGAGAGCCTGGAGCGCAGAGCAGGCTGTTCATGCACTGTTGTTCTTACGATGCTTGCGTGCCGAGAGGAGACAGAAGGAAGAGGTTGGAGTTTCAGGAGATGGTAAGGGCCATCAATGGCATAGCTCCCTGAGGCAGCACAGTGGGATGTGGGGGTGCTGGCCTATGCCAGGAAGAGGGACCATCACTGCATGCCAGTGAGGAAAAAAGCAAGATGGCATCGCAGAAGGTAGGCTTACAATTTGGTTGGAAGAGCGAGGAGGCTCCTACACAGTCATGTCTTTTCCTCCTTGACAGATGATGTGAGATCATCCCTTGCAGTGAGGGGAGTTGAGGAAATTTGAAATCTTGAAGAAATAGAGAGAGCATGAAAAACAGTTTTGTGGAAAGTAGGAGAGGGAGCATGTTAGAGAAACAGATTAAGATTATCAGGTGGAATTGGGGACCCAATCTCACCTATTATTAGTGAGATTGGTGATCATACATTCTTAGACTGGTTTTTTCAGTTATATACAAATTTCATATCATATAGGCAGGAAATGAAACCAAAACTGGAACCAAGGTCTCCACCATGTCTTCACTCCATACAGCATTTCTTGTGCTAAGTAGAGGTCGTTAATTTCTGGGCCTCCTCAGTGCAGCTTGTGGCCGTCTTTGTCCTCCATTCCCATTACCTCCACTTTATTCCCTGAGATGTTGGATTAAAAAGTGAAGGTGAAAGGAGTTTGCTGATGATGGAGAGGAAATACAAAGCCCAATAGGAGGGCTCGGGAGGGAGAAGTGTGATCAGGTTAACGGACATGAGGTGCAGAACAGTCTGGGGGTGGGAGTCAGGCTGCTCAAGGAGGTACCCGTTTGGGACAGCATTGGAATTCACCGGGATGTGGGGACAGATGACACTGATCTGGGAGGGCAGTGACGACGGTGATTCAAAACAACTTCCAGTACAACTGGGTATTATTCACTTATTCTTTTTCTTTTTTTTTTTTAAGCTTTATTTATTTTTTTAGACAGTCTCACTCTGTCACCAGGTTGGAGTGCAGTGGTGCGGTCTCGGCTCACTGCACCCTGTGCCTCCTGGGTTTAAGTGATTCTCCTGCCTCAGCCTCCCAGGACTATGAGACCATGGGCACGTACCACCACGCCCAGCTAATTTTTTGTTTTGTTTTGTATTTTTAGTAGAGATGAGGTTTCACTATGTTGGCCAGGATTGTGTCGATTTCTGGACCTTGTGATTTGCCCACCTAAGCAAAGTGCTGGGATTACAGGCATGAGCCACTGCGCAGGGTCTTTTTTTTTTTTTTTTTTTTTTTTGAGATAAGGTCTTACTCTGTCACCTAGACTGGAATGCAGTGGTGTGATCTCAGCTCATTGCACCCTTGACCACCCAGGCTCAAACAATCCTCCCATCTCTGCCTCCCCAGTAGCTGGGACTACAGATGTGTGCCGTCGCACCTGGCTAATTTTTGTATTTTTGTAGAGATGTGGTTTCGCCATGTTGCCCAGGCTGGTCTCAAACTCCTGAGCTCAAGCAATCTGCCCACCTCAGCCTCCCAAAGTGCTGAGATTACAGGCATGAGCCACTGCGCCAAGCCTATTCACTTATTCTTTTAAACCTTGCTGAGCCTCATTTTCCTCATCTGTATAATGGGAAGACAACAGGACCCCCCTCAGATTTGTGAGGACTGAACTGGGTAATGCACATGGAGCCTTTAGCACAGGCTTGGGTGGAGGTGATTAGTGGTTAGGTGAGAAGGCCACACACCCCTTGGCAGTTATCCACACAGAGAGGTCTCTGTGTCTCTGACTCTCATTTGGTTTCTGTCATTCTCTCTCCTTTCATCCTCCATCATGGCCTATCTAAAACCTTTTTCAGACTGTTTCTGCTTTCCTAGCCTGTGCTGTGACCTCTGATGTGACTTTTTTCCCTCAGGCCTTCTCCTGCTTTGTTTTGCTCAGCTACTATTAACTGAGCAAATGCCCACAGTGCTCAACTCTGCAGATCTCTCCCTAAGGCACTAAGGAACAGACACTGCCTCCTAACAGTGAACAAGGCCAAATGAATTCATATCAGAACAGTAGCATTCTCTGAGGGTGTGGGAGAAGGAGGTGAATGAGGTCATCTCTAAAACAGATGTGAAATAAAAAGTTACTCAAGTGATAATCTCTCTCGGGGACATGAGAAAGTGGAAGGATAGATCTACATATTTCTCAGTTAAAATTCTTTGCAATAATCGTAGCTAACATTCATTGGGCATTTGCTATCTGCAGCTGTCCTGAGAGCTTTAGATGCGTGATCTCACTTCCTACTCAGCCATCCAAAGTGGTGTTATCATCCCATTTTAGAGATAAAGAGTCCAAGGCTCAGGGGAGTCAAGTCACAGTGTAGCATTTATTCTCCAAGGCAAGTCTGCACAACTACAAACCTCATGTTCTTTGCCACCATGCCACTGCCTCTGTGCAGCCACACTGTCCCTTTGAATTGCCTTTCTCATCACAGGCTTCTTTTCCACCTGCATTCTCATTCAGTCTTCACACCCTTAGCCCCATTCTTGTTCATCCCCAGGTACAAGTCATCAGTATTCCCAGGCAACATGGAGAGGCTCACAATCCTGAACACTTCCTTAATGGTGGTGGAGGCATTCTTCTATTTCCAGAATGATGTCAAAGCAAACACATACTTCCTGGAACCCAACACCATGGTCCTGAAGCCCAATGAGAAGCAGGTACAGTCATATGGACACAAAGCAAGGCTTTCTCGGGAAATGTGAGGCCTTGGCACCCTTGGTATAAATGTACTTTCTTTTGACTTTTCCTTCCATCAGATATTAAACGTATGGGCCTACCCTACTTCAGTTGGTGTCTTTGAAGACAGTATCGTCTGCTGCATCAATGATAACCCAGAGCCAGTCATCTTCCAGTTAAGCTGCCAGGGGATCCGCCCGGAACTAGAGTTGGAACCCAGGCAATTACATTTTGACCGGCTCTTGCTGCACAGGTCAGAGTTCTAGATCATGTCAGGACTGGAATGGAATTTGAGGAGCCTTTAGTTCTAGAGTAAACAACTCATCCCGATTTACTCTGGACTCTTGGTTTTAGCACTGAAAGTTCTGCACCCTGGGAAATTCCTTGGTCCTGTGCAAACCAGGATGGTTAGTGAACCTATCTAGTTAACAGACTGTTAGTTCAGTAGATGAACTTCAGCAGGGCCAAGGACCTCCCCAAGATCAACTACCAAAATATGCGTATTATCTGCATTTCTTCAGAAGAATAACTAGCTTTCTTCAGATTCTCAAAGCAGTCTATTGCCCAAAGAAGTTATCTCAGTGAACTGACACAAGAACAGAAAACCAAACACCACATGCTCTCACTCATAAGTGGGTGTCGAACAATGAGAACACATGGACACAGGGAGGGAAACAGCACACATGGGGCCTCTCGGGGGGTGGAAGAGCTAGGGGAGGGATAGCAGGGGGTGGGGGCATTGGGGAGGACTAACAGGAGAAATACCTAGTGTAGATGTTGGGAGGATGGAGGCAGCAAGCCACCATGGTGCGTGTATACCTATGTAACAGTCCTGCACCATCTGCACATGAACCCCAGAACTTAAGGTATAATAAAAAAATTAAAATAAAAAAGAATATTTGCTCCAGAAATTAAAGTAAAAGCAGAACATTAGACCAAAACTAGAACTGACGTATTCATTAATTGGAATTGTATTATTATTCTAAGTAGAAAGAATGTTTACTTCTGCGGCTTCTGGGAGAGAATATTGTTGTGACATGTATCCTGCATTCTGTAATCGCCACCACCAGGCCCCTTTTCCTGATAAATACTGCTTAAAGAACTAAGTAATAATTGAAGTAACCAAAAGTGCTTTTTCTGACCTCCAGTGAGCCATGATCACACCACTGCACTCCAGCCTGGCTGACGGAGCAAAACCTTGTCTCAAAAAAAAAAAAAAAAAACAGCATAGAAAGAAAAGTAGTGGTAAAAAATGAACATTCAGTAAATAGTGGGACAACATCAAGCAGTGTAACATATTTGTGATTGGAGTCCCAGAAAGAAAAGAGAGAGGGAAGGGGCCAAAAATACGTGAAGAATAGATGGAACTTTCCCAGATTTGTTGAAAAAGCAAAAACTTAAGAGTTCCGAGAAGCTTAGCAAACCTTAAGCTTGATAAATATAGTTATAGCCCAAGTTTTGCCACTGAATCTGTGACTTTAGGGCCATCAATTAACCTCTCTAAGCTTCAGGGTTTTGTTTGTTTGATTTTTTGTTTATTTTTTCGAGACAAAGTCTCATTCTGTCACCCAGGCTGGAATACAGTGGTGCAATCTCAACTCACTGCCACCTTACCTCACAGGTTCAAGTGACTCTCCTGCCTCAGCCTCCCAAGTGGCTGGGATTATGGGCATGTGCCACCACAGCCAGCTAATATTTTTTATTTTTTTATTTTTAGTAAAGACATGGTTTTACCATGTTGCCCAGGCTGGTCTCAATTTCTGAGCTCAGGGAATCTGCTTGCCTCAGCTGCCCAAAGTGCTGGGATTACAGGCTTGAGCCACCACGACCAGCACGTTCAGGTTTTTTATAGGTCATCTGGGATTAATAATATCAACTTCACCTATTTTATATAATAGATTAATAACCAAGAAAGAAAACCACATTAAGGCAAAGTTTAGTCCAACTTCTTAAAACCAGAAATAAGAGAAAATCTTGACAGCAGCCAGGAGAAAATGAAATACAGTATGACTGACTCCTCATCAGTAACAAAGGAAGCTGGAAGACAATAGAATGGCAATTTTAATGTGCTAAAGAAAAATACAGTTGACCTTTGAGCAATGCAGGTTTGAACTGGGCGGGTCTGCTTATTAGTGATTTTTTTTAATGAAACACAAATTGAAAATATGGCAGACCTAAATAAAACAATTCAAAAAAGCATTGAGAAATCTTGTTCAGCACCCATACATGAAAGAAAAACTGTGATTTTTAAAAATTATATGCTTGGCCAGGTGTGGTAGCTCACATCTGTAATACCAGCACTTTGGGAAGTCAAGATGGGTGGATGACGAGGTCAAGAATTTGAGACCAGCCTAGCTAACATGGTAAACCCTCGTCTCTACTGAAAATACAAAAATTAGCCAGGCGTGGTGGCACGCACCTATAATCCCAGCTACTCAAGAGGCTGAGGCAGGAGAACTGCTTGAACCCAGGAGGTGGAGGATGCAGTGAGCCGAGATCTCACCACTGCACTCCAGCCTGGGCAACAGCATAAAACTCTGTCTCAAAAAAAAAAAAAAAAAAAATCATATGCTAAGGATAATGGCCATTATCCTTAGCAAACTATAATGTAGGAACAGAAAACCAAATATCACATGTTCTCATTTATAAGTGGGAGCTAAGTGATGAGAACCAGTGAGCACAAAAAGGGGAAGAACAGACACTTGAGGGTAGAGGGTAGAAAGAGGGAGAGGAGCAGAAAAACATAACTTTGGGGTGTTAGGCTTGGTACCTGGGTGATGAAATCAGTACAGCAAACCCCCATGACACAAGTTTACCTGTATAACAAACCTGCACATGAACTTCTGAAACTAAAAGTTTTTTAAAAAATACAAAACTACAAAATTTGAAGTGAAATTTCAAACTTTCCTTTTGTCTCTGCAGACAGGAAGCCAGGGTAGTTCTTCTCCGCAATGTCACACTCCTGCCGGTGGCCTGGCGGATCACCAACCTGGAGCACTTGGGTGATGATTTCACTGTGTCCATGATGCAGGGAACCATCCCCCCCAAGGCTGAGTATGGCCTTCATCTCTACTTTCAGCCCACCAAGCCTATCAACATCAGGAAGGCTTTTCGGTTGGAGGTGAGGCTTCACATGTCCACTGACTTGGTTATCAAATCATGTATACTCACACACACACACACAGAGGTCTCCCTGTTACATGCTCCCATCTGATTCCCTTTTGATATCACCAGTCCACAATATCTTGCTGTGGATACAACTGCAAGCTCCATAAAGGCGTTATTGCTTATGCCTGATTTCCCAGTGCCGGGAACACAGCAATCAATGTGGAAGAAAGGGACAAATAAGTGAATGAAAGAATGAATGAATTAGCAAATGAACAAATAGTGTTGCTATACCTAGGTAAGCATCAGAGTCCTGATTTCACACTCCTAAAGCCAGTCACCTATTGGATTCCTATCTTGGTAAATGTCAGCCTCCCAACAGACACCTGGCTATCAGCCTTAATTCCCCCTTTTCTTGATGACCTCCCTTCCAACACAGGCCTCCAGCAAAGGTTGCTAATTCTACCTCCCAATGTGTCTTTTTTTTTTTTGAGACAGAGTCTCGCCCTGTCACCCAGGCTGGAGTGCAGTGGTGTGATCTCAGCTCACTGCAAACTCTACCTCCGGATTCAAGCTGTTCTCCTGCCTCAGCCTCCCGAGTAGCTGGGACTACTACAGGCACGTGCCACTATACCCAGCTAATTTTTTATATTTTTACTAGAGACAGGGTTTTGCCATGTTGGCCTGGCTGATCTCAAATTCCTGACCTCAGATGATCCTCCTGCCTCAGCCTCCCAAAATGCTGGGATTACAGGAATGGTGCCTCCTAATGTATCTTGCCCATCCACTTCTTTCTCCTCGCTGCTGCCACCACCTTGTCCAGGCATCCAGCAGCTTCTCTCACCTGGACTTCTACAGAGGCTTCCTAACTGGTTTCCCTGTTGCTATTCCCCACAGTGTCCAGAGGGATCTTTACAATGTCATTCAAACAGGTTATGACCCCTCCTAACACACTCTACTGGCTTCCTGCTGCGGTAGGAGTAAAGCCTGGGTCCTCACCTGCCTCTGAGGCACTGCCTGCCTCAGCATCTCAACCTGCTCCACCCTCGCCCTCACTCATTGGCTCTCACGCACTGTCCTGGCTCTTTCTTGGCTCAAGCCCCTGACCTTGCTGCAACGCTGCTGTGAATCTGCCCTTAGGCTCCTGCTTCAGGCCCCCCCACCACCACCAACATTGCTGCTTCAACTGGGCTTCTTTAATCATCCCACTGAGAGAATACCCCTTATGCACAATAACCCACCCCGTCCTCCATCCTTCAGAGGACCACCTCTTCCTGACATTATCCTACTTCTTTCTTTACTTTCTTATATGAACTGTATCAGGGCAGGATCTCACCTGATTTAGAACCTGTCTTAGTTCTTCTAGGGCTGCTATGACAAATTACCCTACACTGGGTGGCTTAAAACAACCGACATTCCTCTCACCATTCTGGAGGCAAGATGTGCAAAATCAAGGTGCTGGCAGGGCCATGTTCTCTCTGAAGACTCCAGGGAAGAGCCTTCCTCTCTCTCCCCTTCAGCTTCTGGGGTCTTCTGCGAGTGTTCTCAGCCTGTGGCTGCATCAGTCCAGTCTCTGCCTTCATCATCACAACACCTCTTCTGTCTGTGTCTTCTCTTCCATCTCTTATAAGAATATTTGTCATTGGATTTAAGACACACCTTGATAATTTAAGACGATCTCATCTCTACATCTTTGACTTAATTCAGTCCACAAATACCCTTTTTTCCAAATAAGGTCACATTCACAGGCTCCAGGAGTTAAGAAGTGGGCATCCTTTTTTTGGAACCACCTTTCAACACCCCTGTACCATCATATCCCCAGTGCCTAGCATGAGATTGGCTGAAGTAGGCATGCAGCAGAATCTGATGAATGAATGAATGAATGAATGAATGAATGAATGAATGTCATTGACTTTTTTTTATTTATTTGAGATGGAGTCTCTCACTGTCGCCCCAGCTGGAGTGCAGTGGCGTGATCTCAGCTCACTGTAACCTCCGCCTCCTGGGTTCAAGCGATTCTCCTATCTCAGCCTCCCAAGTAGCTGGGACTACAGGCATATGCCACTATGCCTAGCTAATTTTTTGTAGTTTTAGTGGAAACCGGGTTTCACCGCATTATCTAGGATGGTCTTGATCTCCTGACTTCATGATCTGCCCACCTTTTCCTCTCAAAGTGCTGGATTACAGGCTGAGCCACTGCACCATCACATTTTTATATTTTCACAACTGTTGTGACCATCTCTGTGTGTCCCAGCCAAGCAGCAGCCTGATTAGGGCTCTGCACAAGCAGTATGTGCCTCTGTCAGACCCCAAAGTGAACTTACATTCACCTCCACATCCACAGGAGGAAATGCCTTCATCTCCGGTCCCTTCGGAAAGCATTTGGTGAACTTGTTTTATTTCATCTGTGTAACTCTTCAATTGTCCTTCCTATTTTCCTCAATCTAAAATTCAGTCTCCCCCCTGCCTCCAACTCGCCATGGGGAAGCAAAGGAAGTAGGAGGCTCCAGGCACTTGCCATGCCTCAGGAGAGAGGAGCTGCATAAATCCCGTCTGCCCATCTTGCCACCCGTCAGAGGGCAAGCAGTCAGAGAAAGAAGGCGAAACTCAAGTCGGTTCAAGTTGCTCCATGAAGCACTGGCAGATGTCTAATGAAAGACAAGAAAGAAATTCTAATTTAAAACTTGAGTTTGGTGACAGCTGCAAATTTCCTCTTGGAAATTTCCCCTTGGCACCCAAAGTATGTGCAATTGGGGAGTGGGTGGCTTGGGTTTTCAACTGGAGGTCTCAGCAAAGACAGAGGTGAGCTCCACACAGGCACAGGAAAGCTTTCCCCACTGCCCACCAGCTCTTTCCCTGGACAGATGGACCCTTTACCAACTCCTAGCTAGTCTCAAGAGGCAACAGTCAGTTCATGTCATTTACCCACTTTTTGATGAGATTATTTGGGTTTGTTTTTTTTTTTTTTTTTTGCTGATTTGATCCTCATAGATTCTGGATATTAGTCCTTTGTTAGATGCATAGTTTGCAAATATTTTCTCCCATTCTGTGGGTTGTCACTCTAGCCATTTGTACCCCCAAAACCTATTAAAATAAAATATAGATGAGGCCAGGCGCGGTGGCTCATGCCTATAATCCCAGCACTTTGGGAAGCCGAGGCGGGCGAATCACGAGGTCAAGAGATCAAGAACATCCTGGCCAACATGGTGAAACCTCATCTCTACTAAAAATACAAAAAGGTTAGCTGGGCATGGTGGCGAGCGCCTGTAGTCCCAGATACTCGGGAGGCTGAGGCAGGAGAATTGCTTGAACCCAGGAGGTGGAGGTTGCAGTGAGCGAGGTCGTGCCACTGCACTCCAGCCTGGCACCTGGTGATGGAGCGGGACTCTGTCTCAAAAAAAATAAATAAAATATAGATGTTTATAAAGAAGAAGAAAGCAGAGTCAACAGTCAGGTCAGGCTGACAGCGATAGCAGTTCAGAGGTGTCTGAGAATGATGAGGGAGGGACCACCCACAAGCATGACAACAAAACGGCCCTAATCACCATGATAGTCACAGAAATATAACATTTGGTATTTCCAAACATTAAACACTTGCTTTCTATGAAAAGTCTAGCACCTTCCCGCAGGTTAAGCCACATACAAAGAACAAAATGATTCAGATTTATAAAATGAGTAGAGCAAGGATGACTTGGAGCCTAAATTTCATTTCCACTGTCAGGGTGATGCTCACAAGGTTTATTTGATTTAGAAGTTAAAAAAAAAAAAAAAAAGCAGTTGGGCATGGTGGTTCACATCTATAATCCCAACACTTTCGGAGACTGAGAGGGGAGGATTGTTTGAGTTCAGGAGTTCAAGACCAGCCTGGGCAACATGGTGAAATCCCACCTCTATAAAAAAAAAATACAAAAATTAACTGAGCATGACAGTGCACTCCTGTAGTCCCAGATACTCGGGAGGCTGAGGTGGGAGGATGGCTTGAGCCCAGGAGGTCGAGTCTGCAGTGAGCCAAGATTGCACTACTGCACTCCAGTCTGAGTGACAGAGTGAGAGCCTGTCACAAAATAAAAAACCACTTTCCTGTAATGTCACCTCTGAGCCCAAACTTCAGTAATGTAGCAACAATAAAAAAGACAGTCCCTTTTCCCCATTCTTGTATTGTTTATACAAGCATTCCCCAGAGAGTGCTAAGAGGAGCACAAATGGTGGGTGAAGATAAAATACCTACGGGGGAATACATTCAAAAACATTCCCTGCCATATCCCCGTTAGGATGTTACATGTTTCAGGCTCCAAGCGCCTCACGGGTCTTGCTTTTACTGAAGAATTTCCCTTACCCTGGTAGGTTTTAGATGCAGAAAATCTTCTCGGTGTTGTTCAGATTGAAAATATCATGGTCTTTGCAGAGGCATACGACATCGCCTTGGACATCACCTTCCCCAAAGGTATGCTGGGCCCTTCAAGGAAAGGATGTTTGGAAGTTGGGTCTTTTGTATTGTGTATTTCTGGGTAGAGAAAGGCTAGTGTGTTGTTAGTATTCCAGGGATTGGGGGTGGGGGGAGCAACTGTGATAAATAGTAATGTGAGCCCCAGAGTGATATTAGCAGCATGACTACACATAGTAATTACTCCAACAGGAAATAGCAAGGGAGTGGTCATAGATGTACAGTTTGCAGAGCTCTTTTCAGAGCAGTCGTGTGACAGTAAACACCTCTCCTCTTTCCGGTATTAGTTTTCTATCACTGCATAAAATTTCACCATAAGCTTTCTGGCTTAACACAAACATATTACCCTACAGTTCTGGAAGTCACTAGTGCAAAATGGGTCTCACTGGGCTAAAATCAAGATGTCAGCAGGGCTGCCTTCCCTTCTGGAGGCTCTGGGGGATCATTCATTTCTGTACCATTTCCAACTCCTAGAGGCTGCCCACATTCCTCCATCATGATCCCCTTCTTCCACCTTCAAAAATAGCAAGGTTGGGCCAACTCCATCTCATCTTGCCTTTTCTCTGGTTCTCCCACACTGCCTTCCTCTTTGCTCTTAAGCCCCATTGTGATTATATTGGGCTGATCAAGATAATTCTGAATTAATATTCCAAATGAATTATGGAACCACCATATCGTAAGACATTATGCAGCCACTAAGATCACACTTATGAGGAGTTTTTAATTATTTGGGGAACCGCTTATGATATAATGCTAAGTAAAACAACATAAATGTATGTGTAATATCCCAATTTTTGCAAGTTTTTTTTAAATATTGCAAGTTTTAGCTGATGGTAGACATGAAAGGCAATAAGCCTGGGATGGATGGAATCCGGAAGGAATAGCCCTGAGAGTGCATCAAGAGCAGCATCTGTTGTTTGTTTGCCCAGGCTCAATTAGAAAAGGCTTTTCTAGCCACAGTGCTTTCAGAAATAAATTCTTTTAAACTGTCACTGTGCATTTTCCATGTGAACTTCAAGAGGCATTTCCCCTGCTTCTCACTCTCATGCCCGCTCACCCCTCTCTGCCCTGGCCCCTGGTCTGTGCAGGAGCTGAAGGAGGCCTGGACTTTGGGATTGTCAGGGTCACAGAGGAGGTGAAGCAGCCCCTGCAATTGAAGAACCGTGGGAAATACGAGATCGGGTTCAGGTAACCGGAATCCCATCGGGTGTGCGGCCGCCAAGTCCGCCGTCGGGAGGAGCGTGGTCTGGGAAACTTTTCTTATCAGTCAGTCAAGGAAATCATAAGAACCATCTCTGCTTTTTTGCCTCCCTTGACTTCAAATGAATGGAATTCCACCTGCTAAGGGAGCAGAGATTTTCATGCTGTTCTCAACTCTGCGGTTTAACGGGGGCCTTTAAGTGGCCTGGATGTACCTGGCTGGTTGGAACCACAGGTTTCTGGGGGTGGAGGAAGAGACTTGGGGGAAGAGGTTGGGAGGGGGAGATTCTAGGGATGAGAAGAGGTCCCTGGGTGGAGGGAGAGACTGCAGATGGGGGACCTGGCCTCAAGCTGTCCTGCCTGCTGCCAGCTCTTATCTGTTTTGCAAGGAGTCCTTCTACAGCAGATTTCATGTGAAGAGAGGGTTTTCTTTTCTCATTACGTTCTAAGAACGGTGACATTATAGAATTCAAATAGTGGCTTAGTAAAATAGAGCTCCAGCTTGTGGTCATCCCTTGAGATTAAATATGAAACACAGAGGCTGGGTGTGATGGCTCATGCCTATAATCTCAGCACTTTGGGAGGCCAAGGCAGGTAGATTGCTTGAGTCCAGAAGTTCGAGACCAGCCTGAGCAAAATGGTGAGAACCCCCTGCCTCTACAAAATACAAAAAAAAATAGCTTGGCATGGTAGTCCTAACATTTGTAGTCCAAGCTACTTGGGAGCCTGTGATGGGAGAATTGGAGGTTCCTCAGCAACAAAAGGGTGGCATGACACCCTCAGACAGGGCCCCACAGCCCTTCGTGGCAGTGCCTGCACTTTTCATTCCATGGAAGGTTCTCCTTCCCTGAGAATTCACAGTTGACAAAGGGACTTTTCCCCTGTCACTTTGGAATTAGTGCTAAGTGGAATCTTGCCTGTTGGTGAGTTTTCTTTTAGATTAAGACGGGGGCTTTAGCTGTGCTGTTTGAGCTGCATGGAGTGGAGTCACAGGCTGGAACATGTGAGAGAGGGTTTGTTGAAAGAATGTTCAGGGAAGTGAGGAAGCACAGGGATGCAAGTAACTGGGCAACCAGGGTTTCCTGGAGCATGGGGGTGACATTCAGAGTCCCACAGCAACTCCGGGCATCCCTCCTCTGCTTAGGTGGGAAACACCTTGGGCCTATGCCAGTGCCTCTTTCGGTCTCATGAGCCAGCTGCTTCCTGTGTTTCTCGCCTCACCTCCAGTATGCCATGGGCTTCCCTCCCTAGTGCCTCCACTGCAGGGCCCCTGCCCCCTCTCTGCTCTCTCTCCCCAGGTTCCCTGGTTTCTGTGTCACTGTTTGCTCTGCATGTACTGAGAGCCAGACAGACACAGAGAGAGAGAGAATTAATTTAGTTGGTCCTTTTTCGGTGTCCAGTGTCCCTGTTGGACAGAGATCTCCTGCAATGGCCTCTCTTGACCATTGGATAGAGTGTGGCTATCTTTGCCTCAAGCATCAATTCCTGGTCCTGTCAGTCCTGGCTAAGGAGAGGCGATCAGAGCATACAGAGCACAGTGGACTCTGCTGGGCATAGTGGCTGAACAGGGCTGGAGACACAGCAGGCACTCAGCCATCTAGTCTCCTCTCTGGTATCTTGAGTTCCCGGGATAATGACTTAGGTTGACTTTTCATTCTTGTCTTTCAGCTTTTCCGTGGACTCTGTAGGGATTTCAACACCTAATATAAATTCCATGATCTCAGTCCAACCCAAAAAGGGTTCACTGACCCCAACAGAAAAACCCACAAATGTCCAAGTTTTCTTCCATGCAAAAAAGGAAGTGAAGATCGAGCACCAGCCTGTTCTGCACTGTCAGGTAAGAGAGCTCTGAAGGGAGGGGCTGCCTCGATGGCAGGATCATGGGACTCCTGTTGCAAAGAGGATACCTGGCCTAATCCATGCTCCAGGGGGAAAAAGGGAGGCCTGGCCGGGGTGACAACCAGATAGGATACACCGGGGGTTGGTCCTAACTAGCAGGCAAAGTCATCAGAAATAGAGTCAGAGAGGAAATGTGCCCCCAAGTCTCTGGGGAGCATCAGAGGCAGGGAAGCTGAGTCCCATCATCAAGTGCAAAGGATGAGCGGGGAATTGAAAGCAGGAGGAAAAGCTGACTATGTTGACCCTTGGCTGGTACACAGCAAGCTCTGCTTTAGTGTTTGCTAATATCATTGTTGATGCACTAATACAAAGACAGTGAAATAAAGAACATAGCCTCATGTCAGTCATGAAAATAGGGAATGGGGTTCTGTAGCTACAGCAGTGGCTGACTTGTAATTCTTCTTCTCTTTCTAGATTATTGAGCCCAGTATTTCAGAAGGAGGTGAGATCATTGCCAGCATCCCAATTAAGTTTTCTGTGAATGCAGTATATTCCAAATACAACATCAGCCCCTCCTCCATCATCAACTTTGGAGCTTTGATCTGTGGCGCTCGTAAAAGCACCACCTTCACCATAGAAAATCAAGGTGTTACTGACTTCAAGTTCTCCCTTTATCGGCTGACAGGGGAGAGCCCCATTCATCAAAAGAAAGCGTAAGACCAGTATTTACTTAACTCATTTCATTCTCTTATTAATTTGTGCTTTATATTTTGTAAAGAGCTTTGGTATATCTTACTTAAATTCACCCAATCCCCTCTCGTGGGTGAGGTCACTAAGATTTATAAATGGCTCATTTAGATTATACACAAAAGCTGGGCATGTAATCCCAGCACTTTGGGAAGCCAAGGCGGGTGGATCACCTGAGGTCAGGAGTTCCAGACCATCCTGGCCAACATGGTAAAACCCCATCTCTACTAAAAAATATAAAAATTAGATGGGCATGGTGGTACACACCTGTAGTCCCATGCTAGGGAGGCTGAGGCAGGAGAATTGCTTGAACCCGGGAGTCAGAGGTTGCAGTGAGCCGAGATCACACCACTGCACTCCAGCCTGGGCAACAGAGTGAGACTCCATCTTAAAAAAAAAAAAATTATACATGAAATTACCAGTGGATCTTGGTTGTGAGCCCACAAACCTTCTGACTCTAGGTTTTGTCGATTTTCTGTAGAATATATCATAAATTTTAGTTGAACAAACATAGTCTTCTGCCTGGGATTTTGTCTGTTGTCCTGGTGCTTCTGGAGTCCTAAAGGAGTTATTAGATCATTGTCGTATGTGTCATTCTGTACAATGCCAAGAGATTATTATCACAGCAAGATAAATCAAAAGAAACTGTAGCTGTGCTTCAGGTGGGGCCGCTCTGGAAGCCCAGAAGAGAGGAAGTGTGGTGATGCCTTCAGCCTACCAGGGACTGTTATTGTTATTGCCTTCTTCCCATTAAGGTAGCTTCACCATCACAAAGCTACCTTAATAGTTGTTCCAACAGCAAAACGCCATGTTCTTCAAAAGGAGGCTGTCAATCAATTCACCCAAAACAACTTGTCTTTTGAGTGCTTTGGCTTCCATTAGGCTGTCATACTCTTTTTGGGCAAATTAAGGATGGTTTTTACTAATTCCTGAGGCACTTCTAATTTAATGTTGATTTTCTAGTTAATTCTTTTAAATTAGATGATGCCTTTACATTGTTTGTAGTTTTATATTTTTGTAGCTATTCTTTTCTGTTTTGGCAAAGTTTGAACATTTTTTAAAATGTAGAGTTAATTGCGTCAGGTCCCTTTCTTCTTAATTTAATTTCAACCAAATATTTTTACAATTTATTTTATTACAATGTAATAATGTCTCTAATGATTATAGCTTAATTCTGTTTTGCTTTAAATTGGTTTTTATTTGCTTTTCATTTTGGCATGCACAGGTTCACGCTAAACGCACAAAAGGTGGTTGAACTTCTGGTGTTCTGGTCGTTAAGAAAGTGAATACTTGCATGTGTAAAATTCTCAAAAATTTAACTTGCATTTCAGATACATCTGAACATTTCAGGTGAACTGGTCTCTAGGCAAACTAACTATTGGATGAACTAGTTTCAAGGCAAGCGAACACTACCAAGACCTGCTTATACTAAACCTTCAAAAATCATGACTATAAATGTGAAGAAGAAAACAGAGCTTAATTTATTTGCCACTTCACTTTTTAAAATGAGATTAAGTGAAATATTTGACATCCGCAAGTGATTTTCCACACACTGCTTTCCAGTGAACTCAAGTAGGCATTTAAAAATTACTGTTTTCTTGCAGTAATTTTCAGTGTCCCTATCAATCATATTTGATAAGTATAATCGCTGCCCAGCTTCCTTGCAATTGTGAAATGAGTTTGGTCAGTGATTAACTAGCTAACTGTGCCACTCCAATGTCCTCTTGGGCAAAGAAGAACCCTTTCCTCCATTCCTAAAACAAAGGATGTTGCAAGCAGACAGACAGGTGGTGTCTTACCCCCACACCCTGCAACCTAAGGGTACACTCTTGCTTCTTTAATCAGGGTCAGCCACATCAGACAAGCAAGATCCCGAGAAAGTGAGAGCTTCTACAAAACTGGCCCTTCCAAAACATACAAGTTCTCTGACTTGATTCAGAAGGAAGTGATCAGCACAGGCCAGGTATGTATCCTTTTCCTTGTTCATACCCAGGAAGGCCATCTCCCGATTAGCTCTTGCCACATCACTTCCCTCGGATAATAGGATTTGAATCCATCATAGCAGAAATAGGAAATAAACATACTGAGGTGTCACTTTCATTTTAAGCTAATACATTATTACCTTTAATTTGGATGTTCTCTTTTGCTTTAAAACCTTCATTGACTCGCCAGTGCCTTAAAACTGTTTCAACTCTTCATACGTATTTTAATCAAGAATAAGAAAGAGAAGCCCTTCCAAACAGGCTTAAATAAAAGAAAATTCGAGGATTTCTGCTTCTGGAAGATCAACTAGATGTACTTTTTCCTATTCTTCCCAACTAAGTACCACTAGGAACCCTAGACATTGTGTATAAAACAGACTTCAGACTCTGAAAGGTAGAGAAAAGAAACCAGACCATCCCCAGGGTCTTTGGGACCCAAGGAACATCAAGGTGGTGAGTTCCCAAGTTTTCTTTTTGCCTCATATCTCCCAGACTGAGTGCTGAAGCAGCCAGCAACCCCAAAACATCAACAGACACAGACTGAAAACAAGCCCCAACAGAAGCCTACTCCTACTTTCTTTCTGCCTTTCTAGGTTGCCCCTAGAAAGACAGAAAACTTTTGATAGTAACCTAAAGACAACAGTTAACCTAGAAAGACAGAAAACTTCTAGATAATAACTGTTCTACTCCAGCCAAACACCTAAGAAAAATATCTGGCCCCAAGCCACCCCTGCTAGCAAAGGCCAAATAGAGAGTCTGGACTCCACCCTCTCCAAGCTGTCTTGAGGTGCCCCACCTACTTGCCAGGGTTGTCTCAGAGAATGTCGAGCAGGAAGTCAAAACTTTGATTCCCATGGGTGGTAACAACAAGGGAAAAACATGGTAAGCCATAATGAAGGTACATTCAGTAGACCTTACTTCTCTTCCTGGGTTTTCTAAATTTTCTTTGTCAATGGAAGCAACCCTATAATGCTGTCTGATAAGGTTTTAAATGGATGTAGAGGAGATATTTTAGACAGACAGAAGAAAGGGACAGAGGAAATAATCAGTGAACTTGAAGATAGACATTAAGAATTCCCTATAAAAATAACTGAAGGTCCCCCACCACCTCCTTATGAAATAATTCCTTATATTAAAAAAAAAAAAAAAAAAAAAACAGGAGGTCCCTCACCACCTCTACTGCTGTTTGTGGAGACACCACATGGGGAAGCTTGACATCCACCTAACCTAGTGGTAATGAAGCATTCCCCTGTCCCCTGCTGGAATGGTGCCAGAGGACCTTCATCTCCCATGGCATCAGCAGAACAGTAGCAGGCACTCACCTGTCCCCAGAAGGGAGGTATCAGTTGAGGACTAGTGGAGTGCTGGAACACCCACCCCTGCCCAGCAGGAATAGTGAGTCTGAGTGGGAATCTGGACTACTGCCCTCTCCTGGCAGTAGCTCATCAGTGCACTTCCTTCCCCTGCCAGGGTAGTGCCAAAGAAAGCCAGCTGAAACCGAGTCTCATAGCATAACCCCAAATTTCGAGATTTCAACTGAAAATCATTCATCATACCAAGAACCAGGAAGAATCAAACTGAAGGAAAATAGATAAATGCTAGATAACAACACTGAGATGACAGAGGTGTCAGAATTGGCTGAAAATGTTTCAGTGAGCAATTATAAGCATTCCTGGAAAATTTTTAATATAGCACATCTCAGCAAAGAAAGAAGATGCAGAGAAGAAGCAAATGGAAATTCTGGAAATGAAAATAAATAACCAAACTTAGAACTCCATGGATGGGCTCAACTACAGAGAGGGGGCAGAGGAAAGAATCAGTGAACTTGAAGACAGACAATAGGGATTCCTGTGTTAGTTTCACATTGTTCTCACAACAAATCACCTCAAATTTAGAAGCTCAAAATAATACACACTTTTTTATCTTATAGTTCTGTAGGTCAGAGTGCTAAAATCAAGGTGTTGGCAGGGCTGTATTCTTTTCTGGAGACACCAGGAAATAATCATTTTCATTGTTTTTCCAGCTTTTAGAGGCAACCCACATATCTTGGCTTGTAGTCCCCTTCTGTTATCCTCAAAGCCAGCAACAGGGGGTCGGAGCCTTCTCACATCACATTACTCTAACCTTCATAATCATATCTCCTTCTAACTCTCTTCTCTTTCTAAGGACCCTTGTGATTGCATTGGGCTCATTATAATCCAGAATAATCTCCTCATTGCAAGATTCTTAGTATGATCGCGTCAACCAAGTCCTCTGCTGTGTAACGTAACATATTCACAGGTTCCAGAGAGTAAGATGTGGACATCTTTGGGAGGCCATTATTCTGCCCGGTCTAAACAAAAGAGAGAAAGTAGACTCTATTTTGAGACTCTTGAAAGTCTTTTTGAGTCTACTGAAGAAAAATGAATAGATGCTCAGGGATCTGCGGAACCAGAGCAAAAGATCTAATGCTCTTGTCATTGGAGTTCCAGAAAGAGTCACAAAAGGGGACTGAAAAGGTACTCAAAGGAATAATGACAGAAAACTTTTCAAGTTCGGCAAAAGATATAAACCTACAGACTCAAAAATCTGAGTAAACCCAAATAGGAGAAACCAAAAGAAAACCATGCTAACACATATCATAGTTAAACTTCTGAAAATGTTTAAAAATTTAAAAATTTTGAACACATCAAGAGAGAAATGAACCTTGAATGACAGCAGATTCCTTACAAAAACGGTAGAGACCCAAAAGAAAGAGGCACAATATTTTCAAGTGTAGAGAACCAATAATGGTGAACCCAGAATCTTATATCCAGCAAAAATATTTCTCAGGAATAAATGGAAAATTGACTTTCTCAAATGAAACAAAGCTAAAAGAATTTGTCACCAGTAGACTTATCCCAAAATGGCTAAAGGAAGTTCTTTAAACAGAAAGTAAATAACGAAGTAATCATGGAACATCAACAAGGAAGAAAAAATAGTGGTAAGCAATAATGTAGGTAAATTCAGAAGATCTTACTTCTCTTCCTGGGTTTTCTAAATTATCTTTATCAATGGAAGCAACCCTATAATGCTGTCTGATATGGTTTTAAATGGATGTAGAGGAAATATTTTAGAGAGGAGACAGGGGAAAGAATCAATGGACTTGAAGACAGACAATAAGAATTCCTCATAAAAAACAGGTGAATGAGCAGTTGTTAAGCAAGATGGCAAATACTATCATTGAGGTGCATGTACATGGATAGACTCTGGAAAGATGGAAGAATGAAGTCTTACTCTTCCTGGTAGCTATGTAGAGCCATTGAAGGCTTCACAGAGGAGGAGGTGCTTGATTGGTGTATCAGAATCATGTTTAGCTGTAGATAGCAGAAAATCCAAAGTTAGTGGTTTAAACAAATACAGTATATATAAATGGGGTAGGCAGTTGCTGGTGTCAGTTTAATTGTTTGTTGTTATTTGTGATTCTCTTGGCCTTTCCCTTATGGCTACAAGACGGCTGCTGCAGCTCCAGCCACCACCTCTGCATCAAAGGCAATGACAGAAGTAGGTACTCTGCACTCTATGAACACAAATAATTATTGATTGACGTGAACTAGGTTTTCTACATGTTGGTTTTTAGATCTTTTCAAGTGGTTTCCTCTTGTCAAGCAAAGACTATTTTATTAGCCTACATAATTTTCTACACATATTTATTTAACTCTCTTCTAGAGACTTTTTTTTACTTCTTTGCCTACATATCTTCTCAGCCTTCAGTGAAACAGCCTCTCCAGCACTCTGCCTTTCAGTTTCAATGAACTTGTCCTGTCCTCTAAGTTGGCAGCTTATTTTCATGGTCACAGCCTGGATCTGGCCTCACAGGAAACTGAGGTGCTTCTGAATCCTTCACTTCCAAGACCTCTTTCTCTGACCGCTTCCCTTTCTTCCAGCTCTCTGCACCTCAGTTCTTTGCCCTCACTATGACTTGCTCCTTGCTCTTTTGAGACAGTGTCCTGCCATTTTCTTACTACTCTCCAACCTTCTCCTCTGTCAGGTTGGTTTATCTGGGAATCTCAGTGCCCACGACATCTCCTAGCACATAGTAGGTATTCAGAGTAAATAGCGAACAAGTTCGTTGAGAGCTTCCATGTATGTCTGTGCAGTCACACCGCACAATGCTAGGGGCCGCCTCCACACAGCTGCCTGTGTGAAGAGTGCCCCCTAGAGGTGTGCAGCGTACCACCTACCCAGCCACTTGCAGCAGCCATGGTAAGAACTTAAGAGAAGTTTCGAATACCCTGAAGAATGCAGAGTCCGTGTCTGAGCACTGTCAGAACAGACCTCTTCCTAATACACCATTACTAGAGAATATACCTGAAGGGGTTTAGTGGAGATCAAGGGACAGGCCACTGGAAAGAATGCATCTCAAAGGGAAGAGGAGCAGAATTTGGTTGAAAGTTCATCAGTAACAGAGTCCCCACCTACCACCTCACCACTGTGATAGATTCCAGGCATGGTACAATAGGTGCCCTAAAGAGAGAGAACATAAATCAGACTGCCTTTGACAGCTTTCTGAAAATGAGAAAGAGGAAGAAAGCTCATGAGTACCACAGGCATGCATGCTGACTATGAAGCAGAATACCGTGCCTCAGCATCAGTCCCTGGGAAGGGAATTCCATGTGCCAGCTACCAATCCCAGGAGAGAATTCTAAACACTTTGCCAATATTGTGCACTGGCATCACTCCCAGGGGAGACCTCTAACCACCTCACCAGTATCTGCTGGGGTTCCTACATCTGGCAGGAGGTCCTTCACAAACCCCAGCTGACAGAGGTTTTGCTCAAATCCAACTGCCAGGGTATGAGTCCAGTGTGACAGAACCACTCACACAAGTCACGCAAAGCAAGTGATCAGATAGGTGTCGAAAACCAATAGAAGCCTAGTATCCATGGACAGTTGGTCTCCCAAGGCTCAGGAAAGCTGCCTGGGCTGGATGAAGTCCCATCTATGCATGCCCCACTTCACACTGCAGCTGAAAGGCACCAAAAGCATTTGGTCCTGGGGTTTTGTGCCTCAGAGGAAACGTGGATCTCTAAGGTGCAAGACATCCTGTTCTAGGAGGGATGAGGACAGAGCCTGGACTGTTCCGGACCGTTCCCTTATATCAGGCCCCTGCGTTTTCAGCACTTTCTACCATCTGGAAAACTGCAAGCAGGAGAGAGAAGAGCCGGGACATCTAAGGATTGCACCAACATCCTGTTTTGTTTTGTTTTTTAGCAGTAATTCTATACTAGATGCTACGTCATGTGCCTCATACCTGTTCTTTCATTTAAACCTCCAGCAATCTCTGGGATCGGGGCTTTAGCTCCATTTTATGAGTAAATAAACTGAGACTCAGAGAAGTCATTCGTTCAAGGTCAAACAGTCAATATTTAGCAGGGCTGGGATTCAAACCCAGGTGTATCTCACCCAAAAGCCCATAACCATACCCACTACTACATTCTGCACCCCTCCGCTTCAAGATGCCCAGCTGAATACGTGCCATATGATGTGGAGTCTGTCTGCTCCTTTAAGCCCTTAGTTCAAACACAATTGGTCTGAAGGAATTTACGTGGAAGGAAATACTGAGAGAGCCTATCCCTGAAGACCACCCCAACCCCACCACCCATCCCAGGCCCTCTGTCCCTCCAGGAAGAAAAGAGTGAGGGCCCAGAGAGTGGCTGTGAGAAGAAACCCCACATGTCCCCTACTCTGCACACCATCTCCCAGCTCTCAGTCTGGCTGTCACTCACTCTACCTCCAAGCCTCCTTCCCTCCCACCCTTGTTCTGCAGGCCCGCTTCTCCCATGGCATGTTCACCGTGTACCCCTGGTTTGGCTCCATCCCTGCCGGAGTACAGCAGGTCATCAATGTTGACTGTGTGGCTGACCCCGTGGGAAGATGTGAGGAGTTTATAGCCATTGATATCTCCGGCCGAGACCCTACAGACCAGCCTACCAGCATTCCTTACACTCTGCTGGCTGAAGCCTGTCTCCCAGGTACTGACCACTCATATTGGACAGCATCACTTAAAAGACGTTCATCTGAGACCAGGTGCGGTGGCTCATGCCTGTAATCCCAGCACTTTAGGAGGCCGAGATGGGCGGATCATCTGAGGTCAGGAGTTTGAGACCAACCTGGCCAACATGGCAAAACCCTGTCTCTACTAAAAATACAAAAAATTAGCTGGGTGCAGTGGTGCATGCCTGTAATCCCAGCTACTCGGGAGGCTGAGGCAAGAGAATCGCTTGAACCCAGGAGGTGGAGTTTGCAGTGAGCCGAGATCATGCCACTGTACTCCAGCCTGGGCAACAGAGTGAGAGTCCATCTCGAAAATTAATAAATAAATAAATGACCTTCATTTGTAACACCTCTACCCCTTTCTTGCAAATTTTTCCAAAGATGTCTGGCAGACATGGCTGGACTGCTTGCTTTGGGGTCCTAGACCTTCCTCTAGTGTCTTCAGCTGCGTTGTTACAGGGCATGCATGCCTAAGGGAGATGGTACAGCTTTACACTCCCAGGAGGCTTCTCCTGGGTTCTTAGATGAATAATCTATCTGAGAATCATGATGGGATGGGCTGTGGCACAGGAGCCAGGACCATTGAGTCCCACTCATGGCCAGGTCACTCCCATGAACAAATGAGGTGGGAGGATTGCTTGGGCCCAGGAGGTCAAGGCTGCAGTGAGCCATGATCGTGCCACTGCATTCCAACGTGAATGACAGAGCAATGTTCAGTAACTGAGCATGCAAAATCTGTAACCCCACAGGACTGCAGATGAAGTGCAAAGAGAATGCCTCATGCTTTGACCATAGGATCCCTGGAGCCTTGAAGCAAAGTGGCCCAGTTGCCCCCTTCCCTCCATAGCCCACCCTAGATCTTGGATCTTACCATTGGGAGAAAAATGCTCACTGGAGTGTAGCAAGGACAATACAGAAGAGGAAGACAAGACAGAGTGTTTCCCATCCCAAACACCCCCTTGCATGAATTCCCCTATGTGTCCTCTGTGGTTCTCTTTTGTGAGAATCCAAAGCTCCAAATTAGGAATTACAGAGCCAGAATCCAGCGATCAGGCAGCATCTCACAGCCTTCCCTTCACTCCCCAGCCTTCGTGACTGAAAACAATGCCTTGATATTTGAAGAGCACCAGATATGCACCAGCGCCAACCTGTACCACATCCTGCAGACCATAGAGAGTGGGGGGCTGTTTGTGGAGGACGAGAACAAGTTCATCTTCTGCAATGTCCTGGTAGGCTGCCAAGCCAAGGCTCGGTTCAAGATCAGCAACGTGGGAAAGATTGCCTGTGATGTCAACGTTGTAGTCAGGCCTGTCTCCAATAAGGTAAGACACTCCCAGTGGCCCCTGGCCCACCATGGTTGGCATATCTGAGGCAGGCAGATCACTTGAGGCCAGGAGTTTGAGACCAGCCTGAGAAACATGGCAAAACCCCATCTATATATTTTTTTTAAAATAGCCGGGCATGGTTGCACACACCTGTAGACCCAGCTACTTGGGAGGCTGAGGTGGGAGGATTGCTTGGGCCCAGGAGGTTGAGGCTGCAGTGAGCTTTAATCATCCCACTGCACTCCAACACAAGTGACAGAGCAAGATCCTGTCTCAAAAAGAATTTAAATACCAACCAACACCAATCTTTGGGCATCCCAATTTAGTTAACAGGGTGGGGTAGTGGGGAGAATATCTGACTTCCTGGCTTAGTTCATCTATTTGAGTCAAAAATCATAGGTCTAGCCAAATCCAGCCAGGCATCATTCAGGGATGGGTCCCAGGCTGTTCCCTCCAGGGCCCCGACCCTGCAGGCAGTGGAGCATGTCCACCACCGCATTTAGATGAGGCAGTTGGGGGAGCTCCTGAAAATGAGGAACATGCCTAATGAGAATGCAAAGGCGCTGACACACTCTGGTCTCTGCCCCCATCACCAGCCCTATGCCCGCATCGTCGACATTTTTGACGTGGAACCCAACAAGATGTGCATTGCCAGTCACTCCCATGCCTTTGCCACGGTGTCCTTCACCCCGCAGATCATGCAGAACTACCAGTGCATCTTCGAGGCTACCTTGGATGGCTTGCCCAGGTACCAGCTCCCAGCTCCCTCTCCTGCAGCAGGGCTACAGGCCACACTCCCCACGGAGTGTCATTCCCACCATGCCAGGCTGACAGGCTGCAATCTTCCTGTTCCCTGTAGCACCCTGGTCAAGAGCCGAGGCCTTGTGTTTGACATCGCTGGTGAGGGGAACCTCCCTCGAGTGACGGTTGTGCGGCCAATTCTTCATAACCAACATGGAAACCCCTTGCTCCTCTTTAAGAGGCTTCTCCTTGGTCGTTCAGAGAAGCTGCCTCTCATCCTCAAGAACAATGGCATCCTCCCTGCCCAGGTAATACTAGAGGGTGAAGCATGAGGCTGAAAGGGAGAAGAATCCAAAAGTTACACTCTGCCATGCCTAATGCATGAGGACTTCTCTGTTGATCCACATACACTAACCTATGTGTCAGGGGCATGCAGAGGGGAATCTGGCATGGTGTTTGTCCTCAAGGAAAGTAGGAAACTGGATTCTACAATATATCATTAACTACTGTCCAAGGTAGTGTGCAGTGATGTGCACCAAGCTGAGTGGGTAGGGTTATGGGTATTCTTAATGTCTTTATTTTTAATTGTTTTCTATAATGAACTTTGCATTTGTAATGAGGATAAGATGATAAACGAAATTTCAGTAGGGGTGAGAGATTCAACATCTAAATGTATATTGATTCACTGATTACATTATAGTTTTATTTTTACCCAAAAAAAAGGTGATGTACTGTACTCTACAAGGGACTGTAGGACTTTTGAAAAAGATCTATTCCCATCTAGATGATAAAGAGAAAAGTCACTCTAAATGACATTTGAATGGGGCTCTGTGAAGGAGTTGGGTTTCAGCCAGTCGGCATTTGTCAGTCCATGCAAACCAGAAAGAGAGAGAAAGATTTAAACGTGCAGAAGCCAAAAGAAAAAGAAAAAGTGCAAGCTACTGCAGGATCTAGTAAGCGCCCAGGTTCATGAGAGCATAGACATAGATAGAAGAGCAAAGAAGATAAAAATGCAAGGATATAGTAATGGAACAACTTGTGGAAGGCCTGGGATTCTCTATTTTAAACCTTACTATTGTTCTTGCTGCTGTTGTTCTTATTGTTTATACATTTATGACTCACTTAGGTTTACTCATTTCTTAATAATTTTTATTGCTGGGTCTCCAGTTTTCCATCTGTATTAGTCAGTTCTCATGCTACCAATAAAGACATACCTGAGACTGGTTAATTTATGAAGAAAAAAGAGGTTTAATTGACTCACAGTTCCACATGGCTGGGAAGGCCTCACTATCATGGCAGAAGGCAAAGGAGGAGAAAGACGTGTCTTACATGGTGGCAGACAAGAGAGATTGTGCAGGGGAACTCTCATTTATAAAACCATCAGATCTCATGAGACTTATTCACTATCATAAGAACAGCCTGGGAAAGACCCGCCCCGTGATTCAATTACCTTCCACCAGGTCCCTTTCATGACACATGGGAGTTATGGGAGCTACAATTCGAGATGAGATTTGAGTGGGGACACAGCCAAACCATATCATCATCTTACATCCTTTTCTTACCAACTGAAGAATACTCTTTAGTATTTTCTTAATGTGAGTCTGCTGGTGGTGAAGTGTCTATTTCTCCTTCTTTTTTTTAATTATTATACTTTAAGTTCTGGGGTACATGTGCAGATCTTGCAGAATTGTTGCATAGGTATACACATGCCATGGTGGTTTGCTGCCTCCATCCTCCTGTCACCTACATTAGGTATTTCTACTAATGTTATCACTCCCTAATCTCCCCACCCCCTGCTATCCCTCCCCTAGTCACCCACCCCCCAGTAGACCCTGGTGTGTGATGTTCCCCTCCCTGTGCCCATGTGTTCTCATTGTTCAACACCCACCTATGAGCGAGAACATGTGGTATTTGGTTTTCTGTTCTTGAGTCAGTTTGCTGAGAATGATGGTTTCCAGATTCATCCGTGTCCCTACAAAGGACACAAACTTGTTTTTTATGGCTGCATAGTATTCCATGGTGTACATGTGCCACATTTTCCTTGTCCAGTCTGTCATCAATGGACATTTGGGTTGGTTCCAGGTCTTTGCTATTGTAAACAGTAGGTACGATAACTTTTTGGGGTCCTACGCCAAACCCAGCACAGTATCTCACCCCAGACTCAAAGCCTATGAGCAGCCTGTAAGCCTAGAACTCAGTCCTGCTTTCCTTCTGCCAGCTGCATGTTGACCTGCAGGATGACCTAGGAGTCTTCTCCCTGAAGGGGAGGCCCACCACCTCGTACATCTACATCACAGAGGAAAACAAACCACATGAGAAAGGTAAGTGTGGGAAAGGTGCTTCTGGAGGACAATGGATCTCAGTAGCTGTTTCCATAGGGGATCACTCAGGGCCCAGCCAGAGAGGAATGCCCATTCTCATCACGACTGGCCTCTAGCTAAGGCTCATTCCCATTTTAGGGTTAGTTTCCCTTCAACTGGGGTCTTTATGGATACACATTTCTTGAAACTGGTTCTAAATCATAACCTCTCTTCTTTTTGCAGCAAAGAAAGCTCACACAGCCTCCTTGGTTGTTTCTCCTGGAGATACAGCTGAATTTGATGTCTTTTTCCACTCCCAGAAGGTTGGGAGAGTGAAAGGAATCATCCACTTGTCAGTGATCAACAACCAGTATGAGGACACCATCATCCGCATGGTGGGAGAGGGCTATGAGGATGACATCACCTTGGACAACATCCACGGGCTGGTGGCTTCCACCAGTCAGGAAGGCATAAGTATCTCTGAGTTCACAGAGATCCTCGAGGACAATGATATGGAAGACTTGGTGGCAGGTGGGAGAAGCAGTAGTGGGTGTTGACAAGTGTTGGCTACTGGGTCATTTGTTTTAAACAAGAGTTAAATTTACATAACAGGTTGGTTAGCTCCCTGAGAATTTAGGACTGACTCTCCTCACTCACTGTCTCACTCTCCTCACTGAACTGTGGCTTGCCTGGCTCAGTCATGACATCCATCTTTCCACTTATTCATGTGTTCACTTGAGGAACATGTATGGTGCACCAAGTACATGTTCCCGGCATGCTGATCCCTGCAGTTTCAAAATTAACAAGGAAGTCTATACTCTTAAGGAGCTTATACTGTGATATTCAAATTCCAGTTCAACTAATAGGTAAATAAATGCCTTACAGTTTTTCCTGTCTGCATTTATTAGCTGGCTTGCATGGGCATTGTCGATCTTGTTTAATTAGAGAGAGTATAGGTTTGGGCCACCTCTAGAACATCTGCACAGCCTCACTACTCAGTAAGCAGTTTGAGAACCTATAGCACCAGCATCACCTGGGAGCTTGTTATAACTAGGGGTTTCAGACCTGCCCTGACCTACTGAATCAGAATCCACATTTTAAGATCCCAGGTGATATGTGTTTATACTAAAGCTTAAGATATGTTGTGCTACAGTCTACCAAGCACTGAAGCTTCATTTAGTTGACATTTTTGGGATTGGAAAAATTTACTTCATTGTTATAAAAAGTTAAGTGCCCTAATTATATGGCTGGTTGCTAAAAAGTGAGTTATAAACAGAGCCCCACAGTTTTTCCAGAGGCTTAATTACAGTCCTAGAATGTGCCATTAGGTGGTCTACACAACATGAGTTGAGATCAAAACTCCTCATATACCTGGTGTTTCATCCCTGTTTGAGGCTGCAGAGTGACATCTCTCTTATCAAGGATCAAGCAGGAGCCAGCAGTTAATCTAAGTTCAGAACTCAGATTTCATGCCCATAATAGGATTGCCATAGTAAGCCAATTAGAATAAAAGAGTCCCCAATAAATTGGAATTTCAGTTAAACTATGAATAATTCTTAGTATGTGTAATCCCAAACATGGAATGGGATATACTTATCCTAAAAATTATTCATTACTTATCTGTAATTCAAATTTAAGTGAGACTCCTGTATTTTATCTGGCAATCCCAATCCTTTATAGTATTGTCTCACCAAGCAAATGGAGTTGGGGATCTATTTTCTCTTGTACAAATGGAGGTGAGGGCTAAGGTACGTGAATGGATGATGGATAGATGGATGGAAAGATAAATGGATGGATGGGTGGGTAGATGATGGACACATGGGTGGATGATGATGGGTACATAGCTGAGTGTGTAGGTGGATGATGGGTGAGTGGGTAGGTAGATGATAGATGAATGGGTGGGTAGATGATGGATAAATGAGTGGATGGGTGGGTAGGTGGATGGATGGATGGATGGATGGATGGATGGATGGATGGGTGATAGATGGATGGGCAAGTGAGTAGGTGGATGGTGGATGGATAGGTGGAGGGTGGATAATGGATGGATGGATGGGGAGATGATGGGTGGATGAGTAAGTCAATGATGGATAGGTGGATGATGGATGGGTGGATGATGGATAGATGGGAGAGTTGATGGATGGATGGATGGATAGATGGAAGGATAAATGGATAGTTGGGTGGATGGGTGGGTAGATGATGGATAGATGGGTGGATGATGATGGGTAGAGAGCTGAGTGTGTAGGTGGATGATGGGTGAGTGGATAGGTGGATGATAGATGAATGGGTGAGTGGCTGGGTGGATGATGGTAGATGAATGGGTGTGTGGATGATGGATGGATGAATCGATGGATGGATGATGGATGGATATATGGATGGATGATGGGTGGGTTGGTAGATGGATGGATGGGCAGGTGAGTAGGTGGATGATGGATATATAGGTGGATTATAGATGGATAATGGATGGATGGGGAGATGATGGATGGGTGGATAGATGGATGATGGATAGGTAGATGATGGATGGGTGTATGATGGATAGATGGGAGGGTGGATAATGGATGGATGGATGGGTGGGTGTGGAAATAATGGATGAGTGGATAATGGATGGCTGGGTGGGTGGGTGGATGGATAATGGCTGGATGGGGGTAGATGGATGATAGATGGATGGGTGATGGATGGATGAATGGACAGATGGGTAAATGATGGCTGATTGGGTTAGTGGGTAGAGGATGGATGGTTGGGTGGATAATGGATAGATGGATAAGTGGATGATGGATGGATGGACAGGTAGGTGATGGATAGGAGGATGGATGGATAGATAGATAGATGATGGATGGATGGGTAGATAATGGATATGTAGATGGTGGATGGATGGGTGGGTAGATGATGGATGGATGGATGAATGGATGCATGGATGGATGGATGGGTAGGTAGGTTTCTTGAGGAATGAAATCTTGTTATTCAGAGATTCTAGGTTTTTCAAATATAACCATCCAAGGATGGAAAGATTGTATGGGAGTGAAGCACTATGCCTCCTTAAGGAAGCAAACCTTCAGTGGAGGCCAGGGAGAACTCACAGCCTTCTGCTTCTAATCCCTAGCTGCTCTGGTGGACCATATCCAGTTTGGGGACTGCCACATTGGACACAGCTATAATGTGAGCTTCACAGTCACAAATCACAGCCAAGTGAACGTGATACGGTTTGAATGGCCTGTTTTAGCTACAGTTACTTTCTCCCCACAGGTAAATAAAAGTCATTCATCATTTTCTGGAATCCCTTAGCCCTAAGCCAACCCCAGACTGATTGTCAGCCCTTTCCTATGGATGCATGGCTTGGAATGAATGTATCTCAAGCTGAGAGACAGCCCAGGAATCATCCCTCACTTATACCTGGTAGCAGAGGACACTGTTCATGTCTCCCCTGGTTAAGAGGGAAAGACAAAGAATGAAGTTGGCCAAGATTGTTGCTAGGCTGCTGTCAAGGGGCCCTGTGGAGGCCTCTCTAGATGGATACAGGTCCTAGTCTTCCTATCCCAGAGTGTGGAGCTATGTTCTCCTAGGTGTGTGTCCTTTAGAGTAACAGTCCTTCAAAATGCTTCACCAAAGGCTAGAATGGGGGTGATGGGTTCTGTGGACATCTGAGATTTATAAAATGTTTCAGGTTCCATCTTTCTCTTAAAGATTCCTGGTTCCGTTTGGCATATTATAACCTAGTTAACTTTGTTTTACCTGCGATTTTCTTTTTTTTTTTTTTTTTTTTTTTTTTGAGACAGAGTTTCACTCTTGTTACCCAGGCTGGAGTGCAATGGCACGATCTCAGCTCACTGCAACCTCCACCTCCTGGGTTCAGGCAATTCTCCTGCCTCAGCCTTCTGAGTAGCTGGGATTACAGGCACATGCCACCATGCCCAGCTAATTTTTTTTTTTTTTTTTGTATTTTTAGTAGAGACGGGGTTTCACCGTGTTGACCAGGATGGTCTCGATCTCTTGACCTCGTGATCCACCCGCCTCAGCCTCCCAAAGTGCTGGGATTACAGGCGTGAGCCATCACACCTGGCCTACCTGGAATTTTCTAACCCCTTGTTTTCACATCTCCACAGCACACAGTTTTGAATTGCTGACTAAAGCTTAACATTGAACAAGGTCTAGGGTACTGTTCTAGCGGATGGTTGCCTCTGGTCAGTGGTTGCTTTCTGTAGACAGTTCACTTCTGAGTTCCCAGGGCACTGGCACACCCCAGTCTCTTCACTGCCTCCTGCTCTGTTGACACACAGCCACTGAGTCTACTCAAGCACAGTACTCAAAGGAGATGGACTAAGGGGGTTGGGGATTCTGCTTTGTCATCTCTAAATCTTTGCATGCTATTATGGATGAATTTTGCTTTTTTGGAGGGATGTAAAGTTCGTTAGGACCCTGACTATTCCATTTCAACATGGTCCAAATCCATCCCTGAAGAGAGCTAATATACCATTTTATTTCCAAGTTGAGTGCTTACTAGATGCCAGACATAGTTCTAAGACCTTGGTTAATCTTCTCAACAATGCTGTAAGGCAAATACTATTATCTTTTTAGACAGTCTTACTCTAAACACAGGCTGGAGTCCAGTGTTGCTCACTGCACCCTCCACCTCCCAAGCTCAAGTGATCCTCCTATCTCAGCCTCCCAAGTAGCTGGGACCAGGTATGCACCACCACACGTGGGTAATTTTTTTGTACATTTAATAGAGACAGGTTTCACCATGTTGCCCAGTCTGGTCTCAAACTCCTGAGCTCAAGCAATCCACCTGCCTTGGCCTCCCAAAGTGCTGGTATTACAGGTGCAGTGGCCACTGCACCCGGCCATAGATACTACTATTATCTGCATTTTACCTGTGAAGAGACAAACACAATACAATATAATAGGGTAATCTGCTTTCGTGCATTATTTTTGTTAGCAAAGCGTTAGTCAAAGAAGGCAGAGAGGCCAGGAATGGTGGCTCACGCCTATAATCTCTTTGGGGGACTGAGATGGGCGGATCACAAGGTCAAGAGATCGAGATCATCCTGGCCAACATAGTGAAACCCCATCTCTACTAAAAATACGAAAATTAGCTGGGCATGGTGGCATGTGCCTGTAGTGTCGCAGCTACCTGGGAGGTTGAGGCAGGAGAATTGCTTGAACTTTGGAGATGTAGTTTGCAGTGAGCTGAGGTCATGCCACTGCACTCCAGCCTAGGGGACAGAGGATACTCTGTAGCAAAAGAAAAAAAGGCAGAGAAAAGCTGCTTATACTTCATTTATATATACACATCACTGGTACACATACATGCACACACACGCAGATATGCCTTGGAAAAACCTTTCTTCTTGCCTCACTTTCCGGAGTAGGGAGACTTTTATCGTCAGAAACATGATAGAACTGTCATAGATATGGTATATTTGCGTGTGTGCGTATGTGCATGTTCATGTATGCAAAATCATAAATGATTGTATTCTACAGCCCAAACTGGATTTCCCATATATCTGAAATGCTTCAGCAATTCTCAAATGTTTTGGTCTCAGGACTTCTTTATACTCTTAAACATTATTGAAAATCCACAAGAGCTTTGGTTTATGTGGACTGTGTCTACCATAATTTACCATACTTGAAATTAAAAATGAGGATGTTTAAAAACATGTATTTATTTATTTCAAGATATCATAAACCCACTACATGTTAATATCAATACCATATTTTTATGAGAATAACTATATTTTCAAAAATTTGAGTAAAAGAAGTGGTGTTGTTTTATGTTTTTATAAATTTCTTTACTATCTGGCTTAATAGAAGACAGCTGGATTCTCGTATCTACTTTTATATTCAATTGGATACATACTGCAGATAAAAACATACCAAGATTGGGTAATTTATAAAGAAAAAGAGGTTTAATGGACTCATAGTTTCACGTGGCTAGGGAGGCCTCACTATCATGGCAGAAGGCAAAAGGCACATTTTAAATGGTGGCAGAGAAGAGAGAAAAATTAGAGCCAAGAAAAAGGGGAAACTTCTTATAAAATCATCAGATCTTGTGAGACTCACTCACTTCCACAAGAACAGTATGGAGGAAATCAACCCTATGATTCAAGTATCCCTCTCACAACACGTGGAAATTATGGGAGCTACAATTCAAGATGATATTTGGGTGGGGACACAGCCAAACCATATCATTCTGCCCCTTCCAAATCTCATATCCTCACATTTTAAAATGAATCATGTCTTCCCAACAGTCCCTCAAAGTCTGATTTTAGCATTAACTCAAAAGTCCACGTGCCAGATTTTCATCTGAGACAAGGCAAGTCTCTTCCACCTATGAGCCTGTAAAATCAAAAGCAAATTAGTTACCTCCTAGATACAACGGGAGTACAGGCATTGGGTATATACAGCTGTTTCTAATGAGAGAAATTGGCCAAAATGAAGGGGCTATAGGCCCATGCAAGTCTGAAATCCAATGAGGCAGTCAAATCTTAAAGTTCCAAAAGTTATCCTTTGACTCCATGTCTCACATCAAGGTCATGCTGATGCAAGAGGTGGATTCCCATGGTTTGGGCAGCTCTGACCCTGTGGCTTTGCAGGGTGCAGTCCCCCATCCCCCAGCTGCTTTCGCTGGCTAGAATTGAGTGTCTGTGGCTTTTCCAGGTGCATGATGCAACTATTGGTGGATCTATCATTCTGGGGTCTGGAGGACAATGGCCCTCTTCTCTTAACTCCACTAGGCAGTGCCCCAGTGGGGACTCTGTGTGGGGGCTTCAATACCACATTTCCCTTCCACACTGCCCTAGCAGAGGTTCTCCATGAGAACCACATCCCTGCAGCAAACTTCTGCCTGGACATCCAGGCATTTCCATACATCCTCTGAAAATCTAGGCAGAGGTCCCCAAACCTCAATTCTTGACTTCTGTGCACCCACAGGCTCAACACCACGTGGAAGCTGCCACGTCTTGGGGCTTGCACCCTCTGAAACCATGGCCTGAACTGTACATTGACCCCTTTTAGCCATGACCAGAGTGACTGAGATACAGAGCACCACATCCTTAGGTTGCACACAGCAAGGGATCCCTGGGCCACCCACAAAACCATTTTTTTCTCTTAGGCCTCTGGGTCTGTGATGGAAGGGGCTGTTACAAATGTCTCCGACATGCCCTGGAGACATTTTTCCCATTGCTTTGGCAATTAACATTTGGCTCCTCGCTACTTATGCAAATTTCTGAAGCCAGCTTGAATTTCTCCTCAGAAAATGGGTTTTTCTTTTCTATCATTAGGCTGAAAGTTTTCTGAACTTTTATGCTCTGCTTCCCTTTTAATACTGAATGCTTTTAAGAGCACCCAAGTCACCTCTTGGATGCCTTGCTGCTTAGAAATTCTTTCTGCCAGATACCCTAAATCATCTCCCTCAAGTTCAAAGTTGTACAAATCTCTAGGGCAGGGGCAAAATGCCACCAGTCTCTTTGCTAAAACATAGCATGAGTCACCTTTACTGCAGTTCCCAAAAAGTTCCTCATCTCCATCTGAGACCATCTCAGCCTGGATTTCGTTGTCCATATAATCAGCATTTTGGTCAAAGCCATTCAACAAGTCTCTAGGAAGTTCCAAACTTTCTTACATTTTCCTGTTCTCTTCTGAGCCCTCTGAACCGTTCCAACCTCTGCTTGTTACCCAGTTCCAGAGTCACTTCTATATTTTCAGGTATCTTTATAGCAGTGCCCCACTCACTCTACCAGTACCAATTTACTGTATTCATCCATTTTCATGCTGCTGACAAAAACATACCTGAGACTGGGTAATTTATAAAGAAAAAGAGTTTTAATGAACTCACAGTTCCATGTGGCTGGGGATGCCTCACAATCATGGCAGAAGGTGAAAGGCACATGTTACATGGTGGCAGACAAGACAAAAAATTGAGAGCCAAGTGAAAGGGGAAACCCCTTATAAAACCATCAGATTTTGTGAGACTTATTCACTACCACAAGAACAGTATGGGGAAACTGCCCGCATGATTTCAGTTATCTCCCACCAGGTCCCTCCTACAACATGTGAGAATTATGGAATCTACAATTCAAGATGAGATTTGGGTGGAGACATAGCCAGACCATATCACCATATATCACATAACCTCTGGAAAACTCCATTGTACACTTATGAGAAAAATGAGAGTGAAGAAGTCAAATAACATCTTTGTATTACTATGAAAATAGTCTCGACCTCATGGACCCCCTGAAAAGGTCTTGGGGATCCCAAGGTCACTAGAACCCCTTTGGAGAACTGCTAGTATACTGTATTCCTCTTTCCATCATTTGTATAGATTATATTGATTAAGAGTATGACATTTGGAGTCCAACTGCTTGGGTCTAAATCCAACTCCTCCAAAATTAAGAACCTTCAGCAAGTTAAAAGTTTCATTGTCTATAAAATGGGAATAATAGCTGTACATCTCACAGGTTTGTTGTTGGGATTAGGAGAATTGTGTAAAGGTTTAGAATAATGCCTGAATCAAGTAAGTTTGATCAATATTAGCTATTCTTGTTATTATGTTTCTACCTAAGAACCTCTTGTACATATTTAATTCTGTCTACATACACAGGCTTGACTGATGAATTTTTTGCCAAGATCTTTAGCTCCTTCCCTTCTCTAGAATATCACCAGCGTATATAAAGAGTCCTCAAAATTAGATTCTCAAAAATACTAATATGAGGCTCTTCCCTAGATGGGCCACCTCCACCCTGGGTGTGCCAAGGACATAGTGGTGACACTGAAGTCAGATGTACCCATCAACCTGAAGAACATGCAGATCAAGTGCAAGCTCTCCAAGATCATGTTTCAGGTCCCTGCAGACCAGGTCTCCGATTGGGATGACCGCATGCACACAGTCAAGTGGGTGGACGTGCCCAGAAACATGCCTGGAACTCTCAATACAAAAAGAAAAGTAAGTGGAGACATTAAGCGTCAATCTGACTAGACCTCCATGCTTGGATTCCTACTGTTCTCAAATCCCTCATCATTTCCTTTCTTCACAGAAAAAAGAAAAGGTTACCATTCTATTTGACCTTGATTCCAAAAGTAAGAAACCAAACTTGCACACATGCTGCCCTCCATCCATGCTGCTTGTACCACATATCTTCATTGGTAGACCTTTAGCTTCTTCATAAGTAGTTTAACAAGTTCTCCCACCTTTTTCTTCTTCAAAAATGTCAAGACTAATCTTTTAGTTGTTTCCTTTCTCCCTCAGGTGTCCAGAATCACATTAGTCATCATCTTCAGTACATGGCGGGATCTCATCTTTGGTCCATGTGTGCCCCTCTTTTATTCATGCCTTGGTTAGTTTTTTTAAAATAACATAATGCACAAAAATAAACCCACACCCAACACAGGAAGTAGAACATTGGCTACCTGTGTGATTCTCAGCCATTCCATCCCTCTGCCTCCACCCTAGAAGTAATCACTATCTTGACTTGTTTACTCCCTGGGTTTTTTGTTTTTTGTTCTTTTTTTAACCTATGCACACTAAAAGCTGTATCAGGTCAGGCACAGTGGCTCATGTGCCTGAAAAGTTTGCCAACCCCTAAACTAAGAACTCTTTTTATGAAAAGTACTCTGTGCCACTGAGATTTCTCCACTTTATAAAATCCCAGAACTTTGGGAGGCCGAGGCAGGCAGATTGCTTCAGCCCAAGGGTTTGAGACCAGCCTGGGCAACATGGTGAAACCCCATCTCTACCAAAAATAGAAAAATTAGCTGGGTGTGATAGGGCACACCTGTAGTCATAGCTACTCTGGCGGCTGAGGTGAGAAGACCATCTGAGCTCGGCAAGTTCAAGGCTGCAGTGGGCCATGATCACACTGTACGCCAGCCTGGAAGACAGCATGTGGACTCTTTCTCAAAAAATAAAAATAAAACATATATTGTTTAGTTTTAGTTTTTAATTTTAAAAAAGTTATTGTATGTGGTCATCCATATTGTTGGATGTGACTGTAATATATCCATTTCACTGCTACATAAAATTCCATTATTATTTATTCCCTCTCCTTTTGAAAATTATTTGGTGTTTTGCTATCACAGGCATTATTGTTCATTTGGTGTTCATTTGTGAGAGTTTATATTGCTAGAAGTGGAATGGCTGACTTATTGGATATATGAATGTTCAACTTGCCAAGATAATGCCCAACTAATTCTCCAGAGTAGCTGTACCAATTTATACTCCTACGACAGAGATCTTATTGATCCACATCCTCTCCAACACTTGGCATTGCATTGTCAGACTTCTTGATTTATATCATTTGAATGAATGGGAAATGGTCTCATTATGAGCCTATTTTGCATTTTCCTGATCGCCGATCACAAATAAGGCTGAGTATTTCCTCATAAGATTACTGGTCATATAAATTATCCCTTATAAGAATGTCTTTTCATGCCTTTTGCCCATTTTTCAATTGTGGTACTTGCACTTTGTATCAGTTATTTTATTTTTTATAAACTCTTCTGTTCATATTATTTGTCTGCAACTATCATTACCAAATTTATAGTTTATCTTTTTTTTTTTTTGATACAGAGTCTTGCTCTGTTGCCCAGGCTGGAGTGCAGTGGCACAATCTTTGATCACTGCAACCTCTGCCTCCCAGGTTCAAGAGATTCTCATGCCTCAGCCTCCCGAGTAGCTGGGATTACAAGCATGCACTACCACACCTGGCTAATTTTTGTATTTTTAGTAGAGACAAGTCACCATGTTGGCCAGGCTGGTCTCAAACTCCTGACCTCAAGTGATCCATTCACCCCGGCCTCCCAAAGTGCTGGGATTACAAGCCTGAGCCACCATGCCTGGCCTAGTTTATCTTTTCTGTTACTAATTTTAATATCTTCAAGTTTATTAATACCTTATTTATTACTTTTTGTGTCTTATTTTTAAAATTCTTTCCTCCCAGAAAGACGTTCACGTATATATTTTTTTAAGAGTTTTGTTTTTTGATATTTCAGCTCTTGGCCCACCTGGATTTTATGTATGTTGTGAAGCAAGAATCCAGTTCCATCTAGATGACTAATCTGGCTAGATTCCTTTTTTTTTTTTCATTTGTCCCCTCTGTTCCCTAGTGATCTGTCAGAACTTTATTGTCATATAGTGTACCTAAATTTCATATTTGCCTAGAATGTTTCTGGTCTCTCTAGTCTATTCCACTGTCAATTTTTCTGTCCCTGCACTCTGCATCTCTGAGGACACAGCTGCCTTTTTTGCAGGTGATAGAGACGGATCCTGAGCCTGCTCACTCAGTAGTAGAAGAAAACTACCCAGAACTGCAGCTTCAAATCAGCGCCAATGTGGATTTTGCTTCCTACCACTGCCAAACAAGAGATGTGTGCTTTAAGGAAACCTTGGTTTACCAGACCCGGGTGTTTGAGTGAGTGATCAAAAGCCTCATGACACTAGATGGAAAAGCTCTCATTCCATCATTCACTCACTCCCTCACTCTTCAAACATCTGTTATCTACAGCAGTATCTGCTAGGCATCGTATCTGTATAGGATGCACCAGAGTGTTGTCTTAGGTCCAATGAAACATTCAGCCTCACAGAGCTATTGAAGTTCACACTTGAAATCAAGATATAGGCCAGGAAACATAGTCTACCAGGAGGGTGGGGTCAGACAGTCCACTTTAGTGGGAACAGTTCTTCTTACAGCAGCCTACACAGCCACCCAGGATCTGGTCTTGTTGCCCATGCACCAAATGACAACCCAGACAATATCCACGTTAGTGGGGATGGGGTCCATCCAAGCTTAGAAGCCCAGGCCCAAAAGACCACCGCTTTTCCTAACCACTCTGTAGATATCTCTTCTGGGATCCCTGCGGAGAATATGCCCAGTTACAAGAGTCACTACACTCAGAGAACCCCACAGCTATGGCTTCCCTCTAGGTGGTCATAGTTCCTCCTGGTGCATATATTATTTACTCATCAGGGGCCATTTTTAGTATAAACAGCATCACCTAATAATACAACTGACTTTCCTCCTTTATCTGGTTTCCAAGGGAACAGAGATAGAAAGGTAATTCAGAGTCGAATTCATCTTTGAGAAGGAGAAAAAGTTACATTAACCCTTCAGCCACACTCAGATGCAGGGACTCAGGGATGCCATGGGCCCTGCCTTCCAAGAGCTCATCATCTGAGGGTGGCAGCAAGGGGATGGGTAGAAACAGGAGAATTGTTCATTACAGCATGGTGTCATATGCATGAAGCAAAGGGGTATCTAAGGCAGATAAGAGAGTCAAGGAAGGCTTCCTGGACAAGGTAGTTTCCCAGCTGAACTTTAGAGGACAGATAGGAGGTAACCAAGTAAAGACGTGAGAAGGAAGGGCTCTCTCTAGGCAGAGAGCACAACATATACAACATATACAAGGACAAAAAAGTAAGCCACTGACATTTCTACTGTATGCAAATTAAAAATTAGCTCATTCAACTCATTGTGCATTTGTTGAATTTTAATGTCTTTGGAAATTACAAAAGAACCGAAAGATAAATGTCAGGAGGTGTGATCTTCTGCTGATGGCCATTTCACCTAAAGCAGGGGTCAGCAAACTGTGGCCTGTAGCCTGTTTTCGTAGATAAAGTTTTGCTGGCATGTGGCTATGCCCATTCATTTACGACTTGTCTGTGGCTGCCTTTCCACTACAAAGACAGAGCTGAGTTGTTGCAGGGACCATATGGGATACAAAGCCAAAAACTTACTATGTGGCCCTTTAGAAAAGTTTGCCAACCCCTAAACTAAGAACTCTTTTTATGAAAAGTACTCTGTGCCACTGAGATTTCTCCACTTTACAAAAATTGTCTTTAGAATAAATACCAGTGCTCTAAATTCACAAAATAAACACAAGCCCCTGTGATCAAGGTACTTGATTTCAGGCATAACTGAATGGTCTGTCTACCTGGACTAGAGGGTGGAAATCAAATCTCTACATCCATCTTACCCTAGACCTACCCCTCACCCAAACTCCTAACTCTTACTACTCCCCTAAAACCAGGAAGGGCATGGGTATTTATTTTCTTGTGCCAGGGCTTTATCTCTCTGCTCTTAACTGTGATCAAGTTTAATAGTGATTCCAGGAGAGAAAAAAACAAAACAAAACAAAAAAACCTCTGTCTCCCTGTTCTTGTCTTTTGTTTTTGTTTTTGTTTTTGTTTTGTTTTGTTTTTTTTGATATGGAGTCTCACTCTGTCACCCATGCTTTAGTGCAGTGGCGTGATCTCGGCTCACTGCAACCTCCACCTCCTGGGTTCAGGCGATTCCCCTGCCTCCACCTCCCAAGTAGCTGGGATGACAGGTGCCCACCACTACGCCCAGCTAATTTTTGTATTTTTAGTAGAGACGACATTTCGCTGTGTTGGCCAGACTGGTATAGAACTCCTGACCTCAGTTGATCCACCCACATTGGTCTGGGATTACAGGTGTGAGCCACTGTACCTGGCCCTGTTCTTGTCTTAAAGTAGAAAAATCTGAGGCAGGAAAAGCCTCTGCTGATTCAGAATTTGAGTTTGAAGTAACTAAAATTCAAATCTCTCCCTCAGTCGGGAGAGGAGTCACAGGCAGGGGTCAAATGGCTTCTGATCACAGGGACGTTGTTTCCTTCCTTCCTTTCTTCCTTCCTTCCTTCCTTCCTTCCTTCCTTCCTTCCTTTCTTTCTTTCTTTTTCTTTCCTTCTTTCCTTCTTCTTCTTCTTTTTTTTTTAAAGAGTCTTGCTCTCTGGCCCAGTGGCATGATCTCAGCTCACTGCAATCTCCATCTTCTGGTTTCAAACAATTCTCATGGATCAGCCTCCTGAGTAGCTGGGACTATAGGCGTGTGCCACACCTGGATAATTTTTGTGTTTTTAGTAGAGCTGGGGTTTCACCGTGTTGGCCAGGCTGGTCTCAAATTCTTGGCCTCAAGTGATCAGCCCTACTTGGCCTCCCAAAGTGCTGGGATTATAGGCATGAGCCACTGCACCCAGCCAGGGACATTGTATCTGGTGGGAGATGATTCAGGAAGGGAGGGCCTGTAGAATATGTTCCTGAGGGAGGTGCTGTCATGTGAAACAGATCTTGTTTGCTCTCTCATGGGGGGTTTTAGGGTTACTGTGATGCATGCTGAGGGCTCATTGCACAGGATGTTGGTAGAATGCAAAATGCTTTCAAGTGCTAAATATTTTTATGTTTTTACTTTAAATCACTATGTATATATTTTATTGTTCGAGTATGTCACATGCATGATTTCTGATAAAATTATCTAAAATGTACCTTTTAAAAATATTTAAGAAACAAAGTGACATGACTTTAAAAGGTTAAGTACAGTATAGATGGCATGTAGCCAGGACCAAAATCACCTGCAGCACATTTCTCAAATCTGTTCCCTGATCAATTTGCAGGTTTGACATGACTAATTCAGGACGTGTGCAGCTGGAATTTAGCTGGGTCTCAGAAGATTCCTCAAAGGCAGTCAGCTCTGCAAAACCAGATCACCACGGTAAATTTAATGACAAGTAAAAGCCAGGGCCCAGCCTGAGTTACCAGTCAGAAGAGTCTTGCTCATAGAGAGGCCGGCACTGCTCCCAGGGCCTCCTAAGTAGCTAAAGAAAAGAAAAGCAGAGACCCTGTGGTGTCTGCAGAGCCAAATGGCCTGAGGGACTCCAAAAGTTACTTCCACCCTCCTGGAGTCTGGACTCTGCCCCTGCACTAGGCCAATGCCCCATCTCAAGGTAACTAGAAATCTTGTCTCTTAGGTCTTAACCTGGGGGGAGATTATAGATCCCTTGGAGAAACTGATGAAAGTTACGAATCATTTTACCAGGAAGATACACACCCATGTCCAAGTCTGCAGTTTGTACATATGAAACGCTGTAAAATGGCCCAACACTTGGTAGGCAAGTTATTATTAGTATTATTATTATTATTATTTCAACTTTGGAGATGCACAGAACTTTTGAATGGGTCACAGACCCTAGTCCCTGGGTCCTCAAACTGTAAATCCCTACTTTAGAACAATGATTCTCCAAAAGATATGTTCACAGCCCATTATTCTAGGGCACAAACATCTTCTTGACTCACCCCCTTGAGCGAAAAGGAAAAAAATTTGAAAACCCTATGGAATAAATAGAAATCTTTTTCATGAGTCTTCTGTAAGCTATATGAGCAATTCTCTACCTCTGGTGCCCAAGGTTAAGTACACCTGGTACAAAATGTGAGTCCACCAATCCCACAGAGGGCCCCTGAGGATCTGTGAGTGGGCTGCCTTCCATCTGCTTCTCACTGAAAATGCAAAATATCACCCACTCTCTGTCTGCCCCCAGGTTCCACTCAAAAAGATCAGCTTAGTCAGGTCACGATGCACACGGCCAGCACCCTGGACAGCGCCATGGACCACTGGACTGAAGGTTCCCCACAACCCTTCTCTGTGGAGCCCTCCTCTGGAATCGTGCCTGTGGGGAAGATTCAGAAGCTCAAAGTGAAATTCTCTCCATTGGACATTGGAGACTTCGAGAGCAACCTTTTCTGCCAGTAAGAAAATGTGCTCGCCATAACCCGCTTCTTGGCAGGTGCAAAGCTCTGTGGCTCTTGTCCCCTCTTCTGTCTAGCGACTGCCACTATCCTTTCTGGCCCTAGACCCCTGCACAGTCCCAAATTATCCCTTTCCCCTTTGGAAGAATCCAAAGGTTCAGCCTTTAGAGACAAGGATAATTTGGTCTGTGTCCTGCTCATCAACCTCTCCAGATGCTCTTACTTTCCCCTTCCCAACTGCAGATAGGATTCCACTGAGCAACAAACTGCTGACAGCCAGCTGGGTTTCGGTCCTTGTCCAAGCATGAACTTAGGAAATCTTTCTTGTACCTTCTCTGAGACTCATTTTCCTCATGCATAAAATGCAAATATAATACCCAGCTGGTAGAATTGTTGGGAAAGTTAAATGAGTTAATTCAAATAACTCACATCAGTGCCTGGCACATACTAAGTACAATAAACATTAGGTGGTGGTGGTGGTGGTGGTGGTGGTGATGGTGGTGGTGGTGATCATGATGGTGGTTGATGGTGGTGATGATGGTGGTGGTGGTGATGGTGGTGGTGGTGGTGGTGGTGGTGGTGGTGATGGTGGTGGTGGTGATCATGATGGTGGTTGATGGTGGTGATGATGGTGGTGGTGGTGATGGTGGTGGTGGTGGTGGTGGTGGTGATGGTGGTGGTGGTGATCATGATGGTGGTTGATGGTGGTGATGATGGTGGTGGTGATGGTGGTGGTGGTGATGGTGGTGGTGGTGGTGATGGTGGTGGTGGTGATGGTGGTGATGGTGATGGTGGTGGTGGTTGTGGTGGTGATGGTGGTGGTGGTGATCATGATGGTGGTTGGTGGTGATGATGGTGGTGGTGGTGATGGTGGTGGTGGTGATGGTGGTGGTGGTGGTGATGGTGGTGGTGGTGATGGTGGTGATGGTGATGGTGGTGGTGGTGATGGTGGTGGTGGTTGTGGTGGTGATGGTGGTGGTGGTGATCATGATGGTGGTTGATGGTGGTGATGGTGGTGGTAGTGGTGATGATGGTGGTAGTGGTGGACCTGGTACATCGCAGTGAGAGAAGCTAATCCAATGACATCTGACAATGAAAGTCCTTGATGTGGTACCCACTCCCAGGAAAGCTTGAAGTATAGTCACCTTACAGAAAAATCCTGTGGGCTATAGTCTAGGATGACAGAGACATATGTGAGCTGTCAGGGCCTCCTTGATCCCCTGCAGTCACAACACAGAAACCCTTCCCACACCTAGGCCACCTTAGCTTGGTCTTGGAGCTGAGTGTCTGCCCATAGCCAGTTCACCTTCTCTAAGGAGCTCAAGATACTTTTTTAGGATTTCCAGGTCACTTTCCATATCCCACTAAATGCCTATGAGAGAGCCCAGAGGGTACGACTGTGCTCATTTTGCAGCAGGAAGATTTTCTCAGCATTGATGGAGGAAGTAACGTGGCCATACTTAGGTACACAGAAGGAGCCAAATTCAGGCTGCTTATGCTCAGCTCACTCATGCATTCAAGGCACTGAGTAATGCTATTGACTAAGGTAGACCCAGCCTCTGCTCTCATAGAGCTCACATTCTGGTGGATATAATATTCATTTCCAACCAACTAAGAAAGCAACGACTGATAACAAAATAAAACATAAAGAAAAATAACCTTATCCTCTCAGGATTCCCAACCTGCCACCTGGAGAGCAAGGTCCGGTCCTGGTAGCAAAAGGGCGGAGCATCTTGCCCATCTGCCATTTTGATCTGAAAGACTCAGACTACATCAGTGGCCATCAGCGCAACCCAGAGCTCCGAGGACCTGGTGGGGGAGATCTGGATTCAAACATCCGGGTGATTGAGTTCGCCGCTGTGGGCCTAGGAGGGAAGAATCTCCGGTGAGTCGCTTAGGTTTGCATCATTCGAATTCACATCAGTCCTAAAGAACTCTAGAAGTATTCAGATTGATGAGCTAGACTGATTCCTATAAGCAGGCTTGATGTTCTGGGGTTTGACCTCAGTTTTAGAGGTCAAACTTTGACTTTAGAGAACTGTTACATTAAGAAAGCTGAATTCTATCTCCTTAGTTTTGCCACTGGGGAAAATGTGGAAGACATAAAAATATAATACCTGACCACTTCCTTATCCACAGAGGATCACTGGCACAGTTGTGCCCTTGGCAGCATTGTCAGCCCAATGTCCAGAACGCTACACTGACTGGATCACTAGAGGAGATGGAGTTTTCATTTCCACAGTAAAAAATGGCTCTGAACAGTTCTGCTTCCCAGATAGGGGACTGGGTTAGGGCCAGGTTCTAAAAAACTTCTCGTAATCCTCAATCCCCTGTCTCACTCTCTGCTGTTAATTCTTCCTCCCTGGCCAGGACCTTTACAATCCTAAACCCAACCAATAGCACCTACTCCTTCTCCTGGACCTCTGAAGAAACTGAAAGTCTCCAGAACCCCACAGCATTCACATGTCTTACAGAGAAGGGCTTCATCCACCCTGAAAAAAAAGCTGAGGTATGTGCAAATGAGAACCACTCAACCCAAGGCTTAGATCATTCTAGCCACTGCTGTGTAAAAAGTGTGCCATAGACAGTAAGTGGAATTAGGGAGAAGTGCCTAAGGGTGTGTCACTCAACAAGTATTTAGTGAGTGGCCACAGTATACATTGGGCAATCCTGATGACAAGACAGACCTGAGCTCTCTTGGGTAGGCCAAGGAGAAGCAGAGAGCTCTCGTATTTGCAGCTTTTTAAAACTGAGAATATTTAGGCAGCAAAGGGTAACGGGACACCAATGCCTGGGGATCCTAGGAATCACTCCAAGAATAAAAAATTATTTTTGTCAAAGGACCAAAAACAGTGAAAGGACACTGATGTGTTTTTACTCGGTTAGGCCAAAGGTCAATTCAGAGTGGAGCCATGTCCCGTTACTTAGTCCTAAATATTTTCACAATATGGGGCAGAAATAAAGAAATATGAACTTGCTGGCCAAAACAGATCTGTGAGCCCCATGTCCAGCCAGTACTGCAGAGAATCTTGAAGACAGAAATAAATCCATGAAACAAAAATTATGAATTCCAGTGCCCTCAAGAGTGTCACACAAATGAATAAAGTAGGCCAAGGGGGCATCCGTGGGTAACACAGGGCACCAGGGCCACTGGCCACAGGGCTTCTCTGGCAGATGACCACTTTGCAGACAAGGGCGGTCAAGGGGACCAACTCACCCAAACTGTGGAAAAGACAAGATTCCAAATTTCTATGTGAAGCTCCCTATTTTACATGCTGGTGGCTAGTTCAATATTTTTTTTAACAATTCCCAAACCAAACAAAACATACTTGTAGACTCTCCACCTGGTTTTGACCTCTGTATAATGTCAGTACCCAGGCCATCTAGTTAAATGTGATAAGGTCCAGGAGCTGGGTCCACCATAGACACAATCCTACCTGAATCATGGCTCCCACTTCAGCCCAGAAATGTTTCAAACGTGAGCTCAATTCTGAGAGGCAAGTTCCAAAATCCATCATCCAGGGCCATGCTGGTCTTTGAGTGACAGTAATGTCACTGAGGTGGCACATCTCCATAGCACCTCCCTGCATCATCCTGGCAGTGGTATGGACAATGCATGTTAACCTGTGTGGTTCCTCTTTGGCCAAACACCATTATTCCTTCATTTGGTCCTGACTGATTGATTGCAAAGAAATGCACTCAAGTTAGCTCAAAAGAGAGAGAGAGAGAGAGAGAAAGAGAGAGAGAGAGAGAGAGAGAGCAAGCGAGCCTGGGGCAGCTTTTGAGATTGGACTTTCCTCCTCAGACTGTCTGCTTCTCTTTTCCCATCTACTCCTTTCTCTCGCCACTGACCAGTTTCTTCACTGTTGATTGATTGATTCTTCAGTTGCTTTGTAATATCACTTAGCAAATTGGTAATGGCATGCCATAGCCCAGTTCACCTGCATGGTACCTTTCACCATCAGCTCCACTGCCAGCTGGCCTGGCCATTCATTTTCTAATTCCAAACTTCCGAGAAAGAAATCTGGTTGGCCCTGCTAATCATATTGTCTTTGGCTGTGTGTCCAGCTATGGACAAGTATGGGGATTGTCTTTCCTTGGGATGGGTGCCAACTCTTTGTTCCAGTCAGCTATAGTACAACCATGCCATCCAAAGACATGGCACAAATACAAAGGCTGTGGTTTGGGGGGACTCCCTTAGAAGAACACATGAGCAGGGCAGATGGACATTGATGTTTCTGGTACAGCCTCACCTATGTGCCTTTGCATGGATTGTAGAAATGTAGCAATAATCAACTTTCATGACCCTCATGCTGACAAGTCCCCAGGGGCTCTTGGAGTAAGCAAACAGAAGTGTCTCTCACCACTTGGTTCCAAATTGTCTTCTTAGATCGTGTTCCAGTTCACACCTTTCCATCTGGACATCACTGAATCACTGTGGACCTTCCTAATCCCTGAACACAACATCACAGTCCCTTTCCTGCTGGTGGGCAAAACTACTGACCCTCTTATCTCTCTGAACAAGTCACACCTCAACTTCAGCTCTCTCCTCATTGGTAAGGCAGCCCTGCTGGTATGTATTTAGAGTTGGCATGATCTGGGCAAGGTCATCAAGAGCTCCAGGAGCAAGCTTACATAGGAAGCCTTTCCTGGTGTCTTCCAGAAGCATATCAGAGGGTCTCAATCAGGTTCTAGAAAGCCACCAAATATTTACCTCTCAATCTAATTTCCACCAAGTATCTTTTAAACCCACAATTAATAGCTTCAGGAAATTTAGGAGTCTTGTTAAAGATCCTACTTGGCAGATTCCTTTAAGACATGGGCTGTTTATTTCTGGAGCCTCAATATGGCCCCATCCTTCTTGCACTTGCCCCCAGCTTATGGGGGGGGTGTCTGTTTCTTGGTCTGTGTCACAGTGGTCAGATTTCTCTCTCATCCTTTTGTGCATTTATTTGACTCAGCAAATATCACTGAGTCTGTAGAATGGCCCGGGTACTTTTCTGTGGGCTGGGATTGCCCTAATGGATAAAGCCCAAAGTCCCTACTATCCTGTTGCTTACATTCTAGAAATAAGAAACAGGCTGCCAAAAGAAACTATGTAAACTGCACACCATGTCAGATGGTGATAAGTGCTTTAAAGAAGAGGACAGCAGGGTAGGGAGAATAAGGAAGGCCAGGAGACAGTGGGAAGGTGACGTTTAAGCAGAGACATAAGAGAAACAAAGGAAGTAATTGCCAGGTCCCTTATAACCCCATGTATCTTTCCCATGGTTATGACATCTCTCTCTGTTGAGTGTATAAAATACAACTAAAGTCAAGGTGTTTTTAATAATATGTTGGTTTTTTTATAAAATATTCTTTCTAGTAAGTCCACAAATGTGGTGTTGTGTAAGAAAAAGTTTAACCTCTCCGCTTTCATCCTGTCTCATCTTTCTCTTTCCATCCCAGAGGAAAGCAGTGTTAACAGCTGGATATGTATTTTACTGATACACATAAGTAGGTGGGAGGGGGGATTACAGCATTTATTAAGATTTTGAACAAAGAAGCAAGCAATATAGCATAAGAATAATAACTGTAAGAGTTTAATCCAAGAATTCAACAGTGGTACATTTCAATATAATCATTACATCAGTGGCCACCGTGGTGAAAACCTATCTCTGCTAAAATAAATAAATAAATATTAGACAAAATAGACTAAAGAACAATCATGTGATAATATTAATATACACCGACAAGCCACTGCCAACATTTAGCAGACATTCCCAGCAAAAGCTCTTATAGCAAAGTGGATGTTGATGGAAAAAAGGATTAACCAAAATCAAGAGGCATTTATGATCCTGTAGTAAATGACTAAAACTACTTCAGTTAAAATGAGGAATTAGGCAAGGATGTTTATTATCACCATCATTATTGAACACTTGCTTGGAGACTTTAGCAAATCTGATCAAACAAGAAAATTAAATAATTTATATAAACATTGGGAAAAAGGGATAAAATTATCTTTTTTTTGCTTTTGTTGATGATTTTATACACATAAAACCACAAGAGGCTCTAGAGAAAAGCAAAACAAACTACTAGACCCCACAGAATAATTTGGAAAGGTAGGCGGATGCAAGACAAATATGCAAACATAGTGTTTCCCCTTTTAGCACTCGGACCTAGAAACAGAAATCTAAAGGAAACATCCACTTAGTACTGGCAAAACGTATACAAAATCTATCCTATAGCTAAGGATAAATGTAACAAGATACACACAAGAAAAGACCTACATAAAGGAAACTATCAAATCTGATTAAAATCTCCCCAAACGAGATCGGATCATTTGTTAATTCTAAAATTAAAAGCAAATTTAATCAAGTTCCAATTAGAATGCCAACTAGGGTTGCCAGATAAAATACAGGATGCATAGTTAAATTTTGATTTCAAATAGCAATTAATAATTTTAAGTGTAAGAATGTCCAAATATTGCATGGAACATATTTATACTAAAAAATTATTTGCTAAATCTGTCAGCTGAATCCCAAAAGAATTGGAAGAGGAGAGAATTGGACACAATGATTATAAAGTTTACATGGGAGAATAAATGTTCTAATAGCCAAGAGGAGAGCAAAAGATTACAGTGAGAGAAGATGTGTTAGTCAGGGCCCTGGCCAGGATAGTCATGCCACACCCAAGATCTATTTTATATATATATATATTCATTTTAGCAGGGATAGGTTTTCACCACATTGGCCAGGATGGTCTCGAACTCCTGACCTCGTGATCTGCCTACCTCGGCCTCCCAAAATGCTGGGATTACAGTTGTGAGCCCCTGTGCCCAGCCTACCCAAGGTCTATTTTTAAAGAATTCGATGCAAGGATTATTTATGGATACATGGGCAGTTAAAGGGGTCAACCAAGGAAAGTGAAGCCCCCATTAATGAATTCAGGGAGGGATTAACAATTCTTGGGTCTAAAGGAGCAAGGGAAGAAAACAGTGTCAGCAGAATCCCAGGAGAGCTATGGCCAGGGCATAGGAGACACCAGCAGGAGCAGGCAACTGATGAGGAAAGACATGGAATCCCCGAAAGGAGGAAGGTGACTTGGAGAGGAAAAGGAAAGAAGAGAGGCAGACAAAGGCTGAAGAGGTTGGGGAAAGTCTTCTAAAAAGGGTCTCTCCTGCCTGTGGCGCGGGTGTCTGCTGAGAGATTCCACCGGGCAGGCAGGAGGCCCCACTGAGGGCTTGTGTTTCCTCCTCAGGCAGAGAAGCCAGGGAGACTGTGCAGATCATCAACAAGGAGGAGCAGGGCTTTGATTTTTCCTTCCAGGACAACTCCCGCTATTCTGAAGGTTTCAGCAACAGCCTGCTTGTGTGTCCCATGGAAGGCTGGCTCCCACCACTGTCCAGGTAAACAGAAATGAAGGTCTCACTTTGTCTGCATCCTTCTGACACTGCCAGTCACCGAGCCTGCCAGCACTTAGAGTGCCCCATTTATATAATCACTTTCAACTCTAAGATTAGATCGTAACAATTCCATCTCCATCCTACTTACTCCCTGATATCTGTTTTCCGGATCAATATGGAGCATTGAGAATTCTAAGCCCTTTATCTCAAATATTTTCTCTTTGTATTCTTTTCCTTGCTATACACTGCATATGTGAATCCACAGCGCAACGTTCAGGCTTGCCTGGCTAATCTCTTTTTCTGTTTTTTTTTTATTGCATTTGAGGTTTTGGGGTACATGTGAAGAACATGCAAGATAGTTGCATAGGTACACACGTGGCAGTGTGATTTCCTGCCTTCCTCCCCTTCACCTATATCTGGCATTTTTCCCCATGCTATCTCTCCCCAACTCCCCATCCCCCGCTGTCCCACCCCTATTCCCCCCAACAGAACCCAGTGTGTAGTGCTCCCCTCCCTGTGTCCATGTGTTCTCATTGTTCAACACCCGCCTATGAGTAAGAACATGCGGTATTTCATTTTCTGTTCCTGTGTCAGTTTGCTGAGAATGATGTTCTCCAGGTTCATCCATGTCCCTACAAAGGACACGAACTCATCGATTTTTATTGCTGCATAATATTCCATGGTGTATATGTGCCACATTTTTCCTGTCCATTCTATCATCGATGGGCATTTGGGTTGATTCCAGGTCTTTGCTATTGTAAACAGTGCTGCAATGAACATTCGTGTGCATGTGTCCTTATAGTAGAACGATTTATAATCCTTTGGATATATACCCAGTAATGGGATTGCTGGGTCAAATGGAATTTCTATTTCTAGGTCTTTGAGGAATCGCCACACTGTCTTCCACAATGGTTGAACTAATTTACACTCCCACCAGCAGTGTAAAAGTGTTTCTATTTCTCCACATCCTTTCCAGCATCTGTTGTCTCCAGATTTTTTAATGATCGCCATTCTAACTGGCGTGAGATGGTATCTCAGTATAGTTTTGATTTGCATTTCTCTAATGACCAGTGATGATGAGCATTTTTTTATATGTTTGTTGGCCTCATGTATGTCTTCCTTTGTAAAGTGTCTGTTCATATCCTTTGCCCACTTATGAATGGGCTTGTTTGTTTTTTTTCTTGTAAATCTGTTTGAGTTCTTTGTAAATTCTGGATATCAGCCCTTTGTCAGATGGGTAAACTGCAAAAATTTTTTCCCATTCTGTTGGTTGCCAATTCACTCTAATGACTGTTTCTTTTGCCATGCAGAAGCTGTGGAGTTTGATTAGGTCCCATTTGTCTATTTTGGCTTTTGTTGCCAATGCTTTTGGTGTTTTAGTAATGAATGGAGTAAAGACTTAAACCTAAGACCTAACACCATAAAAACCCTAGAAGAAAATCTAGGCAAAGCCATTGAGGACATAGGAGTAGGCAAGGACTTCATGGCTAATCTCTTTGTTAATTAAACTTTTAATTTTCAGGCCAGGCGTGGCGGCTCATGCCTGTAAGCTCAGCACTTTGAGAGGCTGAGGCAGGCAAATCCTTGAGGTAAGGAGTTTAAGACCAGACTGGCCAACATGGCAAAACCCCATCTCTATTAAAAATACAATAATTAAGGCTGAGGCAGGTAGATCATTTGAGGTCAGGAGTTCCAGACCAGCCTGGCCAACATGGTGAAATGCCATCTCTACTAAAAACAAAAAAATTAGCTGGGCATGCTGGCAGACGCCTATAATCCTAGCTACTTGGAAGGCTGAGGCAGGAGAATAGCTTGAACCTGGGAGGCAGAGGTTGCAGTGAGCCAAGCTCACACCATTGCATTCCAGCCTGGGTAACAGAGTGAGACTCCATCTCAAAAAAACAAACAAACAAATACAATAATTAGCTAAGTGTGGTGGCACACACTTGCAATCCCAGCTACTTGGGAGACTGAGGCATGAGAATCAGTTGAACCCAGGAGGCGGAGGTTGCAGTGAGCTGAGATTGCACCACTGCACTCCAGCCTGGGTGATGAAGCAAGCATCTGTCTCAAAAAATAATAATCAAATAAAATTTTACATTTTGAAATAATTGTAAATTCACAGGCAGTTGTACGAAATAATACAAAGACCCCTGGGCACAGTGACTCATTCCTGTAATCCCAGAACTATGGGAAGCCAAGGCAGGTGGATCACCTGAGGTCAGGAGTTCAAGACCAGCCCGGCCGACACAGTGAAACCCTGTCTCTACTAAAAATACAGAAATTAGCCAGGTGTGGTAGTGCATGCCTGTAATCCCAGCTACTAGGGAGACTGAGGCAGGAGAATCACTTGAACCCAGGAGGCAGAGGTTGGAGTGAGCCAAGATTACCTCACTGCACTCCAGAGCAAGACTCCCATCTCAAAAAAAAAAAAAAAAAAAAAGGGAAGAAGAAACAATGCAAAGACGTCATCGTGTTCTTTACCAGATTTTCCCCAAGGGTAACATCTTGCAAAACTTCAGTAAAATGTCACAACCTGGTATTGACATCGATAGGGTCAAGACATAGAACAGCTCCCTTACCATGAGGATTCCTCGTGTGACCCTTTTGTTGCCACGCCCTTTTCTCTTCCCCCAAGCAACACCTCCTCACCTCCTGGAATCCAATACTTTCCTCTATGTCTACCATTTTGTCATTTCAGGAATGTTGTATTAACAGACGCATACGTTCCTTTTCTGATTGCTGTTTTTCACTCATAATTCTCTGGACATACATCCAGGTTGTTTTGAGAGTTTCTTCCTTTTTATGACTGGCTTCCATTCCATAGTAGGGATGCACCACAGTTAGTTAACTATTCACCCACTGGAGGACTCTAGATTGTTCCCAGTTTGGGCTGTTATGGATAAAGCTGCTATAAACTTTCATGTACAGATTTTTGTGTGTCTTTATGTCAGAGGGGAAAATGAGCAAGACTGCAATTACTGGGCGTATGATAATGACATGTTTCCAGAAGGAAAAAAAAACTGCCAAAATGCTTTCCAGACTGGCTGCACCATTTTACATTCCACCAGCTATCTGTGAATGTTCCAGAGTCTCCACAACATTACCAAAATTTGGTGTTGTCACAATTTTTTTTTTTTTTTAGACAGAGTCTCGCTCTGTCACCCAAGCTGGAGTACAGTGGTGCGATCTTGGCTCACTGCAACCTCTGCCTCCTGGGTTCAAGTGATTCTCTTTCCTCAGCCTCCCAAATAGCTAGGACTACAGGTATGCGTCACCATGCCCGGCTAGTTTGGGTTTTTTGTTTGTTTTGTTTTGTTTTGTTTTGTTTTGTTTTGTTTTGTTGTATTTTAGTAGAGACAGGGCTTCACCATATTGGCCAGGATGGTCTCGAACTCCTGACTTCAAGTGATCCACCTGCCTCAGCCTCTCAAAGTTCTAGAACTTTAGGCATGAGCCACTGCACCTGGCGACAATTTTTTATTTTAGCTTTCTGATAGGTGTATAGTGATATCTCATTGTAGTTTTAATTAGCATTTTCCTAATGAATAATAATATTGGACATCTTTGCATGTGCTTATTTTCCATATATGTGTTGTCAGGCCCGAGGGCCTCTTCCATCATTGTCAAGGGGAGTGCTAACCTACTCTCCTTTCATGTAACACATACATGCTTATTTTCCTTCTATGGAGCCTCTTCAGTGAAATGTCTCTTCTTGTCTTTTGCCAGTTTTCTGCTCAGCCTGTTTGATTTTTATTTTTGATTGTTGAGAGTTCTTTACATACATAGTGGACACATGGTCTGAAAATATTTTCTCTCAATCTGTAATTTGTCTTTTCCTCTTTTTAACAAGGTTATTCACAGAGCAAAACCTTTTATTTTTGATGGAGTCCAAATTATCTATTTGTCCTTTTATGGACTGTCCTTTTCATGTCTGTTCTACATCTCTGAATAGCCCTAGATTCAGAAAATGTCCTTCCATAATTTTTCTATCAGTTTTATAGCTTTACATTTCAGTCCGCAACCTCTTTTTTATTAACTTACGTTATAAGACTTAGTTTAAAGTCTTTTTTTATTTTTTTCAACTTTTATTCTCGATTCAAGGGGTATGCATGCAGGTTTGCTGCCGGGTTTACTGTATGATGTTGAGGTTTGGGGTACACGTGGGCCCATCACACGGATACTAAGCTTAATACTCAATCATTCGTTTTTCAACCCTTGCCTCCCTTCCTCCCGTCCCCCTAGTAATCCCGTTTCTATTGTTGCCATCTTTACATTCATGTGCACCCGATATTTAGCTCCAACTTGTAAGTAAGAACATGAGGTATTTGGTTTGCTGTTTCTGCATTAATTTGCTTAGGATAATGGCCTCCAGTTGCATCCATGTTGCGGCGAAGAATGACCTCATTCTTTTCAAGGCTGTATAGTATTCTGTGGTGTACATGGACCACACTTTCTTTATCCAGTCCACAGTTGGTGGGCACCTAGACTGATTCCATGTGTTTGCTATTGTGAGGAGTGCTGCAGTGGACATGAGAGTGCATGTGTCTTTTCGGTAAAATGACTTCAAGTTTTTGCTTTGCTTTGTTTGTTTGTTTACATATACCCAGTAATGAGATTGCTGTGTTGAATGATAGTTCTGTTTTACGATCTTAGAGAAATCTCCAAACTGCTTTCCACAGTGGCCAGACAAGGTTATGTTTCCACCAACAGGTTTAAGTATTCCCTTTTCTCTGCAGCCTCACCAGCATCTGTTGTTTTTGACTTTTTAATCATAGCCATTCTGACTAGTATGAGATGTTTTCTCATTGTGCTTTTGACTTGCATTTCCCTGATGATTAGTAATGTGAAGCATTTCTTTATATGTTTGTTGGCCACTTTTCTGTTTCCTTTTGCGAAGTGTCTTTTCATGTCTTTTGCTCATTTTTTAATGGGGTTATTTGCTATTTTGCTTGTTCGGTTGTTTAAGTTCCTTAGAGATTCTGGATATTAGACCTGTGTCAGATGCACAGTTTCCGAATGTTTCCTCCCGTTCTGTAGGTTGTCTCTTTCCTTTGTTTATGGTGGGTTTTTTGCTGTGCAGAAGCTTTTTTGTTGTCGTTTAATTTGGTCCCACTTGTCAATTTTTGTTTTTATTGCAAGGGCTTTTGAGAACTCAGTCATAAATTCTTTCCCAAGGCTGATGTCCACAATGGTGCTTCCTAGACTTTCTTCTAGTATTCTTATAATTTGAGATCTTACATTTAAATATTTGATCCATCTTGAGTTAATATTTGTATATGGTGAAAAGTAAGGGTCCCGTTTTATTCTTCTGGCTATGGCTAGCCAGCTATCCCAGCACCATTTATTGAATAGGGATCCCTTTCTCCATTGCTTATTTTGGTTGACTTTTTTAAAGATCAGATGATTGTAGGTGTGTGGCTTTATTTCTGCGATCTCTATCCTTTTCCATTGGTCTGTGTGTCTGTTTTTATGCCAGTACCATGGTGTTTTGGTTACCGTAGCCACAAATCTTAAAGTCTCATCGTAATTTGGAGTTATATCTTTTTCTCATAATGAATCTGCTACTCTAGTAGGCTCATATTTTTTAAGGTTTTAACAAGTTGGCCTGGTCAATTAATCTGCTCTTTTGTTCCCTGACCAGGTTTCCAATTGATATTTTCTTCACACCAAAGCAGGAAGGAGATGTGAACTTTAATTTGATCTGCAATGTGGAAAAGAAAGTCCACCCTCTGAGGTTAAATGTCAAGGCTGAGGGCTACACTATGAATGCAGAGATCAAGTGCAAGGACAAGACAGGCACCGTCACTCTGCTGACTCCCAACCAGAAGAACGTTATCAACTTCTATGAGGTAAAGGTGCCGTCTATCTCAGCTTCCATTCTGACTGGGGAAAGTATTACGAATGAATATGAGCTGAGTCTTTCTGCTTCAAATGCCAAAGAGACCAGGAAAACAGAAACCCTCCAAGAGCAGCTCTATCCCCAGAACGTATGTAGATATGATGTGAATGCTTTTCTTGTTTTACTTTTCAGCGGGTGGAGAGACAGTGGGGAGGAGAAAGAACGCCTGTGGTAAACATCCGGGAAGGATATCTGACTACCAGCGAAGGTCTAGGAACTAAGTTGCCACTTCGCTCTCTGAGATATGAGAGGACCCAAAACTTAGTAGCTCTTGCTGGAATATCTGACTCCATTAGGGTGAAGATAGCCAAATCACCAACATCATCTGCCATCCTTATTTCCCACAGGATATTTTTTATCGACATGTTCCAAATGCTGACCCCAGACAAGGGAACTATGGTTCGCACTCACTGCTCTGTTCTCTGTCTCCTAGGTGGAGTTAAATGAATGTGTCCAGTGTGAATTCAACTTTATCAACACTGGAAAGTTCACCTTCAGCTTCCAGGCAGAGCTGTCTGGCTCCAAAGCCCTGCTGCAGTATTTGGAATTTTCACCCACTAACAGCATTGTGGATGTGGGGCAGAGTGTACATGCCATCCTGTCTTTTCATCCAGTTAAGAAGTGTGTCTTGACAGATCTGGAACTCACAATAAAGGCAAGTCCATTTCACATTGTCCAAACTCCAAAAGTACTCTCAGCATGCTGCCTGGAAACAGGGTAATTCTCCTGTGTGTTCTTTGTCTTCTCCACATGTCCAGAAGCTCCTAGAGGATAGTTGTGTTGGACACAGCCTCACAATGTCTAATACAAAGGCTTCATCCATGGTTGAGGTGCCTGGGGAGTAAATGTGGATTGAAAAGCAGTTGCACTGCAATACATTTACCCATTAAAATAAATAACAGTGATAGATGGGGGCAGGGAAAGAATATGTACACCATTTTCTAAGATGAATTATTGAATTAAAAAAACAAAGAATGGTGATGTCAGCAGGAATGGCAGAGGAGGACAACTAAAACACTGCTCTTCAATAGCAATGAGACCACTGGAAAAAAATTTTGAGATCAACTTTTTCAGAATTCTGAAAATTATTGATAAGCTTGCAACAATTCTAGGAGTACTAATCCAGGAAAAATGGCTGAATACCCATAAGGACAGCGAACTTTGCGGCATTTTGACTTGGCCTGTTCTCTCCCTCCTCCCTCACTCCAGCTCTGCAGTAGCCTTGAAAACCAATAGTTCAGCAATCAAAGTGAAAGTCAGCAATCAATCAGACCCTGGAGAAAGTAGAACAAATTAGAACTTCCCAAAAGCCCCCATTCTAAAAGACTTGTCATTATTTGCCCTGTCTAGAAGTTCAATGGAAACCCCCTCATGGGGATTGCTTCTATTTGACCTGACTGCAAGCTTGCTCAGAAACAATCTATTGTAATTTAACACTGCCCCTGATGGAGGGAGCATTGACCTTAGGGGCAAATGAGAAGCTGATTGAAAAACTAAAAAGGAGAGGCTGGGAACAAGTTATTCATGGGGGGTTCTGAAAAGCTTCAACATATTCCCTGGAGTCTAGAAAGCCATGCATGTATAGGATGTGTGTACCTCCAGGCTGTGTTACTGCTCAGGAAAGACCTGTGAAGGCCTTAAGCTCTTACCTCTGACTAACCTTTAGGTCCCAGGAAAGACAAAGCAGAGTTGGGAACTGCCCGCCTGAGTGTGAAAGGCATGTCCACCACACACAAAGAGCCCCTCAGCAAAAGCTGGGAGACTTATTGTTTCCAGATTTAAGGAAATCTCTGTTCAGTCATAAGGTGACCACTAAACTAACTGAGCAGAGACTTTATTGGCAATGCATAAATAAGAATATAGACTTTACTGGAAAAAGTTACTAAATAAACTAAGAGTAACAACAGTAACCAACCCTGGGGTGGGGGGGCGGTGATCTGAGTTTCAGAGTTGCTACACTTATTATTTTAAATCTCCAGTTTCCAACAAAAAAAAAAATGAGACATGACAAGAAACAGGAAAATATAACCCATATACAGGGAAAAAAGCAATCAATAGAAATTGTCTCTTAGGAAGCCCATATATTGGATTTCATAGACAAATACTTGAAGTCATCTATTTAAAATATGTTCAAAGAACAATAGGACACCATGTCTAGATAACTAAAGCAAAGGATGAGAGCAATGTCTCACCAAATAGATAATATCAGTAAAGAGATAGAAATTACAAAAATATAAATTTTGGAGTTGAAAAGCATAACAGCTGAAATGAAAAATTCACGACAGGGTCTCAGTAGCAGAGTTGATATGGCAAAAGAAAGAATCAGCTGTGGCAAATAGAATAAAATAGTTGAAAAAAAGAGAAAAACGTCTCAGCAAACTTGAAGATGGAACAATTGGGATTATCCTGAAGGCACTAGGCCTAACAGACATATTGAGAGCATTTCATTCAACAACAGGAGAATAGACATTCTTCTCAAGTGAACATGGAACATTGTCCAAGATTGACCAGATAGTAGACCATAAAACATACCTCAATAAATTAAAAGGATTGAAATCATGCAAAGCATGTTCTTCAACCACAATGAAAAGAAGTTTGGGATGCCCAGTCTAACACGTCATCTTTACCAAATCCTCAAGAAGAAGGTGATTGACAGAAAAGTGGGGTAAAACCATTGGAACCTGTCTTCATCTGTTTTGTGCTTCTATAACAGAATGCCTGAGACTGGGTAATTTACAATGAATAGGAATGTTTATACTCACAGTTCTGGAGCCTGGGAAGTTCAATATCAAGTTGCCAGCATCTGGTGAGGACCTTCTTGCTGCATGATAACATGGCAGATGGCATCACATGATGAAAGGGCAATGGTTGGGGGAAGAAAGGTGGGGAGCAGGAGGAAGTGAGAGAAAGAGAGAGAGAGAGAGAGCAAGAAGCAGTCAACTTATTCCTGCCATAGCAAACTCACTCCTACAATGATGGCATTCGTCCATTCATGAGGGTGAGCCCTCATAATCAAACACTTCTTAAAAGTCCCACTTCCCAATACTGTCTCAATGGCAATTAAATTTCAGCATGAGTTTTGGAGGGGACAAACATTCAAGCCATGAAAAAAATCCAAGGTGTGTCACTGGCCATTGGGAGTTCAGGAAGATCCTCTGTTTTCTTGGCCTGGAACTCAGCAGAAAAGTTGCAGCCATCTTCTCTGAGAAAAGCCAGGTTTGTGGCCTCAGGAGGGACCTATTCCTTTTGAGAACTGTCTTCTTCAGAACTTAGATTTCTTAGACCAAACAGAAACATAACATAAGATCTTTCTACTCTAGTTGGCAGAATCGTTGAACGTGATAAATTTACATCCTTTTCATTGAATCAGCCACAAAATGTAAACACTGCATATCCTGCATAAGCGTGTGCATATCCTGCACATGTACCCCTAACTTAAAATAAAAGTTGAAAAAAAGAAAAATAAAAAAGTTTTGAATAAGAAAATGTTTTTAAATTTATAAAGTTGTTTATGATAGCTTGTACCAATGACTGTTGACTTATTCTAATCATGTTTCAAATGAATGTTTATTCTAATAATTTTATTCTAATGATGCTTAGAATGAATAATAGATAATTTATCTGAAATCAATTATCAATTTGTGAAAGTTCATATTATGGGGAGTTTGTGAAGAGCAAATTAAGTTCATGTACCAATGAGTCACATACTACCTTGTGATTAAAAGTCCAGATGATGACTTGTGCTCTTTCTGTCTTCCCACTCTATCATCCTTGGCATATTAACCTTGTTCTCGTTCTTGTCATCTCCTGGTCACAAGACGACCATTCTACCTGGCATCCTATGTCTGCATTCCAGAGTGAAAAGAAAGGGGAAGAGCTTGAAGGCAGAGAACTTCCCCAGCAAGGCTTTGCCTTTTTATTCAAGATAGAACACCCTCTTGTCCTCTTCTGTTTACATCTCAATCACTGGAACTATGTCTGATGGCTTAGTTTCATCCTGAGCTTCAAGGGGAAGGTGTGAAATGAAGCATTTGCACCAAGGCACATTGGCATCCAATCAGAGTTCTGTTAGGAAGGAAGCCATGGGGAGCAGATGTTGGGTAGTAACTAGCAGTGCCTGGTATACCCCTGGGCCTTCAAGCTGAATCATTGCTGCAAGAGCAAAGTGGGAGGCAATGTAGGGTCTGATTACAGAGGAGCTTTTCTTTAATACATAATCTTCTAACCTACTGAATCAGAATCTCTGGAAATGGTACCCCTAGACCTGTATTTGTTAAAGCACCAACTGCTTTCCTGCTTCACCTGAGGACTTAAGAGCCCTCTCCTCATCATGGTCCCCCTGACATTTCCTCCGCACAGATCAGCCATGGCCCAACATTGATGTGTAGCATCTCAGGCTGTGCTGTGAGCCCGGCTATCCATTTCTCCTTCACCAGCTACAACTTTGGGACCTGCTTTATATATCAGGCTGGGATGCCCCCGTACAAACAAACCTTGGTCATTACCAACAAGGAAGAAACACCTATGAGGTAAGCAGGCTTCCCAGAGGCTCCAGACGATTCTGCAGCTGCTCGTGGGTCCTATAGCCTCCACAGAGGTAAAGTGCTCCCAAGGCAAAAAAAAAATGATTATGGGAAAGAGTCAAACCTAAGTGGGTATGAATCCTGGGTCCCTGTCCCAACACCTAACACTAATACTTGGGTAGCCACGAGCTACCCTGCTAAAAATCCCCTTTGTGGAGTTCTAAGAGCAATGCCAAATGACCTAATAAGAGGTTTTATGACTTCCATTTATTTTCTCATGTAATAGACATGGAAACTGAAGTTTGAATAGTTAAAAGGTAAATTTCTCAGGCTAGGGGCTTTGCAGTAAATAGGAGCTCTGTACTGAGCCTAAGCTTTCTGATTCAAATCTAGCCTCTCTGTACCATCCCTGTATGTTCTAGTCCAAGGTTCTGGGCCCCATTCAAGACCTAATGAGACAGAACCTTCAGGGGCTGGCCCAAAGACCTGTGTTTACTCAGAGCTCTCTATCAGTACTCTAGAGAACTTTCCATAATGATGAAGATGTTGTATATTTGCACTGTCCAGTACAGTGACCTATAGCTGAACGTGGCTTTGGAACACTTAAAATGTGGCTAGCGAAACTGAAGAACTGATTTTTTATTTTATTTTTATTAATGTTAATTTTAATTTTAATAACCACATGTCTAGTGACCACCATATTGGATAGCACAGATCTAAGTTCAAATTTCAACTCTTCCCTAGTTGTGTGACCTTGGGCAAATTTTTAAAACTCTCTATGCCTCTGTCTCCTTGCCTGAAATGGGAGTCATAATAATACCATCTACTAAGACTATTAGGATGATTAAATTAGTTCACCTAGGAACAGTATTTAGAACACTGCCTAGAACGTCAGACATGCCCAATTATTGTTAGCGGCTGATGCTGTTGTTGTTTTGATTATTGTTAGTGCTCTGAATATTAAGTCATAAATGTGTCATGTAATTTTAAATCTTATCTGTCTGTGCTATTTCTTGCATGATGTAATGTAATCTCAGTCTTAGTTTGCTTACGGCATTGAGCTCTATGTGTTGGCCTACCTAGACTCCTCTACAGACTGTAAGGCAGACAAGGAGAGGTTGTAATGGAGAGGCCTACATGCCTTCCCACCCACATGTGGAGTAGGGTGGACATGATCTTTTAAGACACCTTCTAGTTGAACAATTAGTAATAATAATTATTATTATTAGGGCAGATCACCTCTATGAAATATGTTCTCTGTGCCCTATTTAATGACTGCTTCAATCACTTAATCTTAATCCTCACAGCAGCCCTATAAAATAGTTACCACTACCCCCCATTTTACAGATAAGAAAACAGAGACCCAAGTGGGCTATATAGTCCTTCTAAGATCATCTGGCTAATTAGTGACAGAGCCTGGATCCAGACTCCTCTCCGCCTGACTCTAGAACACACTCCTCTCTACTATGCCTTGTCACCTCATTCCTTCTGAAAGCACTTCCTTCCTATGAGAGGGTACAAAGCCCTCATGTACAAAACCACGAGATGCATTATCAAGACATCGAGAATCAGGCTGGGCTCGGTGACTCACGCCTGTAATCCCAGCACTTTGGGAGGCCAAGACAGGCAGCTCACCTGAGGTCAGGAGTTCAGACCAGCCTGGCCGACATAGTGAAACCCAGTCTCTACTAAAAATACAAAAATTAGTTGGGCACTGTGGCACACCCCTGTAATCCCAGCTACTTGGGAGGCTGAGGCAGGAGAATCGCTTGAACCTGGAAGGCGGAGGTTGCAGTGAGTTGAGATCGCACCACTGCACTCCAGCCTGGGTGACAGAGTGAGACTTTTGTCTCCAAATAAAAAGAAAAAAGAAAAAAAGAAAGAGAGAATCAATAGAGTGAAGAATATTGGCTAAAGGGTGATGAGCCTTGAGTTTGAAACCCAGTTCATCCAGGATCTCAGAATATGACTTGGAGCAACTTGGTTATGTCTTAGAGAGCATGGGCTGGGTCATTGTCGACCTCCCTTCCAGCTCTTAAATGACTTCTGCAACTCTCGGACAGCAGGGCAGGAAACCCATCAGTGCCCAACCCAAAGAGACAAGGAGATAGCCTCTGTCCCTCTAGGTCAGACTTCCCGGAGCTTATGCCTCTTCCTCTTGGTTTTCTGCAGCATAGATTGTCTGTACACCAACACCACTTACCTGGAGGTGAGCTGCCGTGTTGATGTGATAAAGCCCGGAAAGACACTGGAGGTTCCAATAACTTTTTATCCTCGAGAAAGTATCAACTATCAAGAACTCATCCCCTTTGAAATCAATGGGCTCTCACAACAAACAGTTGAAATCAAAGGGAAGGGTGCTGAAATGAAGGTAACAGATAGTCGGGAACTCCTTCCTACCCTTCTCATCCTTCTTTGCCCCCCAGAACCCCCTCACCCTTCTAGCCCCTCTGCTTCTCTGCCCCAGGCTGCTCTGTTGGAGTCAGCCAGTCCCACTGAAATGATGTTCCTAGTAACACAAAGGGGTGAATCGCCAGATCAGACTCACTGAATCATAGATCATATTCAATACCAAACTTTTCTGTGTGAAAGGACACAGGTAATACAGACCCTAGAGAAACATTCTTTTCCTTGGAGAAATTTGAGACTTTCAAACTCAGTACCCCAAGTATATCCTTTTCCTTCTGCATTAGGGCAGTGGGTTTCAGGTTGAATAGATAACATTTTTAAGCAGTGCATACAGACACGTGTTTCAGTGATGGAACATCTTTCCTTAGATCAAGGCTCCATTGATTAGCATTCTCCAGCCAGCCACAGATCCCAGGGTGATATTTGGTTCAGGGCATTCCTTTTACCCAGGCACTCTGGATAGGAAGGGAATGATCACATTTTGCTGCTCGTTAGTTTCCTTCTCATGGCTAGTAAGCATGTGAGGTACTTGTCTGATGGGATTATCCGTATTTTAATAGAAGGTATTGGAATATTGGAACCCTTCCAAGACTTTAAAGAATGCATAGGGTATTTCAGCAACCAGGAGATGGGTATATTCCTGGCAGCCTTTCCATCAAGCCATAGGAGCAACAGGACATTGCCAACTAATGTATCTGGACCCAAGCCAGAGACAGAGTCTGATGCCATTGATGCATTCATTTTCCTATTGGTCTTTCATTGGTTCAGTTAGCACCCATTGTGTGTTGGGTACTTTGGGAAGATGTAGAAGTGACTTACACATGTTCTCAGACATCCAGGAGCTCATGGCTGGTGGAGGAGACTCTCTTGCCTTTTTAGACAAACCAGAAACATGTGGGCTGGGTTTAAAGACAGTTGGGTGGAGGGGTGCAGTTTAGTGACTGATCACATGACAGTGACCAGTGGGTGCTGCTCATTGTGGGTCAGTGCCATTTTAGAGGGCAGGCTCAGCCTGGCCTTGGCCTGATCCAGGCACCACTTTAAACAGTGTCTTCCTGAGGACTTGGAAGCATAACTACTTCTCTCTGCCTCTCCTGCCACTGTTCTAATCCAAACCACCCTCACCTCTCACTCCTGCTTTCTTTCTTGCCCTCTTCAAGCCCATTCTCTGTGAAGAAAGGAGCCAGAGCTCTCTCACAAACTCCATGCTTCACTGACTTCCCTTGCTCCCAGAATGAAGCCCAGTCTCCCACTTCTCACTCAGCAGTGGCCGGCGAGGCCTTGCAAGATTTGACCACCTCACTAACGTCATCTTCTCAGGTCCTAGGGCCCAGCCTCAGCCCTTAACTGGGCCACTCCCTCTGGCTCAGGGTCTGGCCACAGGTTATCTCCCTGCCTTAGGTTGTTCTCCAATTCCACACATGCTCTGGCTCAAACTGACTAGCTCATATCTTTCTTTAGCTCTCAATATACACATGCCATCTGCAGAAAGGCTCCCTGAGCCCCCTAGCCTAGTTTGAAAGCCCCCTAGCTGGAAAGGCTGCCAGCCCCCTGTAATATGCTCTCAAGGTGCCCTGAGATTTGCCTACATATATTTTAACCCAGTTGTAGTTGTATAATTGTGTGATGAGTACCTCAGTGGGCATTTCAGGCACTTAAATGCTTACTGATTAGGACAGTGCCCACCCAATATGAAGAAGTTAGGTCACAGAAAGAGAAGGAAGCACCTTGCCTCACCGGAGTAGACATATGTTTATTTTTCTCTTTAACTAATGAGCTCTTCTTCCTACTCTTTCTTGTCCCACAGATTGTAGTCCTAGATCCAGCCAACAGGATTGTGAAGTTGGGAGCTGTCCTGCCAGGGCAGGTTGTGAAAAGAACAGTTTCCGTCAAGAACAACAGCCTGGCCCAGCTCACATTTAACCAGTCCGTTATGTTCTCAATTCCAGAACTCCAGGAACCCAAGGTTGGTGCTCAGAGGGGCTTCTAGGGGCCCCTTCATGCTCCCTGATGATGAGGATGGCCGTGCTAGCAGCACTCACAGCTCACAATTTCGTGTGCATCTGTAACGCACCAGACCATTCCAAGAGCCTTCCGTGTGCTCTCTCTGTTCATTTTCACAAAAACAGTATAGGGCTTTACGGGGTGCACTAGTCCTGTACTGTTTTTGTGAAAATGAACATTATTTTCATTATTTTGCATTTTCATTTCATTTTCCACGTCATTCATTCTCGTGTTTATTTACGTCTTCACTATGTAGATAAGCCGGTTCTCTATTGTTGCTCATTTCAGGTGTTTCTCCTCAAGCCTTTGTGTGCATCCCTGACTCTGTGCTTGAGATACATTCCTCAAAGTGGGCTCATTGGCTCAAAAGGGAAAGTGTGTTTCAATATGTGTGGCCAATCTGCCCCCTGAAAGATTATCCCACTTCTTTGCACACCCACCAGCAGTGAGAGGAAAGCATGCTAGTTGTCAAGTCTACTTCCTCCAGTTCCCTGAACATAGAAGCTACTATGTTGCCAGCTACTCATCTTACAGCCGTCCGTTTTTGCATGACCCTTGAAAATGCACCGAATATGTTTGATTCCTAGACCAGACTCCATCCATTCCTTCCTGTGGTTCATTCTTACACTCGCTCAGTAATACATGCTAGGTGCCAGTAATAAAAGGTGACTATGACACAGACCTTGGTCTGGTGGAGATCGCAGTCTTTGAAGTTCACAGACACATAAACAGTCCCAGGACAATGTAGAAACTACAGAGACAGAGTGTGAATCAGGATCAGGGCTGCTCGGAGGAGGGTTCGGGGGATTAGAGAAGGCTTCCCATGGAGAGGGGCCTGTACCGAACTTTGCAGTGTGAAGAGGTGTCCCTCAACAGGTTAGGAAGGGGTGTGGAAAGAGCACTGTAGGCCATTTGGGGATGGCAAGGTACAAAGAAGCTGGCTGTGAGAGGCCAGCCAAGGTAAGAGACCCTGTGAGCACCTCATTCCAGAACCCCATGTGCCTACTTTGCCATCTGGGCAAGGCACGGAAGACTTATTGCTTCCTTTTCCTCACTAATCCAAATTAAAGTCCTTGCTTCCAGCATGTCAGGGTCCCTAACAGTTTGGCCATACCAAATCTGCCTCTTCAGCTGGTCAGGTTAAGCTGCCAGAGTGCCCCATGCTTGCACCAAACACCCTGAGGCTTGCTTCCCACATCATCATGTTAGAGAAGTCTCTAAGGTGACTTTCCTGTCACGGCTCCGCAGCCCATAATCTCACTCCCTGCTGCCACCGTCCATTCACTGGTGACTGGTTAGTGCTCTGTACCAAAGAGAGCTTACAGATAAAAAGGGACTTGGCTTCCTTAAAGCTGACTTGGATTTGGTTTTTACCAGGACTAGAGGGAAAGAAAAAGCTGAACACATTTGTGCAGTGGTCCTCGAGTTTAGAATACATGAGTCACCTGGGGAACTTTTGAAAATGCAGATTCCAGGCTCTCCCCAGGAGACTCTGATTCATTTGGTCTGGGGCAGGATCCAGGAATCTGCTTTTTTTTAAGGAGGAGTCTCACTCTGTCACCCAGGCTGGAGTGTAGTGGTGTGATCTCAGCTCACTGCAACCTCTGCCTCCCGGGTTCAAGCGATTCTCATGCCTCAGTCTCCTGAGTAGCTGGGACTATAGGCATGCACCACAATGCCCAGCTAATTTTTATATTTTTAGTAGAGACAGGGTTTCACCATGTTGGCCAGGCTGGTCTCAAACTCCTGACCTCAAGTGATCCACCCACCTCAGCCTTCCAAAGTGGTGGGATTACAGGCATGAGCCACAGCACCCAGCTGGAATCTGCATTTTAACAACCATGCAGGGAAACTGAGTCAGAGAACACTCCTGGAGAAACACCAGAGTGCTAAGTGTTTCCTATTTCCTGTTTCTATTTCCTCTATCAGGGAGGAGGAAGAAAGAGGGAAATGCACAAAATAAGTTAGGAAAGAGTTAGGAAAGGGAAGTGACATTTACTGAATACCTATTATGTGCCACAGATTTTATAGAGATGATCTTAATCTTCAACATAGAGTAAGTCACAGAATGTTTAAGTAATTTACCAAAGCAGTCATAGCTGATGGGAGAGCAGGAGTGAGATCTGACCCCTGTTCCAATCCCAGAAGCAAGACCTCAGGGCACTGAGGCCTTAGGAGCCTCCTGCCCTCAGCTGCTGACTCTGGGTGTTTCATTCAGGTCATCACCTTGGTGCCCTTCCGCAACATCACGCTGAAGCCCAGAGAAGTCTGCAAACTGGACGTCATCTTTGCCCCAAAGAAGCGCATCCCTCCCTTCTCTGAGGAGGTGTTCATGGAATGCATGGGGCTCCTGCGCCCCCTCTTCCTCCTTAGTGGCTGCTGCCAGGCCCTGGAGATATCCCTGGACCAGGAACATATTCCCTTCGGACCCGTGGTGTATCAGACACAAGCCATGCGTCGCATCCTCATGTTGAACACAGGCGACGTGGGTGCAAGGTAGGTGAGTGGTGCCTCCCACCCCAAGGCTGCAGCAGAGGCCTCTGGAATATACCCACTTTCCATCATCCCCAGTGCTACCAGTGCCACCCAAGCCACTGTCAGCCCCCACCTGGTCTATTGCAAGTGTCTTATAGTTAACCTCTATTCTTCTGTCACTTCTAGGCATCTAGAGAAGTTCTGTTAAAGCATAGATCAGATCAGGTCACTCTACTCAAAACACTCATAACCCTTCCTTTTTCTATTAAAAAACAGAAAAGTCTCTACCATGACTGCTAGGCCCTGTATCTGTCCGGGACTAGTTCTGTAAGTGCAGTCACTTTTTACTTCTGTCCTCTCCCTTCTCCATCTCCCTACTTCCCTCAAGATGTGTCAGCAGTGGCCTTGCTGGGTGATTGCTGCTACTATGATTATTGCAATTGAGAGAACAGAAGATACTTACTCCATATCTGTTTCATGCCTTGACATGGCACATGTCATTTAATCCAATTACAGTTCCATGAGACCAAGACTACTCCCAACCCATTTGATAGACAAGTGAGTGCCCGACCACAGAGTGAGGACCGCACCGGGTCATGGGATACCAGTGCCACCCAGAACACAGGCAACTCTCACAGGAAGGGATTGTCGCCACCCTCCTGGATCTGAACTGAGAGGCAGGGCAGGGAACAGTTAAGGCCACAGTCCTGGAAGGGTTTCTGTCCTAGCCCAGCACTTCCTAGCTGTGTGACCTAGAGTACATGACATGTGTGTTTGTGTGTTCATACATTCCCTGATGTGTCACTCATGGATAATAAGATGCAGCCACTTCCTGCCCTTGGCTCAGCTCTGCAAGGAAGCCAGGTCCACCTGCCCGGTGACCTTAGCCCACATTCCCCAGTGCTTCTGCTCTGTCTGGTAGCTCTTTGTCCTCCTAGGTCCTGGGATGTGCTCAAGGAAGGTGAACCTCACAGCCCAGGCAGAATCTCTTGTTCTCAGTAGCTTTGAGGACACCCTTGCAACATCCATAAACTCTCTTCTTTGTCTTTTTTTGTCTTGGAAAAGGTTTAAATGGGACATCAAAAAATTTGAGCCTCATTTCTCCATTAGCCCAGAAGAAGGCTATATTACCTCAGGCATGGAGGTTTCTTTTGAAGTGACCTACCATCCCACCGAGGTGGGAAAGGAGAGCCTCTGTAAAAACATTCTCTGCTTCATCCAGGGAGGCAGTCCTCTGAGCCTAACCCTGTCTGGAGTCTGCATGGGACCACCTGCAGTAAAAGAGGTTAGTAGGCGCTGCCTGGGGTGCCCCAGTGGCAGGAGAGACCCCAGCAAGTGAACTCAGCCAGGTCTCCTTCAAATACACAGGCCAGCCCCCTCCCTCCACGAGGCCTGTGAATACACCGTTTCCAGTGCTGGAATATTCTTTCCTCTCCTCTTCATTTAATTTATTCCTTTCCATTCTTCAGCTCTCATCTGAAGCATTACATTCTCAAGGAAGCCTGCTTTGACATCCTGGCTAGATCGAATTCTAAGATCTATGAGTAAAGCATTAACACCTTTCTCCTTTTCTATGGTTAAAAAAAATGGCCTTGCTATATCCCTCTGCTAGCCCTGTTCCTGGAAACCTAACTGAACCGTCAGCTGTGTTACCTGGCAACACTGCTTATGGTAGAAACGACACTCAATCTCCCTGTCTATAATTTTGTTAAACAATGTTATATGAATGGAATCATACAGCATGCTATGAACTTGTGTGTATGTCTCAGCAGGAACATATGCTTTCTTTTCTCTTGGATAAAGACCTAGTTGTGGGGTGGCTGGGTCTTGTGGTAGGTGTATGTTTACCTTTGTAAGTAACTGCCAGACTGTTTCTCACAAAGTTTCTTACTTACTTCACATCCTTGTCAGTAATTGAGTCAGTTTTTTACATTTCAGCCAATCTAATCATTGAGGCTTTATTTCCCTAATGACTAATGATGTTAAGCTACTTGCCAGCCGTATGTTTTCTTAGTTGAAGTGTGTGTTCAAATCTTCTGTTTATTTTTAATTAGGTCATTGGTCCTCTTATTAAAGTTTTGAGAGCTCTTTGTACATTCCGAACATAAGTTTTGTGTTTAGGTCTTCAGTCTATTCGGAATTAATTTCTGTATATAGTGGGAGATAGTGATCAAAACATTTTTTGTACATGGATATCCAGTTGTTCCAGTACCACTTGTTGAAAAGACTCTTGTCTACCGAATTGCCTTTGCACGTTGTCACTGATTATAAATGACAATCAGTTGATCATATGTATGTGGGTTTATTGCTGAACTCTGTTCTTCTCTATTGGTCTCTTTGACCATCTTTATGCCAAAACCACACTGTTCACATTTTTTTTATGGTGAAAAGATAGACATATATTTAGAATTAGCCAGCTGGACTCAGTTTAGATGATCCCAGTTTTGTTGGCAACATCCAAAGCATCGTAATCAGGAGCCAGTCGAACACACGCCTTCTTCTCTCCATCAGCCGAATCACGGTGTCGACCTTGGCCACATCAGTGTCATAGAGCTTCTTCACAGCCTGATAGAGCCGGCGCTTGTTGGCTTTAACATCCACAGTGAACACAAGTGTGTTGTTGTCTTCTGTCTTCTTCATGACTCAGTGGTCAGCAGAAACTCGATATCATAGTGGTCAAGTTTGTTTCTCCTGGGGGCGCTCTTCTGAGGATATCTGGGCTGCCTCCAGAGTCGCAGTGTCTTGGGCCGCTGGAAGGTGGGCGATGTGCAGATCTTCTCTTTTTTTGTGGCTGTGGACACCTTTTTTTTTTTTTTCTTTTGAGACGGAGTTTCGCTCTTGTTACCCAGACTGGAGTGCAATGGCGCAATCTCGGCTCACCGCAACCTCCGCCTCCTGGGTTCAAACAATTCTCCTGCCTCAGCCTCCAAAGTAGTTGGGATTACAGATGCACGCCACCATGCCCAGCTAATTTTTGTATTTTTAGTAGAGACGGGGTTTCACCATGTTGACCAGGATGGTCTCAGTCTCTTGACCTCATGATCCACCCGCCTCGGCCTCCCAAAGTGCTGGGATTACAGGCGTGAGCCACCGCGCCCGGCCTGTGAACACCTTTCAACACTGCCATCTTGGCCTTTAAAGCCTTTGCTTTGGCTTCAGCTTTAGGAGGGGCAGGAGCTTCCTTCTTTGCTTTCGGCACCATCTTGTGAAAAGCATTCACATTTTTAAATCTAACGGCCAGTTCTTTCTTGAACTATAGGGAGCATTTGACACCATAAACCCATTCCTCCTCCTGGAAACACTTCCTTCACTTGGATTCAGCACAGCACTCTCCTGGGTTCCCGCCTACTCACCAGCTTCTTTCTCTTCATCTTCTAATTTTTTTTTTTCTTCTGAGACAGAGTCTCGCTCTGTCACCCAAGCTGGAGTGCAGTGGCACGATCTCGGCTCACTGCAACCTCTGCCTCCCAGATTCAAGCAATTCTCCTGCCTCAGCCTTCTGAATAGCTGTAATTACAGGCACCAACTGCCATGCCCAGCTAATTTTTGTGTTTTTAGTAGAGACAGGGTTCACCATGTTGGCCAGGCTGGTCTCAAACTCCTGACCTCAGGTGATCCACTCACCTTGGCCTCCTAAAGTGCTGGGATTACAGGCATGAGCCACCATGCCCAACCTTCTGATTCTTCTTAACATTGGAGTTTGTCAATCATGAACTAGTCCTTAGATTCCTTCTTTCTTCTAAATATAATCACTTCTTGTTGATTTTACCCAGTTTCTTGGTCTTAAAAAAAAACAGGTTGAACATAGTGGCTCATGTCTGTAACCCTGGCACTTTGGGAGGCCAAGGCAGGAGGAATGCTTGTGCCAAGGAGTTCAAGACCAGCCTGGGCAATGTAGTGAGACCCCCATCTCTACAAAACAACAACAGCAACAACAACAATGAAATTGCTCTGCTGACAATTTCCAAATCTTTATCTCCAGCCTGGACTCCTCCCTTGAACTCCAGATTTGTAAATTCTACTTCCTGCTTGACTAATAGGCATATCAAATTCAACATGTATGAAACAAGCTCCTGATCTCTCCCTGAAGCCTTCTCCTCCCTAAGTCAACCCCACATCAGTAAAGGGCATCTCCATTCTGCTCATTGCTCAGGTTGAAAACTTGGGTGTCATTCTTGAACCTTCTTCCACCTACACCCAAGATACCATACAGCACTAAATGTATTGGCTCTTCCAAGTACAACTGGAATATATCCACTTCTCACCATCCCCAGTGCTACCAGTGCCACCCAAGCCACTGTCATCCCCCACCTGGTCTAATGCAAGTGTCTTCTAATTAATCTCTTCCTCTGTCACCTCCAAGCATCTAGAGCAGTTCTGTTAAAGCATAGATCAGGTCGGGTCACTCTACCCAAAACACTCATAAGTCCTCCTTTTCAATTAAAAAAAATTTTTTCTACCATGACTCCAGGGCCCTGCATGCTGTTCCCTTTTCCTTTATCTCCCCCTCACTCACTTCACATTTGCCACACTGGCCTCCCTGCCTTTTGTCAAAACCAGGAGCTTTGTAACTGGCATTTCCTCTGCCAGTTACACTCTGGCTCACTCAGGCCCTTCCCCAGATCTCCCCTACTTCATTCTTGTTCTGTAATCAAATTCATATGCTCAGTTACACCTTTCCTGATCACCCTGTGTAAAAACTCAAACCCACTCCCAGTCTGGCACCCACTCTGCTTTGTCTTTCCCCTTGGCACTTATTTCTACCCTGCACACTCTATACTCCACTGTGTGCATGTGTCTCCCCACTAGAATCTCAGCTCAAGGGCAGAGATTTTTGTTATTTTGTTCATTGCTGTATCTCCACCACCAAGAACCATGCCTAACACATAGAAGGTACCCATAAGTATGTGCTGAGTGAATGAAAGGAAAATAAACAGATCCATTGAAACTCATGATGGGAAGCACTGGTAAAATCAGTCTTCCAGTGTGGCGCTTCCTCAAGGACCTAGAAATAGAAATTCTATTTGACCCAGCCCCAAAGAATTACAATTCATTCTATTATAAGGACACCTGCACACATATGTTCATAGTGGCACTGTTTATAATAGCAAAGACCTGGAACCAGCCCAAATGCCCATCGATGATAGACTGGACAAGGAAAATGTGGCACATATACACCATGGAATACTATGAAGCCATAAAAAATGCTGAGTTTTGTCCTTTGTAGGGACTGGAATCTGGAAACCATCATACTCAGCAAACTGACACAAGAACAGAAAATCAAACACCGCATGTTCTCACTCATAGGCAGATGATGAACAATGAGAACATATGGACACAGGGAGGGGAGCATCATACACTGGAGTCTGTTGGGGGGGCCAAGGGAGGGACAGCGGGGGGCCAGGAACGTCAGGGAGGGATAACATGGGGAGAAATGCCAGATGTAGGTGACGGGGGGATGGAGGCAGCAAACCATATTGCCATGTGTGTACCTATGCAACAATCTGCATGATCTGCACATGTACCCCAGAACATAAAGTACAATAAAAATTAAAATAAAATAAAATAAATCAGTCTTCCCCAGCACAGATTCTTTACCTCTGGCCCCGGAGACAGACCAAGGGGACATGCCGTGGAAGATGAGGTGCCTGTTTCTTCCAGGTGGTGAATTTCACGTGCCAGGTGCGGTCCAAGCACACACAGACCATCCTGCTGTCAAACCGCACCAACCAGACCTGGAATCTGCATCCCATCTTTGAGGGTGAGCACTGGGAGGGACCTGAGTTCATCACCCTGGAGCCCCACCAGCAAAACAAGCCCTATGAGATCACCTACAGGCCCTGCACCATGAACTTGGAGAACCGCAAGCACCAGGTAGGCTGAGGCCTCCCCACTGGTTTCCTGGCATAGTTGAAGGTGGCGCTGTATGAATGAGGTTAAAAGACACTTTGGGGCCAGGCACGGTGGCTCACACCTGTAATCCCAGTACTTTGGGAGGCTGAGACGGGTAGATCGTCTTAGGTCAGCAGTTCAAGACCAACCTGGCCAACTGGCAAAACCCCATCTCTACTAAAAATACAAAAATTAGCCAGGCGTGGTGGCACACACCTGTAATCCTAGCTACTTGGGAGGCTGAGACAGGAGAATGGCTTGAACCTGGGAGGCAGAAGTTGCAGTAAGCCAAGATTGTACCATTGCACTCCAGCCTGGACAACAGAGTGAGACTTCATCTCAAAAAAAAAAAAGAAAATACATTTTGGAAGCTGAGAGTTCAGAGAATGTTGGATGGGGAGCACCCAGATCATGTTGGAATCGTGAGGAACTGTACAGATTATCAAGCTGTGGCTTCCTTTTTTCATGTATAGGGGATTCTCATAGAGCCAGGGGCTCAGTTCTAAAATGCAGTCCAGACCAAGCATCAAGTAATTAATGTTTCACTTAATTGCATAAATAACATAATGGTGACAGTAACAAAAAGAAAAGTGGCCACAATCTTTCACCCTATTAAAAAATGAGCTTTTTTCTTCTATCTTCACTACCAGTCCTTACTCAGATGCAGCCATAACTGCCATCATAATGTACCCGGTTTTGCATTGTTTCTTTTCACTTTACAATATGTCACTAGCATTTTTCTATTTTACTACGCAGTCTTTGTGATCATTATTTTTACTAACTGCCTAATATTTCACTGAATGAAGTTCCACAATTTGTTTAACATTCCCGTTTGTTGAATCTTTATCGACAAATTTTCATCGACATTATAGGTGGTTCTCATAAATACGCACAACTTTTTCCTATGGAGGGATTGTTCTTCAGTAAGTTCTCTGGGATGGGATTCCTGGCTCAGATACATACGAACGTTACCTGTCTCCTGAAATATACCACCATCTCCTGAAAGATGCTTTCCAAAGAATTACGTTTATTTGCGGAGCCTCCATTGTCCTCCCTTAATCCTGAGTCTCTACATGCCGGATAGGTACCTAATAAAAAATGCTGTGTGTCATTCTGATCTCATCCTTATTCTCCTTAGGGCACCCTCTTCTTCCCCCTCCCAGATGGGACTGGCTGGCTGTATGCTCTGCACGGGACTGCTGAGCTCCCCAAAGCTGTAGCCAATATCTACCGTGAAGTACCATGTAAGACCCCCTACACTGAACTCCTGCCAATTACCAACTGGCTAAGCAAGCCCCAGAGGTAAGGGGATGGGGCAAGGGGTCTGGGTGGAGAGATGGAAGAAGGACTTCCACCATCTAGCCCAGTCATTCCCCTACTTAGGGCCTCTAAAGGATGTGGAGGGGCTCGAGGAGTCAGAGACAGAGTTCCCTGATGTTACCAGGCATTTCCTGAACACTAATCCTCTAGAGAGATTCTCCTTTCTGTGCTGTTAGTTACTTGTAAGTCCCCTAGAACAAGGCCTGGCACAAAATAAGCATTTGATAGATGTTAGCTGTTATCATTATCATAACGATAATCATCACTGTGATTACTGAGTCCTCTGTCTTATCACCTAAGCCACTGGCCAGAGAAGCAAGTCCTTGGATCTTGTCCTTACAATAGGAACAGAGTGGAAATCAGGCACCAGGAGAGCTCAAGGCCAGTGAGCATGGTCCCCTTCTTTTACAGAGAAGGAACTCAAGACTGGGCGACAAAGCACAAAGTACTGAAGGCTATCTGCTTAGCATAGTGGGTAAAGGCCCGACCTAAATTTGAATCCTGGTTCCGCCAATATCCAGTCATGTTACCTGAGCATCTTATCTTCCTTCTCTTGGCCTCTGTTTAGTGACATGGAGATGACAGTGCTATGTATTAATACCTCCTACAGATACTGCAAGGATTAATGCCTGTAACACACAGAGCACTGACTCAGTCCCTAGCACATAATAGGTGGTCAGTAATGGCAGTTCCCATTATTGTTAGTGACAGAATAAAGACTAGAACGCTGAACCCTTGCACTTCCCATAAAATCAATACAGCTAGCAGTCTTTCCTCTTTCCTTTGGGTTAATGGTCTCATTTCCTCTCCCCTCTTGTATTCTCCTATGCTGCCCCAGATTCAGGGTCATCGTGGAAATACTGAAACCGGAGAAGCCAGACCTAAGCGTTACTATGAAGGGCCTTGATTACATTGATGTACTGTCTGGCTCTAAGAAAGACTACAAGCTGAACTTCTTTTCCTACAAGGAGGGAATGTACACTGCAAAGGTATCTACATGGCAAAGGCACACCCTGGAACTCAGGACATTTACCCTGAGTTTGATCCTAGTGTTAGCAAGTAAAGATGGCCGCCCGCAGTCACTGCTCCAAGACATCACAGAATCTCTTACACAAGAGTTGTTTCACCTCATTCATTTAGTGGTTTAACAAAGATCTATTTAGCACCTATGCCTTTAACAAGTATCTATTCAGCACACACTGATTTCCGGTAACACATCCGTGACCTGAATAGGCACAATCTCTGTTCTCGTGGAACACACAGTCTAGTGGAGAGAGATGGACATTATTCAAATAATTGCACTGTGGATGTATAATTACAAAATGAGATAAGTGCTTTGAAGAAAAGGAGCATGTGTGGATCTGTAGCTCATGGGGGGGGCAGGGTTGAAGATAACATTTGGGAATTTTTCACTTATAGATAGTATTTGAAGGTATGTGGGATGGAATCACCAGGGGAAACCCTTCAAAGTAAAATAAAGAAAGTACCTAGGAACACAGAGAGAAAGAGAGAGAGAGAGAGAGAGGAAGAGGGAGGGAGATGGGGAGGGGGAGGGGGAGGGGGCAGGGGGAAGGGGGAGGCTGCCAAGACACATCCAGCAGTGTGAGATCTCCTTTTCTACAATAACTGAGTAGGCTGTTCTAATCACATCTATTCGGATCAGCATTCACAGACGGACAAGATTTTAAGAGAATCTCAAAATTAAGAAATCATGAAACATCTTTTAAAAAGTTACCGTAAAATAGAAACATCAACTCAATAAATCAGAACCTCTGAAAGGAAAGAGTTATTAAAACCAACAGAAAACTTTAGGTGAATATTATTCATATCCCCAAAGGGAGAAAATCACACCCATGAAATAAGGATAAGCTATTGTGAAAAAGAATCAATTAGAGACTCTAGAAATGAAAAATAGAATATTTAGAATAGAAAACCATAGAGGAAGGATGGACTTTATAACAGAGATTCCTAATAAGTTAGAAGATGGAGCTGAGTAGTATCGCCAGACCTTAGCCCATGAGGACAAAGTAATGAAATGAAATGAAATAATAACAAGCATCAGCAAAGATATGGAGACATTGGGACCCTCATACACTGCTGGTAGGGGTATGATATGGTACAGCTGCCCTGGAAGACAGTCTGGCAGTGCCTCAAATGGTTAAACATAGAGTGACCATATGATTCATCAACTTAACTCCTAGGTAATACCCTAGAGAAATAAAAAACATATGTGCACCCAAAAATCTGTATAACAAATATTCATAGCAACATTATTTCTATGAGCCAAAAAGTAGGGACAACCCAAATTTTCGTGAACTGTTCAGTGTGTAAGTAGAATGGAATTTGGCAATAAAAAGAAATGGAAATAAAATATTGATACATGCTGTAAAACATTATGCGAAGTGAAAGAGGCCAGTAACAAATGTATACTTTGAAATGTAAGTGAATGTATGCTTTGAAAAATGTAGGCAAAAGAAGCCATTCACATACTATATGATTCCAGGTGTATGAAATTTGAAGAGTAAGCAAATCTACAGAAATAGAAAGTCGATGAGTGGTACTTAGGGATGGAGGGAATGGGTTGGGGAAAAGAGGAGTCATAATGGTTACAGGGTTTTAGGAATAATGAAAATGTTCTAAAGTTTACTGTAGAGATGGCTATGCTGCCTTGTTAATATACTACAAACCGCTAAATAGAACACTTTAAATGGAGGATTGTATGATATATGAGTCATATCTCAATAAAGCTGTTAAAAAAAAGAATGAAAGGAAATATGAGACAATATATAAATCAAGAAGTTCTAATATCTATGTAATAGGAGCTCCTGAAATAGTAACAAGATACTAGAAGGAAGAAAATATTCAACAAAATAATTGGAGAAATATTTCCAGAGCTTTTTAAGATCGAGTCTTCTAATCGAGCGGGTCCACCAAGTTGTCACACAGGGTGGATGAGAGAAATACTCACATCTGAACACATCAGAGCAAAGTTTGAGAAAACCAGATGAAAAAGAAAGTCCTAAATGATTCTAAAGGAAATAATAATCACAGTAGCATCAGACTTCTTGTGGCAACACTAAATACAAGAAGATAATGGTATAAGCTACCCAAATTTCTGAGTGAGAAGGATTATCAATCTAGAACTCTTTTTCCAGACAAAACTCTTATGACAGCAAAACATGGACTTGCAAGGACTCAAAGTAACTGACCAGGGCCAGGCACGGTGGCTCACACCTGTGATCCCAGCAATTTGGGAGGCCGAGGTGGGCTGGCACGTGCCTATAGTCCCAGCTACTCAGGAGGCTGAGGTAGGAGAATTGATTGAGCCCAGGAAATTGAGGCTGCAGTAAGCCAAGATGACACCACTGCACTCCACCTGGGCAACAAAACAAGACCCTGTCTCAAAAAAAAAAAAAAAAAACCTAACCCACCTATTATGCACAAACTCCATCTGAAAATAAATATTATAAAATTAAAAGTTTTTAAATTAGCAAAGCTTAAAAAATAAGTAAGTGAGTCATGTGCTATGGCTCACACCTGTAATTCTAGCACCTTGGGAGGCTGAGGTGGGTGGATCACTTGAAGTTAGGAGTTCAAGACTAGCCTAGCCAACATGGGGGTTTCACTACTCTCTACTAAATTTTTTACTCTCTACTAAAAATACAAAAATTAGCTGGGCATGGTGGTGCATGCCTGTAGTCCCAGCTCCTTGAGAGTCTGAGGCAGGAGAATCAGTTGAACCCGGGAGGCAGAGGTTGCAGTGAGCTAAGATCACATCACTGCACTCCATCCAGCCTGGGCAACAGAGTGAGACCCTGTCTCAAAAAAAAAAAAAAAAAAAAAAAAGTGAATCAAAGAGGAAAGTACAAGAATATAGTAAGCAAAGAATCAAAATTAAATTGATAAGTAATTTTAAATAATTGTTAAAAGACAATCTACCATAAATATTCATATGACCTGAACATAGGAAATAGCAAGGGGAAGAATAAAACAAGGCAATGACAAACATGCTCAATCTGGAGGAACAGAATGGGGGAAATAAGAGAAGTTTTTTCATTCAGATAGGAAGAGAATAGAGATATTCATAAACTGTAGATGTAAACAAAAAAACAAGTAAAGATTTGTATTAAAATATAAGACTTTGGGGTAAAAATGACAGAGTGAACCCAGATCACCAGTCTCCTTATAGTAATACATATTGAAATTTAAAATAACAACAAAGTTTTTTAAAGAATAAAAAGCATTTCTGCTTCTGGTTATAATGATTATAATACTTTATTTTATACTCCTCCCACTATTAAAAAAAAAACACATAAAACTCAACAAAATCTCTGAGGCAACTTTTCTCAGGCATTGGACAACAGGCAACACAATACTGTAATCTTCCAAAGGGAAGGAAAACTCATGACATGAATCCTCACAATTATCCTGGTTCTTTGCCTAGGGACAATTTCCTGACTGCAATGTAGTGAGTTAGAGTCTAAGCAAAGCAAAGCAGCCTTCAAAGAGCTGAGGAGGCATAAATCAGAGTTTAGGGCAGTTAAAAAAGTCTGGTCTCTACAGTGTAGGACACCAGAAGAAGGGAGCAGTGCATGAGTGAAGAGGACAGGTCAGAAGACAGCATGAGGTTCCCCTCACTATCTTTGGCTAAGAGTTGGAATCCACATGCACAGGGTGAGACAACATGAGATTTTCCAGGGAGGAGCTGTGTAAATCAGTGCTGGGGAACATTGGCGGTCTGACCCAGCCAGAGGAAAGACATTACATTAATACCTCATTAAAATCGTGAGAACCCAGCTGAAATACTAGAAAGGCCAGGAGAAAGGGTTAGGAGAAAGGGCCATTCCCTTAGTATAAGGCCTTCTCTTTACCAGCCCTTAAAAAAAGCCTAAAACTAAGCACCTACAAGATCTACAGGGAGGACAGAATCTGGAGATTGAATCCCACCAAGTCAGAAGGTCCTGATCAACACCTTGAGCTTTACACAGATGTGCTCTAACAAAGCATAAAACTAAACCCACACAAATTTAAATCAGTAATTGAACTACCTCCTAGAGCAAAATCAACGCTCTTAAAAGGAAGACAACAGAATCCAGAATCTCTACAATGATCATCAGCATTGTCCAGTACACAAACAAAAATTACTAGACCTGTGGAGAAGCAGGAAAATGTGATCTATAGTCAAGAAAAAAAAGCCATCAATGGAAACTGACTCCAAGATGGGCCAGATGTTGGATTTAGCAGGCAAAGACTTCACAGCAACTGTTAGAACATTACATTCTCCAAGAAGAAGAGAATGAGAATGAGGCAGAAAATTAAATTACAGGCATACCTCAGAGATATTGTGGGTTCAGTTCCAGGCCACCATGACAAAGCGAATACTACAGTAAAGTGAGTCACAATTTTTTTCCTGGGAAATATAAAAGTTATATTGATACTATACTGTCATCTATTAATTGTGCAATAACATTAGGTCTTTAAAAGTAATGTATATACCTGAATTATAAATTACTTTATTGCTAAAAAAAAAATCATCTGAGCCTTCAGAGAGTCATAATCTTTTTGGTGGTAAAGCATCTTGCCTCGATGTTGATGGCTGCTGATTGATCAGGGTGGCAGTTACTGAAGGTGGGGATGACTGTGGCCATTTCCTAAATTAGACAACAATGAAATTTGCCATATCAATTGACTCTTTCTTTCATGAAAAATTACTCTGTAACATGTGACACTGTTTGAAAGCATTTTACTCACAAGAGAACTTCTTTCAAAATTAAAGTCAGTCCTCTAAAATCCTGCCTCTGCTTTATCAACTAAGTTTATGAATATTCTAAATTCTTTGTGATCACTTCAACAATGTTCATGGCATCTTCACCATGAGTAAATCCCACCTTGAGAAAGCTCTTCCTTTGCTCATCCATAAGAAGCAACTCCTCATTCAAGTTTTATAATGAGACTGTAGCAATTCGGTTATATCTTTGAGCTCCATTTCCATTGTCGTTCTCTTGCTATTTCCACTACATCTACAGTTACTTCCTCTACTTTTCAAGTTACTGAAGTCTTGAACTTCTCAAAGTCATACATGAGGGTTTGACCTTCTCCAGTGAATCACAGATGTTCTTAATGGCATGTATAATAGCAAATCCTTTCCAGAAGGTTTTCAGTTTACTTTGCCCAGACCCATCAGAATAATAATTATCTATGGCAGCTACTGCCTTATGAAATGTATTTCTTAAATAGCAAGACTTGAAAGTCAAAATGACTCCTTGATTTTTGGGGTGCAGAAAGGATGTTGTGTTAGCAGGCATGAAAACAACATTCACCTCCTGCATAATTCCATCAGAGCTCCTGGGTGACCAGATGCATTATCAAAGGGAAGTAATACTTTGAAAGGAATCTATTTTCTGAGCAGTAGGTCTCAAGAGTGGGCTTAAAATATTCAGTAAACCACACTGTAATCAGAATCAGTTGTGCTGTCATCCAGGATTTGTTGTTCCATTTCAAGAGCATAGGCAGAGTAGATTTGACATAATTCTTAAAAGCCTTAAGATTTTCAGAATAGTCAATGAGCATTGGCTTCAACTGAAAGTTGCCAGGTTCATTAGCCCCTAACAAGAGTCAGCATGTCCTTTAAAACTTTGAAGCTAGGCATTGACTTCTCTTCTCTAGCTAAGAAAGTCCTAAATTACATCTTCTTCCAATAGAAAGCTGGCTTATCAACATTGAAAATCTTTTGTTTAATGTAGCTACCTTTAACAATTATCTTAGCTAAATCTTTTGGATAACTTACTGCAGTGTCTACATCAACATCTGCTGCTTCACATTATAGTTTTATGTTATGAAGACAGCTTCTTTACTTAAACCTTATGAACCAATATTCAGACTTCTACAGTTTCCTTACTTCTTCAGCCTTGATAGAATTGAAGAGAGTTATGTCCTTGTTCTGGATTAGGCTTTGGCTTAAGGGAATGCTATAGCTCCTTTGATTTTCTATCCAGACCACTAAAGATTTCTCCATATCAGCAATAACTCTTATTATTTGTGAGTTCACTGGAATAGCTCTTTTAATTTTTTTAAAAAACTTTTCCTTTGCATTTTTAATTTGGCTAAATGTTTGGTGCAAGAGGCCTAGCTTTCTGTCTATCTAAGGTTTTGACATGTCTTCCTCACTAAGCTTAATCATTTCTAGCTTTTGGTTTAAAGTGAGAGCCATATGATGCTTCCTTTCACTTTAACTTAGATGTTGTTATAGGGTTATTATTTGCCTAAATTCAATGTTGTTATGTCTCAAGGAATAGGGGGGCCCAAGGAGAGGGATAGAGATGAGGGAATAGGCAGGGAGTGGAGTAGTCAGAACACACACAACATTTACTGATCAAGTTCACTGTCTTATATGGCACAGTTCATGGCACCCCTAAACAATTACAATAGTAATATCTGTATTAGTCTGTTTTCACACTGCTATAAAACATACCCAAGACTGGATAATTTCTAAAGAAAAGAGGTTTAATTAACTCACAGTTCCACAGGGCTGGGGAGGCCTCAGGAAACTTATAGTCATGACAAAAGGGGAAGAGGCACATCTCACATGGTGGCAGGTGACAGAGAGTGGTGAGCAAACAGGAAAGAGCCCCTTATAAAGTCATCAGATCTCGTGAGATCTCACTATCATGAGAACAGCATGGGGCAAATCACCCCCATGATCCAATTACCTCCCACCAGTTCTCTCCCTTGACATGTGGGGATTACAATTCAAGGTGAGATTTGGGTGGGGACACAAAGCCAAACTATATCAACATCCAAAATCACTAATCATAGATCATCATAACAGATACCAAAATAATGAAACAACCAGGCATGGTGGCTCATGCCCATAATCCCAACACTTTGAGAGACCAAGGCAGGAGAATTGCTTGAAGTCAAGAGTGGGAAACACAGCCAGACCCCATCTTTATGAAAAATAAAAATAATGGAAATTTTTCAGATATTACCAAAATGTGATGCAGAGACACAAAGTGAGCACATGCTGTTGGAAAAATGGTGCTAATAGACTTGCTCAACACAGGTTGTCACAAACCTTCAATTTATATGTTTAAAAAAAATCAATATCTGCGATGTACAATAAAGTGAAGTGCAATCAATGGAGGTGTGGCTGTATTTGAAAAAAATAAGTACTGAAATTTTCCTAATTTGACTTTTTTTTAACTATAGATGCAAGAAACTTAGCAAACTTTAAGCAGGAGAAATACAAATAAAACTATGCCTATACACATCAGGCATAGTTTCATTTTCAAACTGCCAAAAAGCAAAGATAAAGAGAAAAGCTTAAAGCAGCCAGAGGAAGAAAAGACATATTACAGAAAGAGGAACAGCGATAACAACGACTCTCCTAGGTTTCTGGCTTCTCCTAGGCAAGAGTGGAAGCTATCTGTAAAGTGCTGAAAGGAAAGGAAACGGTTCATCCAAAACTATCCACTGAAAATGTCCTTTAAAACTGAGAATGAAGTGTCCATTTGCATATAAAAGAACCTGCGAGCGTTTGTTGCCAGTAGATTTACATTACTGCATAACGTGTGAATATCTTCCTCAGTCTGAAGGGAAATGATATCAGGTGGGAACTTCAGTCTGCAAGAAGAAAAGAGGAGCTCTAGAAACGTTAAATACCTAGGGAAATACAAACTGTATATTTGGAGGTAAAAGACAACTGACAGTTTATAACAGATATAATACCATTCTAAGTGGATATTCTTATATATGTAGAAGTAAAAGGTATGACAACAAAAGCACCAAAGATGGGGTGGGCAGGCGAAAAAAGTGATTCTTATTGCCAGTGTGAGGTAGGAACCAGGAAGCATCCATTGTCAAGTGGGAAATGATAAAATATTAACCTTTGATAAATATTGATAAGGATTCATTGTTAGCTCTAGAGGAACCACTAAAAATTGTTTTAAAGGCAGGGTGCAGTGGCTCACGCCTGTAATGCCAGCACTTTGGGACGCGGAGGCGGGCGATCACCTGAGGTCAGGAGCTGAAGACCAGCCTGGCCAACGTGGTGAAATCCCATCTCTACTAAAAATACAAAAAATTAGCCGGGCATAGTGGCGCATGCCTGTAATCCCAGCTACTTGGGAGGCTGAGGCTAGAGAATCACTTGAACCCAGGAGGTAGAGGCTGCAGTGAGCTGAGATTGCACCACTGCACTCCAGCCTGGGTGACAGAGTGAAACTCCATCCCCCCAAAAAAATTGTTTTAAAATATGAGTAAGAAGCCAGTAGAGGAAATAAAATATATTCCAAAAGATTACATATCAATCCAAAAGAAAGTAGAAAGTAACAACAGAAAAATGAAAAGTAAAAGGGACAAGTGGAAAATAGGTAGCAAGGAAGCAGACTTCGGGCCAAACATATAAACAATCACTTTAAATGTTAGAAGCTCTTCAGGACACAAAGAAGTTGAAAGTGAAAAGCCAGACTATATATAGAACTATTATACCACCTAATAATAATGACATAAACAACCCAATGTATTAGAAAGGACAGACCACTTGAATAGATCCTATTTCACAAAAGTAGCTATGTGAACGATCAATAAAAACATGAGAAGATGCTGAACATTATCAGTCACCAGGGAAAAGAACTTAAAAAGGTAAACATCACAAGAAGTCAGTTGCAGGGGTGAAGGGACAGTACTGTGTAGTTACAAGTGCAAACTCTGGAGTCAGCCTACCCTGGGTTCAAACCTTGGTCCTGACACTACTTTGCATGGGACCTTGGGCAAGATACTTGACTTTGCTGAGCGGCAGTTCCCTTAATTAAAAAAAAAAAAAAAAAAAGGCCAGGCATAGTGGCTCACACCTGTAATCCCAGCCATTTGGGAGGCCCAGGCGGGTGGATCACGAGGTCAGGAGTTTGAGACCAGCCTGGCCAATATGGGGAAACCCCATCTCTACCAAAATTACAAAAATTAGCTGGGCCTGGTGGTGGGTACCTGTAATCCCAGCTACTTGAGGCAGGAGAATTGCTTGAACATGGGAGGCAGAGGTTGCAGTGAGCTGAGATCGTGCTGCTGCACTCCAGCCTGGGTGACAAGAGTAAAAAAAATTTTAAAAAAAGTGAAGTGACATAATAACAGTGCCTACGAATTGTGTGCATTAACTAATTATTTCTATTCCCTGGTACGCAGTAATCATTAATTAACTGTTAGATGCTATTGTTGTTATTAAACTATGGCAGCAGCAACAGGAATAGGTAGAAAGCCCATTGTGGTGGCTCACACCTATAATCCCGGTACTTTGAGAGGCCGACATGGACTGATCACTTGAGGTCAGGAGTTCAGGACCAGCCTGGCCAACATGGTGAAACCCCATCTCTACTAAAATACAAAAATTAGCCAGTAATGGTGGCAGGTGCCTGTAATCCCAGCTACTTGGGAGGCTGATGCAGGAGAATCACTTGAACCGGGAAGGTAGAGGTTGCAGTGAGCCGAGTCATGCCGTTGCACTCCAGCCTAGGCAACAGAGTGAGACCCACTGTCAAAAAAGAAAAAAGAAAAGAAAGAAAGCCCATTGTCACTTACCTCAGAAGTCTCACTTGTTTTCCAGAGATGGCCGGCTATTCCCACCAGGAAAGTGCTGGCACTGGACAGTCCTGCTCTAGCTTCTTCTTGAAAACGTGCAGAGGACCCTCGGCTCATCCCTGCTCTTCCCTCCTTCCTCCCTTTTTCCCGGTGAATGCAGGTGATCTTCCGAAACGAGATTACAAATGAGTTCCTGTACTACACAGTGAGTTTCAAGGTCATCTCTTCAGGCATCATCAGAACCATCGAGATGGTGACCCCCGTCCGGCAGATTGCATCAGCCTCCATCAAGCTGGAGAACCCTCTGCCCTACTTGGTGACCTTCTCCATGGAATGCCGGATACCGGACATCTCCCTCCCCTCCCAGTTTGTGGTGCCTCCCAACTCCGAGGTATGGCCCCTTGGCTGTCAGGGGCTCACTGAGAGCTGTGATAGTGGCCTCCACCCCTGAGACCTCTGGATCCACATTCTGCATCCTCAGAGGGTGGGCCGGCCCTGGCAGTGGTCAGGAAGGCAAGGAATGGGACCATCACCCTCATGTTCCTTTCCTTATTGATGAAGTCCTCACATGAGCTTGGGCATGTAGTTTGGAATTCTCTCTTATGAACCTTGTCCCTATGATTTGTTTGCTTGCTTTGTTCCAGCTAAAACTTTTTGTTTGTTTTTTGATAATTACAAAAATAGTGTAGAGTCCAGGCACGGTGGCTGATGCCTGTAATCCTACCACTTTGGGAGGCCAGGGAGGGCAGATCACTCGAGGTCAGGAGTTTGAGACCAGCCTGGCTAACATGGTGAAAACCTGTCTTTACTAAAAATACAAAAATTAGCTCACTAGTAGTGGCGGGTGCCTGTAATCCCAGCTACTCGGGAGGCTGAGGCAGAAGAATTGCTTGAACCCAGGAGGCAGAGGTTGCAGTGAGCCGAGATCGTGCCGCTGCACTCCAGCCTGGGCGACAGAGTGAGATTCTGTCTCAAAATAATAAAATAAAATAAAAGCAATATAGAATAGGTGTGGTGAAAGGAAAACAAGGCACTTAATGCATGCGCACAAGGATGTACTACTTCAGGAAGGAGCAGAGGAAAACTTTGACAGTGGTTAGGAGGGCGTGGCTGGAGTTAAAGAGTTGTGAACTGGTAGAGAAATGAACTTGCTTTAGATTCTTTTTATCAGGTTATCGCTCCAAATTCTCGCTGCCCAGATTCTATCAAATGTCTTCTGTTTCTCCACCTTCAGCCCACCCGATGAGTTCCTCACTCCAGGCCCCGCCGACTTCCTTCCTGTTCAGAATCTACAGTCCACTTTGTTCTTCAGAGCAAGTCTCCATGCCCTTTAATTTTGATCTTTTTAGTGTGAACTATAAAATCTATACTGAAAAGTCTATAAAACATATATATATATATTCCTGCAATGTGTTACAACGTGTATTTCAAACAAATAATTATGAAATAAATATCCTTGTACGCAAAACCCAGGCCAAGAACTATGAAATTGCCATCACTGCAGAAACCTTCAGCCACGTGCCCCTCCCCAATCACAACACCCTCCCTGTCTCACCCCTCAGAGTTACCAGTGTCCTTATTTTGTGATGATCATTTTTTGGTTGTTGTTTTTGAGCAACAAAATTTAGATTTGCCTGTTTTTGACCTTTCTGTGAGAGAAATCAGAGCACATGCTTTCTCTGACGTCTTCTTTCTTTTGCTCAATGTCGTGATTGTGATGCGCGTCCGTTCTGTTGCACGCAGCTGAGGTTCATTTATCTTTGCTGCTGTGGAATATACTTTTTTGTCTACTACTATTCAGTTCCTTTAATGGGTTATTGAACTGCTTAGATTTTCTGTTTCTTCCTGAGTCAGTAATAAGATCATGTTCATTTCCTCCATATATTAAAATGTTGGTATAAAGTTGTTAATATCTTATTACCTTTTTCATGTGACATCGCTTTTTCATTTCATCTCACTGTGTCTCCCAGTGGTATGATCATGCCTCACTGCAACTTCAACCTCCCCGGGCTCAGGTGATCTTCCCGCCTCAGCCTCCCAAGTAGCTGGGATTACAGGTGCGCGTCACCACACCTGCCTAATTTTGATATATTTTTGTAGGCTCATTTTGAACCCTGGGCTCAAGCAACCCACCCGCCTCAGCCTCCCAAAGTGTTGAGGCAGGTGGGTTGCTTGAGCCCAAGAGTTACAGGCCTAAGCCACTACTTCCAGCCGTATTTGGTTTTTTAATCCATCCTAGCAATCTTTACTTTTCACTGGAGCGTCTACATTACTTGTATTTAATAAATTGACCTGGTCAAGTTTACATACCCCCATGTGCTTTCTCATTATCCGGGTTGTTCTGTATTTGTTTTCTCCTTTGTTTTGTAAATTTCTCTTCCCCTCTTGTCTTCATTATTGTTCTGCTCATCATTCCCTCTTTTAAGGTAATAACTTTGTGTATAATTCTACCATCCTCCTTTTCCATTGTCATGCTAGATTTTTCCATACTCTTGGAAGGAGAAGGTAGCTCTATTGTAACTGCAAAATGTTGATTTTTTTTTTTCAAATACAGCCTTATGCTTTTAACATCTATTTTCTCTGCTCTCATTCCCATTTTTCTTTTCTGAGTTCTATTTTTCCTTTACCCCTAGTGTCTCTCAGTTGTGGTCAAATAGATTCTACTTTCTTAGATTTCTCTCAGTGCAGGAGTTTTATCCTAGAAAGGAGCTTCAGTCACTTGGCTTTGCGCATTCAAATGGCCTATACTGCCCCATAATTTCCAGTTCTATCACAACAGTTTTTGCAATTTCCCATAAACTGGAGTCTGAAATCATTCCTCTACTTTAGGCTGCTATTGTCAAATTGACCTGTTGGGTTTTCCAGGTTTTTGCCTGTTCATACAATGTCAGAGGAATAAAAGTTTCCCAGGTCGTATGAGATCCCTCAATTCAGAGATGATTCTGGGTTCTCGAGCTCTCAGGACTGATGATGATCCTTTGCCTTCCTTCCGCTTTTCCCATATAGTGGCTGATACTGTACCATCTACTGGTGTTTAGTAGTTTGGTCCTATCCGCTAGTATTCTGGGATTTGAGGGGTTACCTTTGCACTTAGTTTTGTTGTAAATGTCCATGCAGCCAGGTGCAGTGGCTCATGCTTGTAATCCCAGCACTTTGAGAGGCCGAGACAGGTGGATTGCCTGAGCTCAGAGCTCAAGACCAGCCTGAGCAACACAGTGAAACCTTGTCTCTGTTAAAATACAAAAAATTAGCCAGGTGTGGGCGGCATGTGTCTGTAGTCCCAGCTACTTGGGAGGCTGAAGCAGGAGAATTGCTTGAACCCAGGAGGCAGAGGTTACAGTGAGCCCAGATCACACCACTGCACTCCAGCATGGTAGACAGAGTGAGACTCCATCTCAAAAATAAATAAATGTTGACCATGTGTTCTTGCCGCTGTTAACCTAGTAGATCTGTGTGTTTTGTGGGGAGATTTGGGGAGATAACAAACTATGTTGCTGCAATCATCTTGCCCAGAGCCTGGACTTGCTTTTCACATGCTGTGAGCAAGAGTCAAGTTTTTTTTTTTTTTTTCCCAAGTGGATATAAATTGTCTCATGCTGTTTTTACTTAAAAGGCCATCTTTTCCCCAACTGCTCTGCAGAACCACTTATGAAATAAATCAAGTTCATTTATGCATGAGTCTGTTCTAGCTTTTCTATGATATCATAATGATTTAATTTGTGAATTTGTACCAATATCATAGCATCCTAATTACTACCCACTTAGAGTAAGGTAAAGCAATCAATCATTCCAGCTTTATGTTGAGACTTACTAACCTCTTATCTTACTGTTCTGCCAGAATATTTTAGCTATCCTTGGCCCTTTACATTTCCATATCAATTTTGAAATCAGCTTGTCAAGTTCCTCCATAAAAAACAAAAAGAAAAGAAAAATAACCTGTTGGGCTTTTGATTGGGATTACATTGAACCTATAGATTGTTTTGAGAATATATCAGTTATTTGTTGACCCATCACAAATAAACCAAAACTTAGCAGCTTAAAATAACAAACGTTTACTGTCTGTGCAGTTTCTGAGGCTCGGGATTCAAGAGCAGCACCTTGGCTAGGCGGTTTGAGCTCAGGGTCTCGCAGGAGGTTGGAGTCAGGTTATCAGCCAGGACTCTAGTCATTTCGAGGCATGACTGGGGCTAGATTATCTGTTTCTAAATTCACTCATGTGGCTGCTGGGAAGGCCTTAGCTCCCTGCTGGCTGTTGGCTGGAGGCTTCAGTTCCTCAGCATTTGGGCCTCTCCCTAGAGCTGCTTTCAACATGGCAGCTTGCTTCCCCGAGGATGAGAGATCTAAGAGAAAGAGTGCACAAGAAGAGAAGCCACAGTCTTTCATCATTTAATCTCAGAAGTAACATGCCATCCTTTCTGCTGTATACCGGTGGTCACATAGGTCAGGCCCTGGTATCATGGAGAGGACTACAGGAAGGTGGGAATCCCCAGAGGTGGGGATCATTGAGGACCATTTTGAGCCTGTCTATTATAAGGAGGATTCATATCTTTACAACATTGAGATTTCCAATCCACGAGCAAATCTCCGCTTGTTTAAGGCCTTTTTAAGTTCTCTCAATAGCACTTTTTTGGTTTTCTATGTAGAGACTTTGTTCATCTTCTGCTAGGCTCATTTCTAGGTTTTATATATTTTTATGCTATTATAAATAGTATCTTTTTAAATTTTCATTCTCTATTTGTTGTAAGCAGATAGAAATATAATTGATTTTGTATCCAATCATCTTTTACAGTTCACTTATTTCCGGTTGGTTGGTTGGTTGGTTGGTTGGTTGGTTGGTTGGTTGGTTGGTTGGTTTCTTACTCTGTCACCCAGGCTGGAGTGCAGTGGCATGATCAGGCTCACTGCAACCTCCTCTTCCCAGGTTCAACTGATTCTCATGCCTCAATCTCCTGAGTAGCTGGGATTACAGGAGTGTGTCACCATGCATGGGTATTTTTGTATTTTTAGTAGAGACAGGGTTTCACCATGTTAGCCAGGCCAGTCTCGAACTCCTGGCCTCAAGTGATCCTCCTGCCTGGGCCTCCCAAAGTGCTGGGATTACAAGTGTGAGCTGCTGCATGTGGCTGTAATTAACTTATTTTGTATATTGACTTTGTATCCAGCTATCCGCTAAAATTCACTATGTTCAGGAGAAAGACTGGCATCCCATTTTTGTTTCTCCTGTTATTCTTGCTGAATTTTGTTATCAACTTTATGTTGATTAGAGTGGGTTCCCTCTTTGTTTTACATCTGAGAGAATCTGTGGAATACTGGCATTCCTTCATCCTTGATTATCTAGTATAATCTACAAGTAAAGCTTTAGGAACCTGGAATTTATTTAAGGATTTTTTTTTATTATTGATCACATTTCTCTAATGGTTATATTAATAGAACTATGTTGGTTTTCTATGTCTTCTTGGGTCTGTTTTTATAAGTTATGTTTGTTTATACATGTGTCTTTTATCTAGTTTTTGAATTGTGATAAAATTATCTAAATCCTTATACTATATCCTTTTTTGTTAAACATCTATAACATCAGTGATATTCTTTGTTCTGCTCTTTGTCTTTTTCTTGTATTTTATTGCGTTTTAGGTTTGGGGGTACATGTGAAGAACATGCAGGATTGTTGTGTAGGTGATATTTTTCTTTTCAAAAACGTTTTTTTAGAGATGTGGTCTCACTGTGTCTTACAGGCTGGAGTGCAGTGGTGTGATCATAGCTCACTGCAGCCTTAAACTCCTGCAATCAAGGGCTCCTTTGCCTCAGCCTCCTGAGTAGCTAGGACTACAGGCATGTGCTGCCACACTCAGCTAATGTTTTTAAATTATTTTGTAGAAACAGGCTCTCGCTATGCTGCCCAGGCTGGTATCAAACTCTTAGGCTCAAGTGATCTTCCTTCCTCACCCACACAAAGTACAGGTGTGAGCCACTGCACCCAGCCGCCTGGTATTTTTCAGTAAGAACTAATTATTTTTTAAAATACCTACTCATAGTAGAATAAAACTTTACCTACATAAAAGTATATAAAATTGAAAATAAGTCTCCAGAATCCCATTTTCCCACACTAACATAGCTACTGGTAACAGTATGGGATACATTCTCACAGTCTCTTTCTATAGATGCATAGACGTACTCTTTACAGAAAAAGAGCTCATAGTATATATGCATTTCTGGAACCTCCTTTCTTCCACTTAAAATATCATCAACACCTTTCATTTCAATGCGTATTGCTCCACCTCATCCTTTTTAGTGGCTACACAATATTCCACTGAAGTGAGAAAACTGTAATTTATTTAACCAGTCTTCTACTAATGATACATTTGAATTGTTTTCCTCGTTTTGCTCTATAAGGAATGCTCTTTGGTTCTTGCTTTGTTTTGCTATGGGCAATAATGAAGGGTGGCAGAATCCAGGGCACTCTTCTGAGATTAGCCATGCAAAGAAGGAGCTGCCTAAGCTTCAGCCCTCCTACAGGCAGCACTTACCCATCTTCACATCTTCCTAGGCATGCTTCTCAGGAGAAGGTCCAGCACCTGCACCCAGATTCATAGGGATCCCAGAAACAGAATCACCCGGACTAGAGAAAGCTAGGAGGGGAAAAGCAGAGGGAGGGTGGGCTGGTATGGACAGAGGTTCCCCAGGGGCACGATCATCATGAGCAGGAGCACAATTTCTGCCCCCAACCTGCCTATGGAGCCTTGGGCAGGTCTGTAGGTGGTAGGTGATGAGTTAGTCTTTCAGCATGACAGGAGCCTCTGTCTTCTCTTCCAGGGCACGTTCTCATTTGAATTCCAGCCCCTGAAAGCTGGAGAAACCTTTGGAAGACTGACTTTGCACAGTACTGACTTGGGTTACTACCAGTATGAGCTCAATCTGAAAGCCACGCCAGCACTTCCGGAAAAGCCCGTTCACTTCCAGACTGTCCTTGGCAGCAGCCAAAACATGCTTGTGAAGTTCATCAATTATACACGGCAGAGGATAGAATACTACTGCAGGGTGAGCAGCCCCTGCTCTGCCCTCTACCCTTCCCTTGCAAAAATGCTGGGCCCAAAAACAATGAGAGGAGACACAGAGGGAGAATGAATGTGAGACTCAGAGAGACTCAGGTGCTTCATCGCCATGGCGACACCTGCCTCAGAGGCCTAAATCTAGCCTGGAAATGCCCAGCTAGAAACAAACAGCATCAGGCCTGAGTTCTGCCATTGTAGACTTTCTGTCTTAACAAGCTGTGATGGAGGGTAGGGGAGTTTTGTTTCCCATCGCACACTCAGGGATCCAGAGAGGGAGACAGTATAGCTTAGTGGTCATGACATCAGCTGTGGAATCAAACAGACATGGGTTTGAATCCTGGCTTCACCACTTATTCTTTGTATAAATAATTTGCTTAAGCTCTCTAAGCTTATCTATAAATGGGACTAATACCCCCGACCTTGCAGGATTGCTGTAAGGATTTTAAATATGTATCTAAAGCCATTTTCTTAGAGCCTAGCCTATAGTAAGTGCCCCATATACATTAGCTGTTATATCAGTTGAAATATAGGTTCAACTACTCAAACCAAAACCCAAAGCTAGGTGCAGTGGTTCATGTTTGCAATCCCAACCCTTTGAGAGGCAGCGGGGAAGATCACTGTAGCCAGGAGTTGAAGACCAGCCTGGACAACAGAGCTATACCTCGTCTCTATTTTTAAAAATAAAATAAAATAAAAAATTTTAAAAACAGAAACCACAAATAATAGCAAATTAGATGTTGGTTCCTCTCACAAATAACAGTCTGAGCATAAGCAGTTTGAGCTGGAATCGCAGCTTGCTGACACCAGGCACCCCACACCTTCTGTCCCAATGCTTTGCCCTCTCCAGGGAGTTGTTTTGGTCCACATGGGCCAAGATGGTTTATCGGGACATCCACATTCCTGCCAGCTACAAGGGAAGAGGGGACAGCTGCGTATATCACCTCCACTAATATTCCCTGAAACCAAACTTCACAGGACCACACTTATCAGCAAAGGACCTAGGAAAAGTAGCTTTTGTACTGGGCGGTCACATGCCCAGGTACAATCAGAGATCTTGTGGCTGTAACCAAGAGGCAGAGGCTCTCGATGAGTCTTATCAGCCAAGAGAGGCTAAGTTATATGCAGTAACAACCACGGAGGCTTAAGATGAAGACTCGTTCCTCATTTGAGCTATCTACCAGAGAGACCGGCAGGGGAACCTGCTGATCTCAGTCCCTCGGGATTCCAGCAGCATCTCAGATATTTCCAGTACAGTACCAGAGGGGTGAAAAGACCCTGACAGAAGTTAAACTGGCAATGAAAGGCTCTAGCATGCAAGCGTACCTTTCACTTCTGCTCACAGCCAGTTGTCTGAAACTAGCCCCACCCATCTGCAAGTAGCCAGGACATTTGGTCTTCCGTGTGCGTGGAAGGAAAGAACCCGATATAGGGGACCAGCCTCTGTGACTGCCCTATTTACATAATCTGGCTGTGTGTCTCAGTGCACATCATTAACATCTCTTTGCCTTTGTTTCTTTGTAGCAAAATGGAAATAATAATTAGTCATGCCTACCCTGCAAGGGAGTTACAAGGACACAACTTTATAGCATTCCCAGTCTCACACAGACAAAGTAGCTTGATGTCCAGAGGTGGAGGGACTGGGGTGGACCTGAGGTCCTGATGTGCTCCTCAGGATCTCACGTGAGCTGAATTTCTTTGTTCCCCTTTCAGACTGACTGCACAGACTTCCACACAGAAAAAATCATTAATGCAGCCCCAGGAGGCCAGAGCGGCACTGAAGCCAGTGTGGAAGTCTTCTTCGAGCCCAGCCACCTGGGTGAGACCAAGGGCATCCTCATGCTATCATCACTTGCAGGTGGGGAGTATATCATCCCCCTCTTTGGAATGGCTCTGCCTCCCAAGCCCCAAGGTCCCTTCCTGATCAGAGCCGGATACAGCATAATCATCCCCTTCAAGAATATCTTCTATCACATGGTGACCTTCTCCATCATCGTGGAGAACCCAGCCTTCAGCATTCGCGCTGTGGAGTCTGTGCGGCCCAAGAAGATCAACAACATCACAGTCTTCTTTGAAGGAAACCCATCCGGCAGCAAAACCCCCATCACCACCAAGCTGATTGTGAGCTGCCCTCCTGGTGAAGGCAGTGAAACTGGAATTAAATGGGTTTATTATCTGAAGGGGATCACCCTTTAGTGGTAACCAGAGTTACCTGCATCAACCAAAAGTTATGCATTGTCTTAGCCTGACAAAGAAGAGAGAAAACAATAAAAATTCTAAAGGAACTGTTTTTATTCTTCTCATACAATTATAGGGGCAGTTATTTCCATATTACATGTTTTCCAAATATAGATATGAAATATCTATTCATATTAAGCATTATAACTACACACAACAGATCCGTATTTTAGACAACTGAATCCTTGTAAGTCCCTAAATTTAGTTTCTTGACATCGCCCCAAAGCTCAAGTACTTTGTAATAATCTCCATTTTTTACAGGAAGGCACAAGCATCACACTAATAACCTTCTACCATACAACACTTAGCAGCGTGTGACCCTGGGCCCTGAGTTTCTTTTTGAAATCCAAAAGGGTGGGGTTTCTCTTTGCCGCGGTGCGCCAGAGCAGAGTACAGTCTGAGGCGAAGGGAGTCATGGCAGGACAGGCGTTTAGAAAGTTTCTCCCACTCTTTGACCGAGTATTGGTTGAAAGGAGTGCTGCTGAAACTGTAACCAAAGGAGGCATTACGCTTCAGAAAAATCTCAAGGAAAAGTATTGCAAGCAACAGTAGTCACTGTTGGATGGGGTTCTAAAGGAAAGGGTGGAGAGATTCATCCAGTTAGCGTGAGACTTGGAGATAAAAGTTCTTCTCCCAGAATATGGAGGCACCAAAGTAGTTCTAGATGACAAGGATTATTTTCTATTTAGAGATGGTGACGTTCTTGGAAAGTACGTAGACTGAAATAAGTCACTGTTGAAATGGCATCAATGTGAAGCTGCCCGTTCCACTGAAGTTCTGAAATCTTCCATCATGTAAATAATTCCCATCTCTCTCTTTTATAATAAACTAGTGATAACTGATTTTTAAAAATCCAAAATGGTTTAAAAAGCCCTTAAACATGACTATTTTGATGCGGCATTTTATTCTGCTTTCACATAAAAGCCAAATGAGTATTTTCAAAGGGATGGACAGATAACATTAGGGCACCCAGGGACACCTCCATGACTTTTTCTCTTGGCTTTTATGCTATCAGTGTCCAAATCCCACATTTGTCCTACACAGAAAGTTCTCACTGAAGTCCAGGCTCTGAAGAATGGCTAAAAGAGATCTCAGCTTCCCCTGCCACACACACACACTCCCAGCCTTGGATAGCACTTGGAGTGAGAGCAGGGATTCCCAACCCATCTGCACATCAGAACCACCTAACTCTCACTCAGACCCTCCCTCAACCCCATCTGATTTAATTGGTCCAGAGAGGGGTGTGGGCATCTTTATTATATATATAACTTGTACAGCAGAGTTGAGAACCAGTGCCACAGATCAGTCACCTGCCCAGCCATTTGTGCTGCAACTGAGTTAGGAAATCCCTGCCAGGGAAAGGACCACACCTCAGTTTGATACGTTGCAACTGCCCCTATTTTGTGTGCACCCAAAGCATGGTGATTAAGTGTCTTTTTTCAAACATCACTTTGGAAGCTTCACCTCCAAGAAGCAGTGGAGCACCTGCCTCAGCCCAGAGACTTGGCTTCCCGTGGGTCTCGTGGTGTGTGTTAATAGGACCACTCACCTATCAGTGTCACCTTTTGAAATAAAGACGGTTAAAGTCTGGCCCTGGAATGGATTTGCTTCTGCAGACATACACCTCTGACTAAGGGTCCCCTGCATCTACCTGCTCCACACACTCATCCTCCACAGCCCTCCTGCAAGAGGAGGAGGAGGCTGGAAGAAGATGGCCTCTTGGGAATGAATGCCATAAAGAAGTGGGTCTCAAAAATGGTCCCTGTGCCAGCAACAGTAATATCACCTAGGAATTTATTAAAAATCCAAATTCTCAGTCCCCACATCAGATCTATTGAATCAGAAAGTCTACAGGTGTGGCCCAACAATCTTTTAGCAAGCCCTTTATAATTGTCAGAGGTGGCTTTCATGGAGGGAGACTCTTCTACTTCTTCTGCACCTTCCTACAACTCTAGCCCAGTATACTCCAGGAACAAAGAAGCTTTTTATTCTGTAAACACAGACCTTTACAGTAGTCCTCCCTCATCCTCAGGGGTTATGTTCCAAGGTTCCCAGGAGATGCCTGAAACCACAGATAGTACAGAATACTCTACATACTGTGGTATTTTCCTTTACATACATACCTATGGTAAAGTTTAATTTATAAATTAGGCACAGTACGAGGTGAACAACAATAACTAATGATAACATGGAACAATTTTAATAATTGTTCCAGCATCACTACCCATGTGCTTTGGAGCCATTATTAAACTAAAGTTTCCTTGAACGCAAGCTTTGCTGTCAGAGAAACTGCTTTGCACGGTTCAAGATTTAGGTCCAATTTCTTACAATGTCACCAGCAGCCTCTTACTACAAGTTATGTCATAACTTTTACATACCTCATAATAGTGATTATGAATAGTTGTTACAGAATTATTACAAGTTCTAGCATCATAAGAGATGCTTGCTTCATCCGAGCCTCTACAGATGCAGATGAATTATAACCATCAAATGACCAGTATGCAGCCGGGCACATCAGTTATCCCCTAATCTAGAAGAGTTTCGACAGGAATGGCCACAGGTCAGAGAAGAGGAACGAGGGTGGAAGGCAAGGGTGGCCCTTGGGCTTTATTTTTAGCACCACTGCTAGTTCAATTATGCATAAATAATCTTAACTAGTTGGCATTTTTCAAGATATTAGAGAAAAGAAACACTTCTTTCTAGGAACTTCGGACTTAAAGATAAACACTGGTCTGGGCCTTGAATAAGAAACTGGTTACTTAGTAACCTGAGTCAGAATGTAATTTCAGGAGAAAAGAATACTTCTGTTAAAAAAAAAATTCCTTACTGTTTGAATTATTAAAAACCGTATCACATTTTGACCCTTGGGAAATTCAGTTCACCTCTGAGAAAAAGCCAAACCAAAAAGAAAAAGAAAAAGATGAACTATTATATTAGATAAGGATCCCATGGTGATCAACACACTCTGGAGAAATACAACTAAATCATTCCCATTGATTTACATTTTTTCAGTGTTTTGCAGCAACCATCATCAAAATCCTAAAATCAAACTTTGCAAGACATTTGGAGATGTCCTTGGCAGTACTACTACCGCTTGTTAGTGCACCTACGTTCATTGATAGGATTGTGTTGGCGAAGATTTTAACAGCTGTGAAAACCCCACCAGTACAGGAAAATACACTTTTTATGGATTGTTCTAGACACCCTATCTTCATGACTTGCTGAGTTTGGGATTAGCCTTTGTATTCATTTTCTATGGCTGCATAACAAATTCCACAAAACTAGGAGTTTAAAACAATACAAACATTAGCCCACAGTTTCCCTGGGTTGAGAGTCTGGTGTGACCTGGATTCTCAGCTCAGGGTTCCACGAGGCTGAAATCAAGGTGCTGGCCAGCTGCATCCTCATCAGGAGGCTCAACTATGGAAAGATCTGCTTCCAAGGACCCTCAGTGTGTTGGCAAAATTCATTTCCTTGTGGCCATGTGACTAAAATCCTTACAAGAGAGTCTCTCTTCCACCTGAGATTTCTTCTCATCTCTTTTAAGTACTCATTTGATTCAGTCGGGCCCACCCAAGTTAATCTCTCTTATTAATTCAATGTCAGCTGACTGGGGACCTTAATTACATCTGCAAAATCTCTTCTGCAATATTGAATAATATAATCATGTGAGTGATACACAGCCCATTATGTTTACAAGTCTTGTTCACACTGAAAAAGGGGATAATACAGTCATGTACACAAAGGGGTGGGAATATTGGAGGTCGTTCTAGAATTCTGCCTACCTTTGCCATTCATTCGTTGTGTCCCTGTTTCTGATCTATGAGTTGAGGATAATATTCCATTTTCAAGATTGTTATAAAGCACCTTTCATTCATTAGAGAAGAGTATCACCATCTATTCTAAAACTGTTTATATTTGATATTATTTGAGCTCCACTGTAATCTAGCCCTTGTCCTAAGTCCCTGTTCACTCTGAAAGCTTATGATAAAGTCTGATTCATCTTTCTGTCACTGCATGTTTACCACACTCCAGCCATAAATTGCCTTTAAATATTTGGCCACATAGTTGGGATTTCTGTTCCACGATGTAGTGTGATTCCCAAAGCATTTGAAGGGGCTGCTTTCCAGGGGACACATCTAGAGACCTGCACTCAGCAAATCTGGGGCCTTTCTATCTGTCTGTAACCAGCCCTCCTAGGCATCAGAGCGTGGTAAACACACCTCAAGTCCCAAATGGTGGGGTGACAGACACTGTTGGTAACTGAGATCTTAGGTGGTAGACAGGTAGTGCCATTTTTAACTGAGAATTTATTTTGATGTGTTTAGAAAAAATATACCTATTCAAACATTATTTTAGGGCATAAGCAAAACTAAAAGAGATTTAAGGGTTTTTATTTTAGTGAATTGATTTGAGGAAAACATTAAATAGATATAGTATTAATACAAGTGGCTAAAATATGGTGAAAGTGATGACGGTGTTAACTCCAGTTAGGGAAACATGGGCATCTACAAAACTGGTAAGTGACCACGTACTGAATGAACCAGTGAATTCGGTGAGTATTGAATAAATCATGTTAAGTGAATCAGACTCCAGGAACCCATTCGATCTCACGAACATCTACAGAAGCCCACCACGTGCCATCAATTGGACGGGAGATACACACCCATTAAAGCACGTCTCAAACCGAACTCCAGCTACCCGGCGCCCAGCCAGGATGTTGTGCGCGTGGGGGTGGAGTCTTGCGAGGGCGTGGTTAATCCACACGCGGCCCGCGGTGGGGGCGTGGCTGGAAAAAGGCGGGTCCTCGCGGCGGAAGGCGGAAGTGCTGTAGAGTCATGTGACCCGAGTAATATGGCCGCTGTCCCATAAGTGCTGCTAGTGCCGGGCGGGAGCTATTAGGCGGCCAGGGTCAGGTGTGCTGGAGCAGGGTCCAGGCCCGGGTTCCAGAGGGCAGCGGCGGGGCAAGGCAGACAAGCCCGGAGCGGCGTGGTCCATGCGCCGGCGCCGGGGGCAGCGCGGAGCCGCAGATTCCCCTGGCTCCGGCGCGGCCCCGGCAGCCGCCGGCTAAGGAGTAGCGAGGCTCCCGGAGCTTTCACCATGAACCCGGAGAAGGATTTCGCGCCGCTCACGCCTAACATCGTGCGCGCCCTCAATGACAAGCTATACGAAAAGCGGAAGGTGGCAGCGCTGGAAATTGAGAAGTAAGAGCTGTCAGGACTCCTCCCTGGCTATGCAGCCCTTGACTGCTCTGCTCCCCAGGGAGACTACTCACGCCTTCCCAGCCAGTGTTACTTTCCCAGGTTTCAGGCCCTTACCTTAGTGCAGTGTTTAAGAGCAGATTGGGAGTCATCTGGGAGTCCCCGCTTTACTCCTGACTGGCTATGTGATTTGGTCCCAGTTCTTTAACCTCTCGGTTCCACAAAGGGCTGCACTGAGAATGAAGTGACATAATGTGTGAGTAGTGCTTGGCACAGTGCATGGCACATGGTGAGTCTTCGGTGCGGTGTCACCCAAGCCAGCCAATGAGAGAGTTGTGTCTTTGGTGGGAGAGAAGTCAGAAGCTGGACAATTATGCGGGTGATGCTGACCAGCTGGTTTCAGCTTCTGAGAAGTGAAACAGACTGTTAGTGACCACGTAGAGAAATCAAGTCGGAACCCTCATGATCTCAAGACTCAGAGAGCTGTTTGTTTTATCTGTGTTATAACACCCTTCCCTGCAAGCGGAAGTAGAAATAATTTGACCTTTCTTGCTTCTGCAGTCCTGTTACATGTATGTGTAACAATGAACGGATATTTTACTTTATTTCCCAATACACAAAACAGCGAATGTTTAACTGCGAATGTTTTATTTATTTATTTATTTTGCTGCAGTATTATTTTTACTTTTGTGGGGTTTTTTTGGCAGTCACATCATAGGGTTAAACTCAAGTGAGTTGAGTGATTTCAGAAGAGTGGAAAAAAGCAGGCTGTGAAACGGGAAAAACACCAGTCCGGAAGTCAGAAAAGGTAGATTGTAGTTCTCTAATGTCCAGTAGAGTACCCATTGGCCATGCATAGCTATTATAAATTTCAATTATTAAAGATAACTTTAGTTTCTCAGTCATACTACCTGTATTTCAAGTGTTCAATAGCCACATGTAGCTGCTGGCTACATTGGGCAGCACGGATTATAGACTGTTTCCATCGTTGCAGGGTGTTCTGTTGGACTGCTCTAATCTATTCCATGGAGTGACATTCATTCTTTAACCTGGGGCAAATTCCTTAACTCAGGGTTTCTCAGCCTCTGCACCATTCACATTTTGGGACAGATAGATGATTCTTAGTTGTAGTGGACTATCCTGTGGCTTCCAGGGTTTGTAGCAGCATCTCTGACCTCTTCCAACTGGATGCCAGTAGCACTCTATCTGTTTTAACAGTCAAAAATGTCTTCAGACATTGCCACATGTCCCCTGAAGGAGCAAAATTGCCCTGGTTAAGAACTGCTGTTTGTAATCCAAATGTTGCTTTGGATTTTAATTTCCTCCTAAACTAAGGGATTTGGACTTTGATAAGAAACTCCCCACCCTGCCTCCATTCAGCCCTCATACTCAGTATGTCCACCGACATCTAGCTGCTTCTCTCGTCAGACGTCACTTTCTTAACTGCTCTTTGATGGAGTTCGTTTTGTATTGGACATCGCTGTTGATTTGTGGAATTTGGAGAAACTCACTAGTGCCTTAACTGAACTTTTATATAGCTTTTTGTTTCTACCTGACTCTAACAAATGCTAGCAAGTCTTATTGCACATTGCCAAACTGAATAGAGGGACCCAGAGATGATATATAGGCATGGTTCCGTGTCCATGGAGTTTTGGTGGCTTTGAAGTTGCTTTGACACCTAGTTTTGTCCCTCACCCACTCTCCTTCTCAGGAATATCTGGTTTTATGATAGCTTGAGTCATCTGTTGAGTCCTTGAGGAGAGAGGTATTCGTCTGAACATTATTGTTGTTTCCAGCACCACCTGTCTATCTGTTCTCACTCGAGACAGATCTGTAAGGGTTTTGTCTTTGATGGAGTTCCTTTTGTATTGGACATCGCCGTTGATTTGTGGAATTTGGAGAAACTCACTAGTGCCTTAACTGAACTGTGAACTCCTTAAGAGCACAGAGTTCTGCTGATGTATGTTTTATTTATCCTCAACACTTAGCATAGTGCCTGGCAGCACTTGATGGTTGATGTCCAAACAAAGGAATGACCACACATTTTCAGCGGCGAAATAACATTGCAGGCTAAGGACTTTGATGCTCAAAAGCATGGCCTACAGATGGCAGCATCAGGATCACCTGGGAGCTTGTTAGAGGCTTTCCAGCTTTGCTCCAGACCTGTGGAGTCAATCTGCATTTTAACAAGATCCCTGAGTAATTGCGTGCACCTTAAAGTTTGAGAAGCACCAGCCTCAAAGACCCTCTCCAGCCTTCTCCAATCGTGGGCAGAATGAAGAATGGCCAGTTAGTTTGGTGCCTTCCTCAAAGCCTGTGCTTCACAAATTGCTTAGAGACAGATACTGACTTAACTGTCTGTGCTTTACCAGCCTTCTGTGTGTCTGAACACTTTCTGTGTGTTAGGTACACATAGGCTATTGTATGTTTTAATATATTCTTTATTTGGCCTGGTCAGAGTGACCCTCATCAAACACAGACTATTAATTAATCTCTCATTAATCAGACTGCAGATGCCCAGTAAGAGTCTGAATGTTGGCATTATCTGTGTAGTGTAGAAGAGTCAGTTCATGTGCTCCCTAAATGAAAGTGCTTAGTCCTGTTCTTAGGTAAGCGGCCCCTTTTAAGACACCCTATTTCTTGAGAAGCTGCATGGCATGGTGGTTAAGAGCAGGCTCTGGAGCTGAGGTTCGAGCTCTCATTTTCTGGCTAGGTGAGCCTAAGTAAGCTAATTAACCTCTGTCTCAGTTTCTTCATCTGTAAAATGGGAATAATAACAATAATATGTATAGAGTTGTTTGAGCTAATGTTATCAAGTGCTGCATTAGTACCTTCTTCCACTGCTGTAAACAAATACCTGAGACTGGATAATTTATGCAGAAAAGAGATTGATTTGGCTCACAGTTCTGCAAGCTGTACAGGAAGCATAGTGGCTTCTGCTGCTGGGGAGGCCCCAGGACGCTTCCAGTCATGATGGAGGGCAGAGAGGGAGCAAGGCGTCTCACATGGCGGGAGCAGGAGCAAAAGAGAGTGAGCAGGGAGGTGCTGCATACTTTTAAACAGCCACATTTCTTGAGAACTCACTATCACAAGAACCGCACCAAGGAGTTGGTGCTGGGCCATTCATCATCATGGGAGAAATCCACCGCCATGATCCACCCACCTCCCACCAGCCCCCTCTCCAACACTGGGAACTTGTTGGAGATGGGGCAGTTAGACAAGAGATTTGGTAGGGACACAGATCCAAACCACATCAAGTACTTAATGCAGTACTGGTCATATTGTAATTGTTATAAACTATATATAGAGAGAATTCTTATATAACTGTCCTAATTGTAACATATGTATATAACATAGTTGTCATCTGTCAGTACTGCTCTTACTACTTTTGGGTAGGGGGAATGATAGCCTCCCATATTTGCCCCATCCTAATCCCTGGAGCCTGTGAATATGTTATGTTATGTTACATGGCCGTGGGAAATTAAGGTCGCTAATCACTGACCTTAAAATAGAGAGGTTATCTGGGATTATCAAGGTAGGCCCAGTGTAACCCTAACCAGAAGAGTCAGTGTCAGAGTGATGTGATGTGAGAAGACTTACCCAGTCATCGCTGGCTTTGAAGGTGGAAGGGAACCACCAGCCAAGGAATGCAGGCAGCCTCTAGAAACTGGCAAGAAAATGGATTTTCCCCCAAAG